GACATGGGTGAATATGTCTTTCAATTGGTGTCTGTAGCAGCAGCTGTCGATTCTATCTTCTAAAATAAAATGTTTTAAACAAACTACTTTTACTGCTGTATTGTAAGTTTGTGCTCCCAAATTCATTCTATACATTGCTGCAGAAGCTTCTTAGAGGAACAAAAAATGACAACTCTAGGTCCAGGCTGGCTGGTGACACCTCTATGATGCTGACATAGGGGGAAGTTACACCTCCAGCAGCTAAGGAGTTCATTCAGACTTCAGGCACCATGACCACTTCATATCACTGAAATGGTCATGATGCTTGGAATAACCCTTAACGTTACAATTCATATATTTATGTTGTGACTTTTATTCATATTTTTACTTTTCAGAAACTTCCACTTTAAGTTTTCTTAAATACAGCAAATTGTGTCTGCAAGTTTACTATTCACACACAACTTCCCTTGTAACTTCTTTTCCAGGTACTTTAAAACTAATGCAGGGCTCTGACAGACTTCTTTGGTCTGTTCAGGTTGATCACCAACTGTTTGCACTAGAGAAGTTGGATATAACGGTAAGATACTTGTGGTGTGGGTGAAACATCTCCCTCTAGATCATTTTGTAGGGGGTGAGAGTTGACAGATCACCACAGTCATAATGATCTGCATTTAACTTTTTTGTTCACCCTTATTTAGGTGCAAGATTGTTAGGTCCTTCTGTTTGTGTATATGTTGAAATACCATAGGATTCATTTATGAAAATATGACTTGCGGGTCAGTTAATGGGAACTGATAAATCTTCTCATATAACTTATGAAAGGTTAACTTTAACACATTGCAAGTAAGATTGGGGTAATTTTATATTATGCATTTTAATAAAGTGAGATGGATTTTTTAAGCAAACCCAAAATGTACTGCTATCTAAGTCTTTAGTTAGTAAACCCAATTGTAGAACACATTTTAGTTCATTTATGCTACTTCATGAATGTAAATTAAGCCTAAAAATAAAGGTGGTTCCAAGGACAAAAAGAGCTGCCCGTGGTTGGCGTTCGGTTATACGAACAGGGGGTGCATGCGCCGCTTGTTTCCCTTGCGGTCTTTGGTTTTCACACCTCGTTACGATTCTAAATGAGGTGTCGGGGTGGTCCCCATTCAGGAGCCGAACATAACAGGTAAAACACATAAATACAACACAATTACATATAGATACATGGGGAAACACAGAGTACAAGGGAAAATCATGGGAATAAACATTGGGAATACAAAATACAAAGCACATGTGAATATTCAGTGGGCATGGCACTTAGTGGCGGTGGCCCGCTACAACATACAACCACAGTGTATTGGTGCCTGTGTGTGCATGTCTGGCATTGTGTAGCTTCTATATGCTTGAGTGTGTCTGGCAGGGAGTGTCCTTGTGCGTCTGTGGTTGCATATCTATGTGTATGTGTATCTGTGAGTACCTGGAATGTGTTTTATTGTGTGTATGTGGGGACTGCTTGTAGTCATGATATGTGCGTTGTATGTATGTCGAGACAGTGTTGTGTGCATTGGGTGACTCTGTGAGTTTCAGGATTACTGTCTGTGATGGATGACACTTTGTGGGGACTGAGTTTGTGGTGTCTATGTGTGGGGGATAAGTGTGATAATGTTAGATTGTGTGAGGGGAGGCTGTATTTTTCTATCCAGCTTCCCCACACTGTGCTGCTCTTCTTCTGTTTTTTTCAGCTCCCCTCTTGCTTACATTTTCTAATGAGTGGTTATTTTATCCTTATTCTCTGTTGGTCCAGAGATTGCCCTGGTGGTCCTGGTAATTGTATAGACACGACTGGTGGCATGTAGGGGTTAAGTCTTCTGATGGACCTAAACCACATTTAAAGCCTAGTCTTCATAGTGTTAAATGTGAAATATAGTTAGTGCTCCAGTGTATTCCTCTTCCAAAGCTTTGCATGGTAATCAACCCATTTCTCAAATAAGCTTTATCTTTGCCTATATTCTTCCTTAAAACGTCTGAGGTATCAGACCTAATTAATTTGCTGCACTATAACACTCACCAACTAGCATATTTACCTCTGCACATTTTCTTGACTTATATCAGACCTAATTATTGAAGGATAGCTGTAATGAAGCTAATGTAATATAGTAACAAGACTATATACGGTATATATAATACAAAAAGTCTTGCACTCCTACTCACAATTGCTTCCACCCAGTCCTCGATAGCACAAATATGTAGATAATCCCCAAAAAAGTTATCAGCACTCCAGGGATTTTCAAAGTAAAACTTCCTTTATTGAAGAGTGTCAAATCGACGTTGGTGATTTGACACTCTTCAATAAAGGAAGTTTTACTTTTATTTATTAAAGAGTGGTTTGGTGTTCCTCTGCCTCGTGGAGTTTTAAAACAAGTGCGTAAAATTCAAAAAGAGCCAAATCCTGGCACAAGAAAATACAGTGAACAGAAAAAAAACTTGCCCTTTTGTTAGTCCCTGATGAGGACATTGTTGTTTTAGTGTGTAGATGGCTTGATTGATTGTTTTTTTCTTACAGGGTAATGGTCAGGAAGAAGTTGTGGCCTGTGCATGGGATGGACAGACATATATCATTGACCACAATCGAACAGTATTGCGCTTCCAGGTGGATGAGAATGTCAGTGCCTTCTGTGCTGGTAATGAATTGATAATTATTTATCAATTTACTCTAATATATATTTTTTATTTTTTTAATGGTTTCATTCTTCTCACTCAATGACCTATTATGTTATGTTATTCTATAGGACTTTATGCCTGCAGGGGAGGCCAAAACAGCCCCTGCCTTGTGTATGTTGGGTTCAACCAGAAGATCTATGTGTACTGGGCAGTAATGCTGGAGAGGATTGAGTCCTCTAATCTACTCCGAGTCTTGGAACAAAAACATGAATTTGTCTCCCTGCTTAAGAAGCTTAATGTGGGTAAGATAATATATCTGTGCTGCCATATGAACTCTCACCTTCTACACTCTGGACACCATCATTTATTTGACAAAAGTATCTCAGTGACTACTAGGCTAAGTGATCGGTGACTATAGGAAATGAGGAAAAAGAATAAGAGAAGAAAGTGGGTAAGCTGAGGATCACAAATTATGGTATTTTGGGGATGGAGGGGAAGGAATATTGTTTTTTTTTTGTTTTGTTTTTTTTTTAATAGGTCTTTTCATTTTCATTCATGTTATTATCCGTGCATAACCACATGATATTAAGTTTAACGAATAAAGACATTTATGAAAACATCTTTTGTATTTGAGCTTTGATGAAGAGTAAACATTCTTTGGTAGTCACTTTGTTATTGTGTGTCTGAGACCAATTACTGAAGTGGAATAAGAGGATATATGAAGGAGATGAAAGGCAGCAATATTTAGTCATGTGCTTGTTACTTGCTGACAGGTAGCTTGTTTGCAAACAAATTTCTGGTGTCATCTTGTTGTTTCTCTAACCTTTAGATGCCACTGATCTTTCAGCTGTTCAAGAATTAGTTCACCAGACAATGTATTTCCCCTACAAAGGACACCAGCATCCTGCAGGCTCAGAGTGAAAAAGAACTTCATGGGTTAAAAAAAGCCAAGGGACTGTGAACACTCAAATACATGTGCAGAGAAGGCACATGTGTATGTGAAGACTTGTCGTTTCACTCACATGTTTTGTGGTGTTTCCTAGAGGTGTGTCTATAAGAGACTGCATTATAACACTGGAAGTTTTTTTTGTTTTTTTTTACCTTTTTGTTGTGTTGTGGGTATCTAGGGATTGCAGTGTAGGGGAACCAACATCTAAGTCTCTACATAGGCATTTTTTTTAATGATGCAGAATAGTGTGGATAATTATAAATTTTTGCCAAAATGAGTGATATGGAATTCACATTAGAATATTAGTCAGATATGTGTATCATTATTATCACAAATTTTTATTTTATTATTTTTTCCCCGTTTCTCCTTACATTTATATTATGTATTATTTCATATTAAAAATGTTATGTTAATACTTAAAATATGAAAAACTGTCAATAAAAGAATTTGAAACAAAGAGGGATAACTCTTACCATTAAGATATAGCTCAGAGGACCCCCTGGAGAGCACATTATTATCAAGTATCAACAATGTGATTTTAGTATAGAACATCTTTTTAGGAGATAAATAAATCTATTTAGGTTTACCTTAGTGTATTAGAAGGATATGACATAGGAACACAAACTGAGCAAAATTAGGATAACTTAAAACCTTATGAAGTGTACTAAATTGTGCCCAGCATTCAATATAAGTGAGGATTACATGAGTAAACATGGACTGTATGCTGCTTGCTGGGCCTATTTTGCAGTCTGGCATTCTCTGGGCCCTAGTCAGTAGTATTTTTGACCCATCTGTTACTTCTGCTCTCACATTTCTTATTTGTTAAAATACACTGAAAAAAATTCTAAACGGAACACTTTCGTTTTTGCCCCCATTTTTCATGAGCTGAACTCAAAGATCTAAGACTTTTTCTCTGTACACAAAAGGCCTATTTCTCTCAAATATTATTCACAAATCTGTCTAAATCTGTCAATGAATTTACCTGTATTTGATGCCAGCTGTTTTTTACTTCTGTGTAAGTAAATACATTTTTATACTATATATTAGATCTTCAGTTATCAGACTCTATTTTACATGTAATCAAGACCCACAATATCAAGAATCAAGAAAGAGACACAACTAAGGATCTCAAACGATTCCTGAATGCTCATTTTTTTCCTACAAAGTGTGAGTTACCCATTGGCACATAAATATTATCCTATTTGGGTTCCACAGTGTTGCACTATGTTTTATTCTTATCTCCCCTTGCTCGATTCACCCTATATATTGTATGCATACTAGTTGAAGATTTGAGGAGATTTTCGGGTTTAATCCAATGCTAGAAGGGAAGTCAAGTATATATATTTTTATATTCACTTTCAGCTCACTTAAGCACTTTACTATTTTAATTGGTGCCACTATAAGCAAATACACTGTGTTGTATTTAAATCATTCACTGTCTATTTTTTGTGATGTAATGAAAGAATTTGCACTTTTTTCTATATTTGTATTTACCTTTTCAAAGAGTCAGACGCCATCGAATGTGATAATTTGCCCACTCAAGTCGAACTGCAGTCAGGTCGAGACCCCAATGAAGAGGACGAGCATGCACTGTCCTTTCTCGCCTTGACTACTGTAATCCGCTTCTCAGTGGTCTTACGTGCTCCCAACTTGCGCCGTTACAGTCCATAATGAATGCGGCAGCGATGCTCATCTTCCTGTCCGCCCGCACCTCCCATGCCTCACCCTTCTGTCAGTCCCTACATTGGCTTCCTATAAAATATAGAGCTCAATTTAAAATTCTGGTTCTTGCTTTCAAATCTCTGCATAATGCTGTTCCCACCGATCTATCCTAGTTTATACACAAGTATGTCCCGTCTAGCCCTTACAATCTGCTGAAGACTTACCTCTATCTTCTATCTTACGTCTGATCCGCCTCTGAAGAAGTGACTGTGAACTGTCACGAAACGCGTAAGGCATTTTTCTTCAATTGCCGTATATTGTATTCAGCTACCGAGCAACCGTGGAACGCAGACTGGGCGCACTAAGTGGAACGCACGCAAGAGGTGTTTCACCTCTCCCAACACACCAAGTTCATCTCACTGGCCGGAGAGAATTTTTCCACAATTTGCTGAACATCACCCGACTTTGCTTACCCGACAAGACTCATTTGCTGGCATATTTCACTTCATGTTTGTGAGTGTGTTCCAATTTTAATCTTACTTTGAATAAATGTGAAGTTTTATTGAAGAGCACTACCAGCTTTTTTTATTTTATTATTATTTGTCGAGCATTCAAGAATTCTATTGCTATATACCTGTACATTGTGGTATATGAGTAATTGCTATTTTCTGCTGCTATCCGACACTTATATTGATTTATACCAATACTGGTTACATTATATCCACATCTTGACACTATTGCTGTTATTACTGTTATTTCTATTGAACAGAAGCATACTGTGTAGGATGTGATACTGGCATTTGTGCACTATAAGAACTGTGTTTGTTCAAGATTTCTTTGGACAATATTTTAGATTTTCACTGCCTTGGACTTTATGGATTCAGCCGTTTGGACTACACATCTTGATTTTTATTAATTTTTATATTTTCAGCTATTATGCTAATTCTCCGTTTTTATTTTCTAATTACCAAGAGTATTCGCTGTTTAGTGGAAGATTCACTTTATATGTAGCGTTTTTTCTATACAAGGCTGCCACCTAGTGTTTATATCTATATTGCTTTCAACATTTTTTGAATTTCCCATTTTTGTATTTTTATCATTCTATCATTATATGCATTTATTAGTGGCTCCTTTTGTTAATTTAGAGCTATTTTAAGGTCCTGTTTTGAGCATTCCTTTTACGATTTATTTTACTATTTACAGTGTCTGGTAAGAGATCTCCTAGTACGTGTAGGTTTTTCACCTACTTTTATTCATTTATTTCTCTTAGCTTTTATGGGGGCTTTTTTTTACTAGTAGAGATTTCCTGCCTGTCTGTTTCTATCCCTAGCCCTAGTCCTAGCCTATCCTTTTCTGCCCATGTTGTCCAGGTGGACTTCTAATGCTTTGAAATTATGTGGCAATAACATTATTTGCTTCACTGCAGATACTATAAAGTAAGAGTATAATTTAATATAACCTGTATATATTGGTCCACAGATTATTTCATAAAAAGGAAGATATATATTATTGTTTTGTGAAAAGTGGTGTAAAATTGTAAATGTGGCTTAATTACCAATGCAATGCACAGTTGATTTACATGGTGATTACCCCCTTTTTTATTTTTTAAACTCTCTCTCTCTCGCTCTCTCTCGCTCTCTCTCGCTCTCTCTCTCTCTATATATATATATACAGTGAATACACAGTAACTAATTAGTGGTGTGTATATATATATATATACCACTAACTAGTTACAGTGTAATCTTTTAACTATACTGGGTATTCACTGTTCAGTGAATTAACCCCCTACTCATAACTTAGACTCCATTAAAACAAACCTTTTATATAGCATACAAGAAACAAATTTGAACAATTCACATTGAAAATGTGTTGTCACAAAGTGTGAATGAGATGTAAATGAGGGTCAAGGAGTAAAACATTGGCAATGCTTAAAGCTGTTATGAAGAATAAAGGTTTTCAGAATTTACAGGGATAATATAACAGGCATACTAAAAAGCCTTCTGCCAGGTGCCAGCAAACACTCTGTTGCTCTGCATCAGAATGAGTCACTGTTGTTGCATGTCAGATATTCCAATTCATGAATGCTGGTGGGGTGAAAGGTCTATTTCTTCTGTAACAATGGGTTTGTAAAGCTTCAGATGTAATATGTATGCAAGGTCATAATTGTTTGCTGTAATTTCCCATTTACCCTTCATGCACACTACCATGGTATCAGTTTATAGACCGTTGTGTTATTTTTCCTATACATTTTGCTTGCCAAATTGTTGATGGTGGCAGAACACACTGCTTTTAGTTCTGTTGCCCACATTTGGAGAGGCCAGGTATGTCCATTGATGGCTGTTTTGGAAGAGGCAACAGCAAACGTCAAATATACATTTTAATGTATATAATAGCTGTCACTTTTTTATCTAACTTTTTGGCAGAATTGGTAGAGGATGCATAGAATGTCTTTCCAATTGAGGTGATAGAAACACAGACAGAATATGAAATTTGGGCCAAAAGGCTGTACTGTTAATATTCTTCATATCAGCTGTTTCATAAACATAAAACATAAACACAGTATTGTTAAGTGATATGAATAATATGTAATAATTTCACATAATATGATAGTGCCAAGCAAGTTTTTTGAGGCAAGAGACTCATACATTTGGACTGTATCTCTTCTGCTTTCTTTTTGTTGTGTCTGCTTCAGATAGTAATAAATGTCTCAAGGAATGAGTGGGCTCTGTGTAGAATGATCTGGTGCTCTTTGAGTAATAGCGTTAGTTTTGAAGTCCTTGTCTGTAACAGTTGGCCACAGTTTCTGTCTTCTCTGTTGTCAATCCACTCCTCTCTGGATTTATGAATCCTATTTCTTGGAAAGGAGTCTTCAAGATTCCGTTGCTCAGATCAATGCAGCTCTAAACACAAACAGTGATTTTAACATATAGATTGTATGTGTGTTTAATATAAAATGTAAATAATGTCATGTTCCCCTCCCACCCCTCCAGATGGAGTCATACCTTGAGAGAGACCAGTGTCTCCAAACCGAGGCAGAATTCCATCATATCGTCATCTGGGTGAGCAAAACAAACACTTTTAAATTTCTCTAGCCACTTTTACATGTGTTTTTACACATTTACCCTGCAAGTAAGCAAGTCTATTCCTTTAACTGAACTGAGCAGGGAATTGCAATTGGTGGCCAAAATAGCTGAATCGGAAAACGTCTGTAAGTTACTTATTTTTTTGTTTTGACTATTCCAGCGTACAATTTCCTGTTAGTTTGCCAAGAACACTGATGCCCTCACTGTGTCCACTCTCCCCCATACACCTGTACCATTTTATTTCTGTGTGCCTCTCACCTATTATTGTAGCTTTGCTCTGCAGTTTCTCTGTTCCCAACTCTATGTCCACAATCAGCTCCTTATGATGTCCACTCTGGATATTATCATTTGATGCCAGCAATCTGTGGTAGAAAATGCGTTGGTCACTGTGTGCCCAGTCCATCCAGTCATACATAAAAAGCTATATAATGCCAACAGACCTGGGATATTATTTACCAGATCCTTTTTATAACTGGGTGAAATGCAAGACTCAGTGCACACTGTTTAAACCTAGTTTAAACCTAGTTTGAGTTGGCATAACGTGAAAGTATGAACCAGACCAGAATAGCCACAGGCACCTGACTCAACAAATGTCAAACTGTTCGTAAATGGTTTAATGAATTTCTGACGAACAGCACCCAGAACTCTTTGCTCTTATAACCATTACTGTGCTCTGTATTATTTCTTTAATGATGCAGCAGAGATTTGGGTGAACTACAAAAAGGATTTTCAGTATATATGTGGAGTTCAACTTCACTTTTTACAAGGCACGGTTGACCCTGATGACCTTGTTATGTATTTATTGATTTGAACAATAACTCAACTTACCTAAGTGTTTTCAGTTATCCATAAACTCGGTCCATTTCAGTTCGTAATGAATACACAATCTAGGAGCCAAGTTCAGTAGAATGATCTAGTCCAGGCTAATTAAATACATTAAAGAATTGGTATAGGACCAGAAAAAAAGTAATTGCTTCTAAGTTTTTAATGATTTAAAGGAACACTATAGTCGCACCGACCACTTAATCTCGATCAAGTGGTGTGGGTGCAGTGTGACCCCCATTTTAACCCTGCAGCTGAAAACACTGGCATTGGAACAGCAATGTCTACATTGCAGGGTTATCCTGCCTCTTGTGGTTGTCAATATGAATGCTTCTGTAAAATAGCAGAGTAAAACTCCTGAGACCATCTGATTGGTGCAGAGCAGCATTTTGCCGCATATGCGCAGTAGCCTTCCGATGCGTTCCTATAGGAAAGCATTGGGTTAGCTTAGACATTGATGATTGCGACCTGCACAGCGAAGGCTGAAAGGTAAGTAATTTGCCTTTTCTAACCCAGTCAGCGCTGGCCTTGTCAACTAAATGGTGACTAAGGCACAACAGCATATAGCTTATCCAGTACTATTTTTACAATTCTTGTTTAGTTTTTCTTGTTTTTTCTGGTTTTCTATTCTTTGTCTGATTTTCTTTTTGCCTTGTATCTCTTGTCTTGTCTTGTTTTATTTGTCTTGTATTCCCAGTTCATGTACAGTCCTGCCCTGTCCATGTCCTGTTCATGTTCCCCTCATGTATTGTGTACATGTTCTGGGTTCTGCTTTCTGTCCTGCTCTGGTTCTGGGTTCTTCTAGTCTTGTCTTATCTTGTTTAGTGCCTGTTCTAGTCTTGACTTGTTTCTAGTACTGGATACATTTCTGCTGCAGAGCCTCCCTATCTAGATCATGGGAGGCCTGCATATTCTCATCTAGCTCTTGGGATCCGCAGAAGCTGCATCAGGGCCCTGGTATGTGGCTGCACAAACGCTGGTGCTCAACACCAGGGGGCGTGCGGTTACCCAGCACCAGGCTCTGATAGTAGTCCATTTCCACGCTGTGACTCCTATCATCATCATCAGGCATACAGGGGTCCCGGTTTTCAGACCGCCACCCGTGACAAGAACCAAATCTGCCTTGATACATGGTCACATCCAATCACCAGGTAGGGTCCAGGTGGTAGTTTAGAAACAATTGTAAGCTGTGCCTCGTGGTAAAATACTAATATATATTATTTTATTATTGTATTTTATTTAGCAATATTAAATGTTGAATATGAAACAAAATACATATTTTGTACTCCAATTGGGCTATTTGTTGTTAAATGCCCCTCACGCAAAAAAATCCCAGCCCACATCCCTGTTACCGCATCGGAAAATAAAAGCATATCCTTCTCGAAATCTCTCTAGTTACATCTTTCAAAGATCTTTCAACCCCATCCATAAATGACTGATTTGGTCAATCTATTGCACCCGTTCCAATCTCATCTGAATAGGTCTTTTCGTTTTAAAAATAATCTCTTGGTTTGGTTTGGTTTGGGATATTATTCCCCAACTTGCGATGGCGGTGTTTTTGGTGTTTTGTTTTTTTTACCCACATGTGTGCAATAATTAGTTATTGTCTTATAAAGGTAGGAGTATTTTAAAACCATGGGCTATGCTTTCTGGTAGCACTCTTAGAATGTTAATTGATCTTCTCTGCTGTATAAATTGTTTGAGAACTGAGGTAGTCAAACAGAAACTAATTAGTATTCAAGCTGGATACTTCTAAAATATATATTAAATAAATTTGCTGTAAAAACCCAATGGCAATGCAGATGGAGTGTTGCAAGCTGCTTGTCTGTGCTATAAATCAGGGACGGCCAGCTTGCGAATCTCAGACCCTGCTGAAGTGTAATCCTCATGAGTCTCACACAGTTCTTAGTGTGTTAAATTACATTTCCTAGCATAATCCACAGGATGCATATTCTAACATTATATTGACACCTTAGGCACTAACACAAGTCCTCTGCAGATAATATCAGCTTTTTTTTATTGCATGTTTTTGCTCACTTGTAGTTGTGTTGATAAAGAAGTATAAGGATTATGCCCACATATGCAAAGTGGCTGTCCAAGCAATCTGACAAGGTGACCAAGCGCATGCATGGTTCATTAAAGTAAATATACTACCTACCCTAATGGTGAAAGGTGCTGTCTTAACATGTTTAAAGCTCCGTTTTAGCAGCCTCTCTATGGAATTTTTTTTACGTGGAGGTTTTAAATCTTTGGATTTCCTCTTACCTAAGTCGTTCCACACAGCTCTGGGAAATGAGGTTCTGTTGTTGATCAGTGCACAGCTTGGCCTTGACATTCAGCTTACAAACCTAGAGTTAGAGAAGGATGTGATGGAGCTTACATATTGCAGTAAAATTAAACTTCTGGGACAGAATAATAAGATCATAGTGATGGATACTACAAGACAGTGTAGGAAGGCAAACTGTAGAGTAACATAATTCATGGTGAACCGTCATTGTTTGTGGAAATCCAAATGGTATTGTGCTCTCAGTATATTGAACATTTCAATCAAATATCACAGAGAGGTGCTTTAACGTGCAATTATTCCATCTTTATCGTGTGCTTGCTGTACATATAGAAACTTTTGCTCTAAACTTTCTAGCATCTACCAATAGCAGATGCACTGAAGGTTTAGCATGCAACTACATGCTAGACATTGTGGTAGATGTATGTGGGTAGATCACAGCTCCCACTCAAATACAAATGTATAATGTTAAAGGACCACTATAGTGCCAGGAAAACATACTCGTCGGGCTCTGGGGGGAGGAAGGAACTTACATCTTTCTCCAGCCCCGGGCGGGGAGCTCTCCTCTTCCTCTCCTCCCTCTTCTTCCGTCACCGGCTGAATGCACATGCGCGGCAAGAGCCGCGTGCTCATTCAGCTAGTCCATAGGAAAGCATTCACAATGCTTTCCTATGGACGCTGGCGTCTTCTCAATGTGAAAATCACAGTGAGAAGCTCGGAAGCCCTCTAGCAGCTGTCAATGAGAAACTGCTATGTTTATAAAAAAAAGGGTTAAACCTAGCTGGACCTGGCACCCAGACCACTTCATTAAGCTGAAGTGGTCTGAGTGCCTATAGTGGTCCTTTAAATTTCTACGTTTGTTGGTGATTGTATAATTACATTTTACATTTTATAATTTGCCAGAGGAGGACCGTGCCATGTGAACATCGGTGCATAGCAGGTTTACTTACTGAAGACCAAAAATTATTTAACAGCTTTTTATACTCTTGACTAACTGTAAAATTAATAAAACTACATTCTGGTTTAAAAGTCTGTTTACCAGTTTTCAGAATATGGTATTGATGTGTTAAAATTAGCCTTTGAAAATTTCCAGTGGCAATGACCAAATTATTAAGTGACCTCCATCCATTTAATAATGAATTTGCCATTTTCTATCTGTTAGTGTAAACAATCCCATTTTAAACTATTGTTTTTTGTTTTGTGGATTTATGAATCAGTTTAATCCAGAATCTAATCTGATGTAGTTAACAACACCAATGATTTGTTTATTGCTAGTTGTCTCAGTATGTCAGTAGAAGTTTGTTGTAGGAAATTGGCTAAATTGCATTTCTTTTTAATGATGAAAATATTACAAATCTGATATTTGTAGATAAACACGTAGTGAAGAATAGATTCTGAAATACTGTCACCACTCGGGTTACTTTTATTATTTTTGTTTTATATAAATGTATCCCATGGTGTTGATGTGAAGAGTGGATATGTTAGTGTTTTTGCTTTTGCTTACCTTACATGGAATAAACACAGAGTCTCCTTTCCATCCAACTGTGTCACCAGATGGTTGATTTAACGGTGTGCTCTTGTCAAGAAGGTTAGGCTGTTGGGTAGCAGCCTCCTCTTGCCATTTGGGAGGTTGTATTGTTTCAGACACAGAATGGATTCCCTTGTCCAACAAGTATGAGTTTTTTGCCAAGGCACTGGGTTCTCTGCCCGGGCTGCCCTCCAGAAGACGTCTCTGTATCACACTATGAGGTTGCTGTTTTCACGAACATAAAGACCTTCATCAGCAAAGTGACTCAGAGTCGCTACTCATTTTCATTGCTTGTTATTATTATTATTAAGTACCACCATATTTAGCTGTAGTGTACAACTAGTAGGATAAACATACAGGTACAGTAAGTGATGACAAATTGGTCCCTGCAGAATAAGGGCCCTGCACAAACCAGCTTACACAATAGATCCATCCCTACCAAAACACTTTCTCGTTGAGTATACATTTGAAATGTCACCTTTAAAAATATCAATTTTAAATGACACTAGTTATATAACAGCACCATCTTTAATCACAAAAAGCACAGTTAAAAAGTTTAAAATGAAGGTACTAAGGTGTGAGTAGGTTTGATGGAAGGGTTTGAAGGAAGAAAGCTTTGGAATAGAATTGGAGAAACCAAGAAATAGAATTAGTGCTAGCGGATGTTTAATGTAAGGTGGGTTTACGGGGTACCTGTCTTCAATGCGTTGGGTACTGTAACTGCCCTGATTCTTATCCAGACAAAGCCTGACCGATAATAACATGAGTTACAGTCCTCCTTGAATGCCCTAACCCTAAGTTTCCTTAAACCTTCAGGAGGGACTACATTCTTTTTAACACCACATCTGTTTGGGGAGGTTTATTGATGCTGCAGTCATTATTGTATCGTCATTGATATTTTCAAGTTTTTTTTTTTAACACAACTTTTTAGCAGTCGTAACAATGAATGTCCACTCATACAGTTGCTAAGAACAGCCCAAGATCATTGATTATAATACATTATACTGCATATATTTTCCTCACTACTCATTATTTAATGAGGATAAACTATTTCCAACCAAAAATATTAAGAGAACAGTTTCCACCTGCCCATGTGACTTCCCCAGCTTACCAAGTCCTTAGAGGTCCCAAGCCTCCTTAGTTGGTCCAGTGGCAGTAGATCTGCAGAGTCTTTGTGCACAAACTGCGTGGCTTGTTTGAGACGTCTCTGTTGATGCAGGAGAGCTCCCCCTCTGAGATCCTGCTCCTTTTTTGTGGGATCTCCAAGCTTTGCCTCACTCCCTAGACCTCTAATATGCTTTTGACAGCTCATGGCGCTGGTTCAAAAAAACGAAACTGGACCTTCTGCCTGGTCACCAGCAACGTGGTCAGATCTTTGCCCTCCTCTCTTAACTGAATTTGTTTTTCTATTGCCTGATCCCCTTCTTTTCTTCTCTTTACATTCTTGTTTCCATAATCATTTTCCCCTTCTCTTACACTTTGCCGTTTTTCCTTTAAATGTACCCCTTACTCCCTTTCTTTTATTCTGGGGATCCCTTGCTCTGCCCCCTCCTCCTGCTCTGCAGTGATTCCCTTTTTTATCCCTCCCTCTCTCATAACAGCTCCTGCTTTTTAATTCCTTTCCTGATGTCTGCACTAGTAAACCTCTCTCCCATCCTCTCTCTTTTGTTTTCCTGTCCCTTCCACCCTATCGCTATGTGTCTCTGTTATTCTGCTAATAGGTCTCTGTTTGCCAGCTCCTCCTGTTCAACTAATAACATCACGTTCCCACAACTAGATATAAGCGAAGGAAGGAGGGGAGGGGGAAGACAGTAATGCAGAGATAGAGATGGAGCTTTGGGTAACTTCTATAAAGATTAAAAAGCTTCTGTAAAAACAAATATTGCTGGTCTAATAAAAGGAATGTTTTCATTTTACAAATTCATTTCTGAATCGAAGCAGTGATTTATTCATGTATCTAATTTTGGGCTTTAAAACTGTTTTAATATGCGCCAGAGGCAGATAATAATGACCACTAGGAATTTTTGGAACGCAACGGGTTAAACGCTGGCATGAGCCAAAAATGGACATGTAATTCTTACATGTTAGAAATATTTAGATTCAGCTTGAATATTTGTAGAACAGACATTCCCACGGTCTTGAGAACCCAAGAGAATATATAACAGTATCTACACATAGTGATATATTTAGTGCTTTTATTGCCCTTCCCATATATTCTTTATCATACTAGCACACAACTTAGCTTAGATGTGTAAAAGGTGTGAATGCAAATGTTTGTGCATCATATACACAGTATATAGGTAACATCATGTACACATTGATGACAGATCAAGAAAAATCTACTGCAATAAATAGACACAGTATAAGAAAGTGGGGAACTCCAACCTTCGGCACTCCAGATGTTATGGACTACATATCCCAGAATGCTCTTACAGCCGTAAGCATCAGGGGAGATGTAGTCCACAAAATCTGGAGTGCCGAAGGTTGCTTTCCCTTGCGATGGCATCTAATTGGAAAGGTACTCTTATGAGCCAGGTCATATCAAGAACACTAGGGATTTTAATGCATGATATGTGAGGTAGCCTGGGGGTATGTGCAAATAACTTGGGCTGGCCCAGATGGATATAAACAACACTATTAAAATTACAATACATTTTGTTTATTTTTCTTTGTGCTTTTTTTTATGATTTTGTTTTGCTTTAACTGTTCTATAGACAACAGTTATACATATGAAGGTGCATTCCATGTAATTAAGTCATTTTGAAATATTCATGAATTACTGTGATTATGTTGTTTTATGTTTCTGCATATAATTGGCAACTGCGTTATCGTGCTAATGACTTATTTTATGCAAAAGAATTGCGTTCTGTAATGTTTGAAGGCTGCCAACAGTGACCCGTGTGAAAAGCCTTGAGTTTATTGCTCTACGGTCCTACTATTATCGACAGAGAGTGGGTGAGGTTTGGATCTGTACAAACAAAACAGCCTAAATTAATTGGTTTTACACCGAGAAAGAAAAGGAACAGTGAATATAGTGATCTTGTCTGTGGGCATTTTTTTATAGTAAATTTAACATAAGAAATATACAGTACAATATAGAAAGCAAAAAATGGCACACATGTTGGAAGACATCCACATATAATAAGGAATAAAAAACATAGGATAAGATTTATCAAGGGAAAAACAGGTACTATTGGGGCAAAGTGGGACAAAAACAGGTACCATATGAGGTAAAGTGCTGAATATGTAGTAATCCCCATGAAAATCAATATAATGTATCTCAGCATTTATCTCTTTGCACCAAAGTCACCATAAATATCCCCTAATGTCTGTTATCTAGGTCGGGTGTTCCCCATACTGTCCACAAGGGACATCAAACAGCCCAGGTTTTAGGCACTGACAAAACCTGGACTATTTGTGTGTTTTAAAGGGAATGCAACATCAATATTACAACAAATAATGCTTTCATAACCACGGTTTTTAATGCTACAAAGAGCTGAAGATCAGAGCAAGTTTGTTACCAATTTCTTCTATACATCCTGTTCCAAATTATTATGCAAATTCTATTTGTGTCACAAAGATTTAATATTTTGTTTTTCAGTTTAACTCATGGATGGCATTGTGTCTCAGGGCTCTTTTGATCACTGAAAACAATCTCGGACACCTGTGATAATTAAATTGCAAGGTGAGTCCAATTTAAGGAAAAACTTCTAAAAGAGGGTGTTCCACATTATTAAGAGCCCATTTTCATGTAATTTGGGGAAGAAAAAGGATCTTTCTGCTGCCAAAAATAATTAAATAGTTCAATGCCTTGGACGAGGTATGAAAACATTAGATATTTCATGAAAACTTGTGGCTGATTCAGAGCACAGACGAGTTCATGCAGATAAAGGCACATTGAGGAAGATTTCTGCCAGATCCATGCATCGGATCAAGAGAGCAGTTGCTAAAATACCATTACATAGCAGCAAACAGATATTTGAAGCTGCTGGTGCCTCTGGAGTCCCACGGATATCAAGGTGTAGAGTCCTCCAGAGTCTTGCAACTGTGCATAAACCTTCTATTTGACCACCACTAACCAATGCTCACAAGAAAATACATGAAGACTAATTTTCAAAACAGTCCTGTTCACTGATGAGTGCCATGCAACCCTGGATGGTCCAGATGGATGGTTGGTGGACGACCACCCTGTTCCAACAAAGCTGCGACGTCAGCAAGGCGGTGGTGGAGTCATGTATTGGGACGGAATCATGGGAAGAAAGCTGGTCGTCCCCTTTAGGGTCCCCAAAGGTGTAAAGATGACCTCTGCAAAGTATGTGGAGTTTCTGACTGACCACTTTCTTCCTTGGTACAGAAGGAAGAACTATGCTTTCCATAATAAAATCATCTTCATGCATGACAATGCACCATCTTATGCTGCAAAGAATACCTCTTCATCAATTTCTGCTATGGGGATAAAAGGAGAGAAAGTCATGGTGTGGACTCCATCCTCCCCTGACCTCAATCCTATTGAGAACTTTTGGAGCATCCTCAAGCAAACGATCTACAAGGGTGGGAGGCAGTATAGATCCAAACAGCAGCTCTGGGAGGCTATTCTGACATCTTGCAAACAAATTCAAGCAGAAACTGTCCAAAAACTCACAAGTTCAATGGATGCAAGACTTGTGAAGCTGCTATTAAATGAAGGGTCTTATGTTAAAATGTAACGTGACCTGTTAAAATGTTTAAAAAGTTAAATTGTTGTTATAAGTTTGATTGAAATAGCTTTTGATTTCAGTAAATATGCTGCAAACACAATAAATGGCCGTTTTCAGTTCTTTATAACCTGTAAAGTGTTTTGAAACTTACTGTGCGTAATAATTTGGAGCAGTGCATTGTAAGGTTTTTCTGTTTAAAAAAAATACTGTTATTAGGTTTGTTCAATAAAATTTGAATTGTACTCTTAATAGTTGATAACATGAGAATTATGCTGACTGTTATTTACATCAATTATTTAGGTAAATGAGAAAAATAGCATTTGCATAATAATTTGGAACAGGGTGTAGTCACACAGGATAAGCAAGATTATTTGTGGTGTAATTGGTAAAATTGTTTTCCAGGGACTGATTAGTACATAATGGACAAGACACATCATAAAATAATAGTAGTAATAAATTGACACATTAAACACCAAAACAGCTTTTGCTTTAAGGATTAATCCAACAACCATCATAGCCACTGCTGTACTGGTTATGATAGTAGAAGTACCCTGGCACAGATCATCAATAATGGGGCGATCTGTTTTACAACGTTTTGCCCTATTAGCTGGTTTTGCCGGGTGCTGGATCTCCACTGAAGCAGGATTTATAACAACTGACTTTTGCAGAAGTCGGATGCAGATTCTGCCACTTATTTATTGGCTGAGAGCGTCAGGTGACCGCTCTCAACCAGTGAAATAGATTCTGTGCATCAAAATTTGTACAAAGTTGATATTGGCCAGCCCATAATGCTTGTACTACAGCAGAGGCCTTAAACTTGGTATGTGCTGCGTTTCAAAGCAATACACATGGTGCACATACAGACACCTGGCACCACGACCACTTCAAATCAGTGAAGTTGTAATGGTGCTGGAGTAAACCTTTAATAAAGCTGTTTTGATGTGTAGATTATGTCCCTGCAGTCTATCTGCTCAATTATCTGCCATTAAATCACTTTGTATATGCGGCTCTAGCCACACCTCCCCTGGCTGCACACAGCCTCCCTACACACTTTCTTAAATAGAGCTTAAATATTTTAACTTCTCTTATTGCACAGTTTGTTTAATTTTGAATTTATTATCTCCTGACCTGTTAAAAGTTTGCTACAACCTGCAGGAGCATCTTGTGTGTTAAGGGTTCTATTAACAGAGTAGGGTAGTTATCACTTCTAAAGTAAACACACTGTGCTTTAAGATATATTTGAAAATGAAACCTATTTTTTTCTCATGAAGGTTGTGAGTCAAATTTTAGGACCAAGTAACCAAGCTTGAAACACAGCTGCATTTGAGATTTCAAATAAGATCCTTTGGCCTTAAAGGGACACTATAGTCACCCAGACCACTTCAGCTCAATGAAGTGGTCTGGGTGCCAGGTCCCCCAGGTTTTAACCCTTCAGATGTAAACATAGCAGTTTCAGAGAAGCTGACGTTGACGTAGAAGGAGTGGTCACCAGCGCCGAGGGAGCCCGGCGCAGGATAATGGTAAGTGGCTGAAGGGGTTTTATTAAATAACCCTGTAAGTGAATCTGTTGCAAAGACAGTGGAGTATACAGCGAATACACTGCCATTAATAGGTAATGCTTTTTGTAGTTGTTCTTCTTTTGTTGTGATACTAGTGTATCATTTTACCATATGCAGTTAATTTCTTAGAGCAGTGATGGCTAACCTTGCAGATATTTGCAAACTACATATCCATGGCGCTTTTCATCGTCTTACTGCATACCCTTACTTTAATGCTACAGTCTCGTCTCTTGGGTCGGTGCTCTTGGAGTTGTCATTCTACTGTTATGGGGAACGATGCTTTTGGATCCCATCTGCAGTTCTTTAAACTTCTGTAGGATCTCTCTGTAATTTGAGTTGTTTTTGTGCAGCATTATCTTGTGATGATGATGTGGCTCATGCAAAAAAACAGCAGCAGCTCCTGAACTGCTTACTGGGTATCTGCCCAAAGTAAACAAGATCATTAAAATCAAATTATGCAATCTATATATAGATTCCCAAACTGACTTGTAACAGAGAAATGTGGTAAATTGTGCACCAAATATAATGTTGGCCAAAATAGCGGATTTAGATTTTTACTTTTTTTTTTATTAAATTCATCTATATTTCCAATTTGACAAGCAATACCAAGACAGAACTGAGGAAACGTTGATGTTTCCTCCAATATCAGCAATCTAGCTTTGAAACTGTTGTAAATGATTCCTTATGAATAATGCCTGGCACAGTGTTGCATGTAGAACTCATTGTACCCTTGTTACTAATTAGCAAGGTTTCTATTTTATAATAACTTCTATTTGTGAAAGATAATATAAGATATAAAGCTATATACCTAACTCAGGGATAAGCAAACTACATATTCCCTGATGCTTTGCCTCCATTTTGACTCTAAGGTAATTATATGCAATGTAGTCTACAAGATCTAGAATGACAGTTTGCTTATCCATGATCTAAGCCATGCCTTTAAATGGATCAAAGAATCCTCAGAGGGTACATGTGTGTCTTTTTGTTTTTAATCCAAGCTTTTACCTAATAATTTGTATAATACTTGCCTCCTTTAAAAAAAGGACCAAAACCGCTACACAATGCACTGTTGTGGCTATGGTGCAGGAGTGCTCTGCCTTCCCCTCTTTATCAACTAATGGTCAAACTGCTGAGAAGTCAAACCATTCTAAAACGCTTATGGTATGTGAAATGTTCCTTTAAATGAGACTGAGAATAATACTAACTCCATTACTAATGTTGTCCTCTGTCAAAAATAATCTCAGCATGCAAAGAATTGGAAATACTGCTACCCAGTTAAATGCAAAAATTCATCCAATTTCTAATTATGGGGTTTTCTAAAAGAACGGATAACAAAATGCTCGCAGTTTGAAGCAGAAATTGTTAGTAATTATGGCTGTTTTTAGAAGGAGGGTTCTCAGCCTCTTGAATTTTCAAACAGAATAAATGCAATTTGCCTGGGAATCTGGCAAAAAGATATCATTATATCATGAATGATGCACAGGATAATGCTTCTTATGAAAATAATTACATACAAGCGTTGGCCAAACAGATATACATGTACACATTTGAGCTGTGTATATGCTACTCAGGTATGAAGAGTGTTTATAAAAAAAAAAAATACCTGTAAAAAGTGTGGCGGGGCTACCTTTTGTTTCCTACATGGGAAGTTGGTATATTTGCAAAATGACACAAATTATATTAGTTAGAAACCACAATTTTGCTTTTCTATATGAGCCATTGTAACATTTACAGTAAAGGACACTTTGTCAAAACAGTGCTGCTATATGTTAGGTTTCCATGTTTATGTAATTGCAAAGTTTATGACTCTAATCTAATCTCTGAAGGTCATGTATGGCACAGTCAAGATCTTAATTACCATCTGATGCTTGACTGTTGGCCGAGTTCTGTTGTCAATCAAATTTCTTCATAAGTAATTTATGTTCTGCTTGTGGTATATTTATATTTACAACAAAGTAACTATACATTGGTAGAAACATTCAAAAATAACCTGCATATAATTAGTTTGGGAAATGAAATTTAGCATTATAAAAACTAAAAGTCGATAGATCTGTTTTAAGTTGGCACATTCACTGTTAAGATTAGCTTGTTCTGCAAAGATTAAGGTAGAGCTATCATGCCTAGTGCTTACAGATAGTTAAATGTGGTACTGCTGAGAATGGCTGGGTTTTTTTGTTTGTTTTTTAATAAGACTGAAAGAAAGAACATATCCCGTAGAGTAAGATAGGCGTTGGAACTTAAAACTGCTATGTGGATACAAGCTGGGAATATATTTTGGCTGATCTGCTCACAAACTCTCACCGTTTGAAGCCCTGAGGTGGGAGAATGTTTCCTTGGGGATCAGTGGGGGGCACTCTGGCCAGGCTGCGCATCAGTAGTGAACGTGTCTCCCAGTCTTCTCTTCTGATGCCTTTACTCCGTACATACTTTCCCCAAGTGTTCTCCTCCATACGAGAAGGTGGTGGAATGGGCTTCATCCCCGATGGTCTTGAGGGAACTGCAGTCAATTGCCTCCATACTGCGCTGTCATACGGCATGTCTGGACGCAATGGAATGAGTGGAGGTAAGTTGCTGACCTCCAGCCAAGTGATGTAGCCAGCACTGGGTGGGAGAGGAAAGTCTTCACGGGGGCTTCGCAGTTTCCTCAACAGTTCCAGTTTGGCTTCTGTGTTTGGTGGGTTTCTATGTAGCAGCTTGTGTATGTTCCGTGTTTTAAAGGCAACAGAATGAACAGGAGGATCTGGAAACAAGGGGTCAAGTGCAGAGTCCCACAGCATGACTGCACTCGGAAGGAGGTCAGAGCCTGGAGAAAAAGCACAGTGCAATCTAGTGGTGAATCTCTGGGTTAACAAATGTGCAATCTTACTATAGGCAAGCTGTTTATATATTTCTTTTAGGTCATTATCCCACAGCAATGGAGTTTTTGCATTGCCTCACCTTTTCATATGGCCTGGTGCACATTCAGTAAGCATACTGCCTTGTTAAAAACAGGCATCTGTGTTTCGAAGATAACATTATTGATGTTTCTTGTAGAACACAGGGAAGAGTTATCAATTAAAGGGAAACGTTCTGTGGGGTTTTTTTTATCTTATGTTTACTATTCGCTATCTTTAACACATATGTATTTATGAGGTGGGCAAAATAAAATGAAACATATAAATCTACACCTTTTTATCCTGCAACTGCGCACCTCCATCTTAGCTCCCTGCCAATCATTGTTGAAAAGTTCTGTTCTTTGCATCTGGCAGCCAGAGAGGAGGAGAAATGAAACAATAAAATATTCCTATTGCAATGTTTGCCCTGGCTTTGCCTTGTCTGAACTGGTTTATGATGTAATTTGCTATATATTAAATATAAATGTAAAATAACAGAGCATCTTATGAAAAAAAACCAAAGATTAACATACGTTACAGATGATTTTTTTTTAAATGGTGCAGATTCTACAGAACGGACAGTTCCATAAGATGGTACAGGTAATGAATGTGTTTCTCTGCTGGTTAAGGACCATAATGAGAGCAATGTTTAGCCTGTAAACTGTCAGCTTATGCATAGTCTCAGTAAGCATGTGATATTGCAATGCATTACTCTGAAAAGCTGTTCCAGCGTCTGCCAACTTCATCACACGCTTATTTAGCAGGAACCATCTTCCTCGTTATTGAAAATAGAAATTCTATGACACTGAGGATAACCCTAGCATGCACAGCAACACAGCTGTTATGGTGACATCCAGCTCACTTTTTAAATTCCTCAAGTTAATTCAACAGAAATAAAACACACCTCTCTTTCTCTCTCCCCTGTTTATATCTAAGTGGGACATCTGCTAATATTTAAATAGATATCTAAAGTGTGTGTCAAGCTGTGTGTATGTGTCACTCTGTGTATATGTTAGTGTGTGTATCTATGTGTCTGTGTGTATGTGTTAGTGTGTATATGCCAATAGTGCCAATATATGTATCATTGTGCGAAGGTGTGTGTATGTGTTAGTGTGCATCTGTGTCAAAAACTACCTACTAAGCCCTCAGTGAGTACTTTTCTACTTCGTAGAAACAACCTACTTTGTACGCCTACTTTTACTCTTTGTGTCACTATACCCCACTCCCTCTAGAATGTAAGCTCATTGAGCAGGGCCCTTCACCCCCTCTATTTCTGTACATTACAATTACATGTCTGTTTGTCCACCTATTGTACAGCGCTACGGAATCTGATGGCGCTATATAAATAATAATAATAATTGTATCTGTCAGTGTGTTTCTGTGTGTATGTGCCATTGTGTGTGTATCTGTGTGCCAAGGTGTATGTCAGTGTCCACGATGTTGATACACTATGTGTATGTGTTTGTCCATGGGAAAAATTAATTGGGAACCCCTTCTATAGAGGATCCTGTGATCTCATGGGATCCTCCAAATACCTTTGTGTCGTGCTCTCACGCATGCGCAAGAGTACAGCACTGACATTGGATCCTGGTAGCTGAAGCACCAGAGCTGAAGAGGGCTGGATGGAAGATCATGGTAGTGGACATGAGGGAAAGGTTCAGCTAAGTATAACTCACATAAAACCATTTGTAATGGCACTGTAATGATAAATTGTTTTAAATGCATACCTTTGAAATGGAACATTATTCATTACTATTTCTAGTTATGTTTACAATTGATCTCATAAAACCTTAAAGCACTGACAATCCATGCGAATAACTGGAAACACTGACCCCCAATAACTGAATTTTGAATCCTAACAGCTTACCCTCAAACAGACCCAGAAAACTCTCCGTGCCTTTGCTTACGCTAGGCCCATGAGGCATTGACCCTTGTGACAAGAGCAATCTCGCCACATTGTATTGGAGAAGCCTGGTTGCTCGCCTGTTGCCTTTGGATTATGGCCCCATGTTAAAAGACTTCTTTTCCCCTGCAGAAAAGGCTTATTCGTGCCTTTCTGCCCGGCGGTCGGTAGATTCAATCTACCGAACGAATGCACGAATGACTGGACACCTGGGAGCTGGAGCGTGTTGGCAATTAACCTCCCAGAAGCTGTGGTTAACCGCAGCTTAATTGACGAATGCTGGGTGGCCTTTGTTCGGTTGCCGAACACGTGGCGGCGGACATTTTAAAGTCCCGAACGGCCAGCGGTGTTCAGCGCCCAAACTGTGGAACTGTAAACGGACACTTATTTGCTCGAAAACCGCTGAGCCGTCAGCCTCCTTGCTTCTGCATTCGGTCAGTTAACCGAATGCCTGTTCATTCGGTAGTTTAAACCGTATGAACAGCATTACCCCAGATAGCCATCCCGTGGAGTCTATTCGTATGGAGAACAGACTTTAGGAACACTTTAACTCCACGGCGATTGGACTGTGTGCATAGGATCTGAGCGCTATTCGGTACTTTTGTGCGCTCAGATCCCAGCTATCTGGGGATGGGTTGCAAGTATATATTTTGTGTGTTAAATGTAATATGGTGTATTTTATTGTGTTTTACTGTAACCATGTGGTTAATGGAGTTTTACCTCTGTCCTGGAAGATAATTGGATTACTTCCCAATTATCTCCAGGACAGAGGGAGGGAATGTGACGAAATGCCTTTTGTCCCTGGATTGTTAGGTGACAAGCTGCCCTTTGCCCCCGGCTTTTGGAGGAGCCTGATTGCCAGCCTCCTTCCTCATGACTATGGCCCTGGGGTGTATTGCCAGTTAAAAAAGACTATTTGGGGCTTATTGGCTTCTAAAGACAGTTTCTTCCCATTGGAATCCATGGGAAGGTGTGTTTCTTCCCCTCCCCCGTTTCCTGTCTATTGTTCACCTAGATTGGGCGCTCAGATCCGAGCTATCTGGGGATAGGTTAAATGTGGGGGTTCTGTGTAATATAATAAGAATTATGTATTTTTATGTACTTTTACGTATTTTTGCTGTTAGTGTAAAATGTAGATATTTTCTGTACCTGGAGATAATTGAGTTTACTGCAGTACCTTAAGCCAATTATCTCCAGGATGGAGAGGAGGGATTTCATTGTTTATGTGAGAGTGTTATCATGTTAATTAGTGTTCCCATTGGTTTGTGTCCCTTTTGTCACAGTTTAGCACCAGGTCCAGGGGGTGTGCCTCTGACCTGAAAACTTGTATATAAGGAGTAATAAACGCTCATTGGAGTCAGATCATCTTGTACCTTCATGAAGTTTCGGCTCATGTTTGGGGGATTGGAGAAACTACACTCTGGGGATGGCTATAATCACTATACTCCCCAGGGTATAATCACTAAGCTCTGCTAAGAGCTTGTTCCTGTTCCTGCTCTCTGGAATTCAGAGAGAGGTCGACCTGCTGGAAGCTGGACCCGGGTCCTGGGTCCAGAGTGGGTGGAGACGGCGAGACCCCAACCAAGCTGCGGCGGTTCGTGGGGTCTGCAGTGGTTATGGTGTCAGGCAGAGTGCTTGGAGTCCTCGGAAAGCACTAGGAGCATCCGTCGGCGGAAGGTACCCGGTCGGGGTGCCAGCGGTTCCGTTACAGGGAAGTTAGGATGGATTGTAGGAATGTTTTACCTCTGTGTGTCTGTCATTGGTTCATGCCTGTCCTTTGTTACAGTCTCCTATTTGGTCCCCTAGGGGAGTGTCCACCAGGTGGGAGACTTGCATAAATACTGGGCAGGTAGCCCTCATTAAACCAACACTGAGCTCTGTCTCGTCTTTGGGGAGATTTACTGTATGCTGTTAGAGACTGATTGCCAGGAGTGTAAGCCGCTTGGGTGCTTTTTCTGTTCGTCTGCTAGCAGCTATTCGTGAGGTTCCAGTTCGGGAGTTTGGAGCATTCCCTTGTATGCAGTTCGGGTGTTTGGAGCATTCACTTGAATGCAGTTTGGGAGTTTGGTGTTCTGCAGTAGCTGTGCCTGTATCTCTGGAAGGGGAAGATCGACTAACTGGCAGTTTAAACCTTTTATGCCCGGGGTGCCGTTACAACCCTAATCTCAAACTCTGGTTTCTGCAATCCCTATCAACATGCTTGTCAATTCTACAGACATAATACTTTTCTATTAGCCACATCTAGACAAACTAGTCTGGTACAGTTTCTGTCCCAAGACTGAGCTCTGGATCCACCCCCGCTTGTCACCCTGTCATGGATATAGATTATATCACAACATTTATCAGCACAAGGCTGGATTTCCCATATACTACATGTGATATAAATCTTTTGAGCTGTATTCCCTTGCTAGTACAATCAGCCACCCAGTGAGGATCAGAAAGGCCGTAGGACAAGAGAGGATGTCAGGAAATAGGACGTGGTCCCCATGATTAGAAGGAGATGGTGCTTGGATTACATTGCTGTTTTTCTACTTCTCTAATGAGCATTTCTAATATGATCTATGTCAGGGATAGACAGCCTTCGGCACTCCAGATGTTGTGGACTACATCCCCCATAATGCTCTTACACCCATAATGCTGACAAAGCATCATGGGAGGTGTAGTCCGAAACATCTGGAGTGCCGAAGGTTGCCTATGCCTGATCTATGCCCTTGAACTGTAGTAATATTGTTTACAAAAAATGCTGTGGCCTTAAGATAAAACAATCGTGGTTTATTAATTTTGGTTGGTACAGAGTTATGGTATTGTTTCCCAGAGACGTTACAATAATGACGTGTCGTGCATTTGATGGTCTCACATTTGATTTCCTCTCCAGGGCCAGAGGCTCTTGTGTGTTTTGCTGATTTACTATATTAGATGCACTGCTACCCATTTCGTGTACTTCCTCTCTGTTATATATCTACTTGACAGCAGCTCTGTCGGCCTGTACGTTTGATTTGTAGAGAATGATTTGGGCCTATCCATCCAGAACACGAGCATCTTGTGGTTCAGTTAAAGGAACAGCGCAGAGGAAAAGCAATTTTGCTTTATGAGCAAGAATGCTATTTAACTTAATTACAACTGTGTTGTGAAAGCACAGGAGAGCTCTTTAGCTTTCTCGGGGTGGGATTCTGAAAGAACGTTAATTTGAAAGATAAACATTTATCTGAAAATGTTTAGGTTGTATAACAAAATGATGCTATTGCTGTGTCTGGTAGAAGATACACTTAAAACAAAGGTTCTTACCAGCTAAAGTTTGATTACAGTTACTATGTCATGCAGCCACCATCGGAGGCTGAGAGTACAGGAGCATTTTAGCATTGCACTATGATTTCTCTGAAGAATTCGGACTGGTGGATTTGGGTTTTTAGGCTACATTTTCATCAGTTGCCTCTGAATAGATGTTTTTATGTGCCATACTCTTAATGAATATTTCTATGCTGTGATATTGAGTGTGTCAATAATGTTAAAGCAGACACCTAGTATTGCTAACTATGGACTAATATAGAGTTATACATTTACATTTTGAAAAAAGACACCCTGAATCACTTAAAGGGATACTATAGATATCAAAACAATTTTAGCTTAATTAAGCAGTTTTGGTGTATAGCTCTATGCCGTGGCGTCTCACAGCTAAATTCTGACATTTAGTTCACTAACTTTTGTTTCTGTCCATGCAGCTCTAGCCACACCTCCTCTTGCTGTAAATCACTCAGCCTGCAAAAAATATGGTTTAATTTTAAATCAGATTTTATCTCTTGTTCTGTAAATCACACACAGGAGGCTCCTATAGGGGTCTAGAAGAGAGGTGCCTTAAAGGTTTGCTGTTCTAAAGGCATGAAAAGCATCATGGGAGTTGTAGTTCTACAACCTCAGGGGATCTACCTTTTGACCATCGCTGGTCTAGGAGGTTGTTAACAGCCTGAATTAAACAGATTGTGCAATAATAGAAGTTTAACCCCTTAAGGACATATGACATGTGTGACATGTCATGATTCCCTTTTATTCCAGAAGTTTGGTCCTTAAAGGGTTAAAAATTAGATCTCACTTTACAGGAAGTATTTAGGAAGGCTGTGTAAGTCACATGCAGGGAGGTTTGTCTAGGACTGTATAAACAAAGTGAACTAACTCCTAAATGGCAAAGATTTGAGCTGTGAGACTGCAGGGGCACGATCGATACACCAAAACTGCTTCATTAAATATTTCATATTTTAAAGGAAAACTGTTACATTCCAAGGCATTTAATAATATATTTACCTATCTTCTATATTAAAAAAAATTTGTATCTAAGGTCTGTAAAAATTGTTTGGAGACTCTTTCAATCATTGTTCTAAATCTGCACTTGTCGCTAGATAAAATAGGAAGAGAATGAGAAAAAATGTTTTGTGCTCCTCCTTCTCTAATACAATATTAATTGCTAAATCTTTAATATACATTTGAAAGAAAATGGACACTCTGGCATTCTGATTACATTTATGTATAACTCATCTCCTGCGCCCCCTGTTAACTTAGTTAGCTCGACTCCACTTGTATAGAGCATAATTGAGACTCAAAGTGCATGAGCAGCAATCAGGCTTAGAATATTAGCTATTCACTAAAGTGGGAATTTGTATTAATTTATAATAAATCCAAACAGAATTTTAAATTTATGGTCAAAATAGCCAAATTTGAAAAATTCTCCAAACTGGGAGAATTTACTGGTAGATTTTCCTGAGCCTACATTACATATGGCACAGTATAGCTGCCAAGGAAATAAAATTACCCTATAGTAACATTTGTAAAAATAGACAACCAAGTGTCTGCAGCAAAACTGGGGTGCGGTGCGGTGCTGTGCTGGCCTGGGATAGCATGTGCCCTGGGCTATGGATGGAGAGGGACGCCGCGCCACCAGTCCTTCGAACCAACAGCCTCGGAGACTCGCCCCACCAGCCCAGACCCAGCTATGCATTACTGGAAACAGCCGCATGCAGAGGTGGAAGCAGTCCCTTTTTCCCCAACCACTAGACACCAGGTAATGTGCTCCACCCTCAGCTCCTCTCACCTACTAAGGTAATACCTTGGAGGCAGATTTGGTGACTGTGTACGCAACTGTGTTGTGCGACTGTAACGGTGTGTGTACTTGTAAATGTATGTGATCATGAATCTTTCCCAAACTTAATGAGTGTGTTCTTGTAACAGTGACTGTGACTGTTTGTGACTGTATGCCTGTAAATATGTGTGTGGTCCCTGTGTGTGTGTCTGTAACTATGTGTATGACTGTGTACCATTGACTATATATGGTGTGTATGTGTGTGTAACTGCAACATAGTGTATGTGTCTGTCTGTGTGCATCTGACTACCGTGTCTATCTGACTGTGCACCTGGATGTATGACCCTGTGTGTCTGTATATATGTGACTGTGTCTAGGTATATGTATGTATAAGTGACTGTGTATATAATCATGTAATGCTATGAAATATGACCAACAAAAAAAAAAATGCTGCTGGCACTACTGTGGCAGCAAATGTGTCAGCCGAATATAAAGTTTAAACTGGAGCTCCAGAGCAGGAGTACACGACCAGTCGACCAAACACATTTCTTGTTGTGACTGTGTGTGGTTGTCTGTCTGTGTATATGACTGTGTGTGTCCATGTTTGTATGTGAATGCATGTATGATTACATATATGTATAAGTATATGAGGAACAAAAAAAGGGTAAGAGAGTTAAGAAACCGGTTATAGTTAATTGATACAGAAGAGAAGGTGTAGTCTGGGTTAAGGGAGACACAAGAAACAGAGGATTTAAAACACAAGGTTTAGAGAGCTATTAGGAGAAACACACAAAGTAAAGCATAGACTTGAAAACGACACACAGAAAATTCAGGGGAGGGGGTGGACAGAATTCCCTCCTGGTGCCAAGTGACCTAGCTAAGTCTCTGCCCAGTGTAATACAAGTAGGGCTACTCAAGGATTTTGGTGAGTGGCTGTTTGATCATGAATCTTTCCCAAACTTAGTGAGTTTTTCTTTTAGTTTAGTTAATTCACCATGGGTGAATTTCATTTCCTTGATCCTCTGTATAGCATGTAGCGGCAAATTCACTCTTTAGTTCTATTAGCCTAGCCACATCCCTAAACAATGCTGTAAAGTAGTTGCTTTGGTAAACAGACTCTTTTGGTTTTAATTATTCACATTCTACTTAATTTATAGAAGTCATTTGAGCTCAACCCAGTTTCCACCTCATCAATTTACTCCATAGCATTCTGTTTCCACGGTCAGCGTTCTACTATTACCATCATTCTAACTTTCTTATAGACAGCCATCCATCCATCCTATTTTGGGTCAGACGCAAAGGCATAGGTAACAGAACTGCAGTGTTATTGTCTGGAGCCCTTTGTTCAGGCTGGGATATATACTCCATACATTGCTATATAAAGCATAGCCACACCATTCTGCTAAACATAAATCCATAGAGAAGCTGGCAGAGTATGTTTAGTTCACAACACAATATAGACACTACTATGGTTAATAAATGTAGTGGAATATAAAGTATACAAATACTTAAAGTTACAATACAGCCTCCCAAGATCGATACCCAGAAAAAACGACCTTTTCAATGTATAGACAACCAAAACACAAATATCTGGGATACGGCTGAAACAAATCTAAATCTTCCTTCGCTTGTGAAGTAACCAGTGGTATTCAGGACTTCAAACGGGTGATGGTAGAAAATCGGTTATTTAAAAAAAAAAATTTTTTTTAATTCTTTATTTTTGCAGTGCGTATAGTGGTTACAGGTATACATATGGTACCCCAACAGCATTCCATATGCTAATGTAAAGACATTAGTTACAGTGGGGGTTAGGTGGGGGTTAGGTAGCACTTTTTTTTTTTTTTATTGCGTAATGATAACAAGCTAATAGGTGTTGCTGAATGGTATAACATGTTAGCTTAAGATTTCGTTTAACTCAACTTTTTGCACATCATATTGTAGTTATGTTGCCATGACAGTAATCTAAGACATAGAGGTCACTTAGCTGTAGGATTAATGCGCATTTTTATGATTAAGTGAAGTATGCGTTACAGGCTAAGCTCATATATGCTTTATGCAGGGGAAGTTCTGTAGTTCGTACCATCTATGGCTAGGATCACCATCCTGCAAGTACTGGAAAGCTTACAATGTTGTGTTTCAACGAGTAGCAGTAATAATAGGATTAAAAAACTTGTTAAGTAGCTTAACTAACAGAGTTAAATTAAATGAAACAAGTGTATAACAGTTTATGCTTGACGTTGCTAGATTGGCTATAGTAGGTGGTTAGATCCACAAGACTTGGTACATGCTAGCTGAGTCATCGCTGTGGTCACTTAAGTAGCTGGAGATCCTATATTTGCATATAACCTCTGAATTTTTAACTTTTGCTTATAACCGTTGCTTATTACATTTGCCTACATCAACTTCACATAGTATTTGCAAGAGAATTAGAATGTAGCATAGAAACAAGTAAAGCAAAGCATATGGCAAACTATGTGTGTTAGAGCAGTAAAAATGCATTATAAATGTGAGAGTCACAGATCTGCAAACTGTTTGTATCCACTGGGTCCCTGCATCTAGGTCGCTCCGTTCCCCTTGTCCTGCTCCGTCGGGCTGCTGGAGACAGTGGGCTGAGAGGTATGCCTGCTTTCCTGGGTTAGGGTGTGTTTGCTGTGCTCATGTGACAACGCAGGGTGTAGTGTGTCGGTGAGCCGATCATCAGTGCCCGGTGCTGGTCATGTCGTGGTCTCCTGTCTCGCCTTATTGCTGGCGCCCGCACTTGTCTCTCCTGTTCTGGGTGTGTTGCGGCAGGTGGGCAGCTGGGGACTGTGTAGCACTACCCTGTTGGGATGCCTTGTTGTCTTGGTTGAGGGTTGGGCAGGTGTACCCCGTTGCTGGTTGCCTGGTCGCTGGAGCTCCAGTCCCCTTTAGGGGGTGAAGTGCTGCTCAGATAGCCGAGAGGCAGTTTGGCGGCCATTTTAGGTTCTGGGCCTCGGAGTGCGCTCTGCAGGTTTTGGTGGTGGAAGCTTCGTTGCCCCCCAGTGGGGACCGGGATATCCCCCCCGGTCCAGGGGGGGGGGAAGGGGCCTGTGAGGTGTGCCCCAGAGCTGTCATGTGGCGGCCTGCCAGGCAAGTAGGCAGGGTGGCGGCCGTCCATCCCGCCTCTCTCACGTGGAGGCCGCAAGCTCCAAAGCCTTGTAGGACCTGTGGGGCCCCAAAACTCCCGATCTTGGAGCCCGCTGTTGCGCCAGCTTCAGCTCCGGCACCTTGCTGTTTCCCTCCGGCTCTAATCTAGGCTGTAAGCCCAGACCATCGGTCGAAAAGGCCATATATCCGCAGGAGCCTCTCCCTCATGCGACCGGTCAGCATGGCGGGCAGGCCCCGCCCCCGAAAATCGGTTATTTTTATTAATAAAAAAGGTGAACAATCACCATCAATATAAAATAAAATATAAGAAGAGAATGGTTTGGTCCTGACATTTAAAATAACCGATTTTCTACCATCACCCGTTTGAAGTCCTGAATACCACTGGTTACTTCACAAATGAAGGAAGGGATTACTAGCCCCCCACTACATCAGGGGAGGCACCCTAAGAGAGATACATTCTACACAATCTTGTGAGTGCATCTATGTATAGCACATAATTGATTGTGTCAACTGTACTTCACTATCTATCTATTTTATGTTCCTTTTAGATTTGTTTCAGCTGTATCCCAGATATTTGTGTTTTGGTTGTCTGTTTAGTTCACAACAGCTGGAGTGTCATGCATTTATGTATGACTTTTTGATATATTCATTTAACAGACTCGCATACATAATTAATAAGACATATTAATTAATCATGCTCATATTATATCTAAGCGTTGATTCATTAGGCGTCACATTGACATTTCCACTATCAACTATTTGATTGCAGGTGGGTTCCCTCACTAGATAGGACTATTTTTGCCACAAGGCAAAGGGGACATTTTCGGACCCAAGCATTCCACATGAAACCTTTTAACCGAACAGACGAACTGTCAGGGTTATTTACTAAACTGTGAATTTTGGAAATTTCATATTTTTGTCCAAAATTACCAACTGGAAAATATTCTCAAAGTAAGCTCTGTTTCCAGCTCATCTACTTTGGTCTAAAATGTGCTATTCCTCATTGAATTGCCGGCAGGTCACCATTTAGTAAATAACCTACTCAGCGTTATTTACTAAATTGTAAATTGTTGTGAATTCATTAGGAAATGTCTAATTTTACCCTGAAAATGCTGAATAGGAGAGAAAAAGCAAACAAACTCTATTTCTAGCTTTGCCTTTAACTCTATTGCAATTCTTTTTTCACTGTCTTCTCTTAGCGCATTAAGCTCTCCCCATAGTAAAGAATTGCTGCTATGCTTTTCTATGGGGATTTAACGGAAGCAGGATGTCCTCATGCAGTGTGTGAGGATGTCCAGCAACAGTTAGGCGACCAAAAGTCGCATAGCAAGCAAGAAGGGCCTCTAGTGGCTGTATGATTGACAGTCACTAGAAGCAGTCTTAGTCCTGCAATGGAATTATTGCAGTTTAACAAAAACTGCAATGATTTACATTACAGGGCTAAGGGGGACTGGGACACTGAACCAAGACCACTTCAATGAGCTGAAGTGGTCTGGATGCATATAGCGTCCCTTTAAATTTTGCAATTTACTGGTGAATTCCTTCATAATTTAGTGAATAACCTTATCTGTATTTTACATGTTTTCTCAGAATATTGCATCCATTTCTCTGATAATGTAGGGTATTAAACGACTTCAAGCTTGCATAATGTTATTGCACAGCTGCACCAAGCTGCAGTATCTTGAGAATGAATTTAGACAACACATGAACTGCCTAAAGTCAGTAAAGAAAAAAACTAGCTTTCATGTATAGAGAGAGAGCTGAGACAGAAGTAGGGAGGGCGAACTGAGTTAGAAAAGAGGGAGGGTGAAATGAAATGGAAGAGAGAAGAAGCCTTTACACCTTGGGGAGATATGAAAAGTTATGTATTACTAATGAAACGATTACCGCATGGTGTAAAATGCTTGTTTACTGTATGTGATCCATGCTCCTGGCCCCAGTGGGGATTATGTAAGTGCTTCTGTTTAGTTTGGATAGCACAAAACCCAGTGTTTTCAGACAACCACCTATTAAGTATTTCTCTCACTTGATACTGAGGCAAAGTGCATTTCTGTGATAAAATATTGGTTTGCTCCGATTGGGCAAATCCTTCCTCCTATAATGTATCCCTGTTCAGGTGAGTGCAGCCCTATTGTATGTAAATATATTTCAGAGTCCAGGCCAACTCTATGGTTTGGCACTCCTCCCTGTCACAGGTGCCTCAATCCAGGGCTCTATTCAGCCTTGGCATGCAGAGAGCCCCAGGAGGACAGATTTCCCAGGTATGTGTGTTAAAGGGACACTATAGGCACCCAGACCACTTCACCTCATTGAAGTTGGTCTGGGTGCAATGTCCCATGTCCAAGAAACTGCAATAATTGCCACTCAGGGGTTAACTCCACCAGGTAATTGGGGGCACACCCAGTATCCCCTCACACCAACTGAGAGACATGTATGTCATAAAGGTTGAATCTTTATGAAGTACTCATTATGGCTGTGTTGGAATTTTTCTGAACATTAGGGACTACTTTGTCTCTGTTTTTCTCCTCCACCTAATTTTCTGCAGCAGTCACCTTTACCTGCCTCCCCTGGCCACCAGACCACCAGTGGCGATGTCACTGTGGAGGGACTTTGCGAATTCAGCTAAGTCCACAAACTTTGACAGAGCTGCTTTAATGAAGCAGTTTTGGTGTATAGATCATGTCCCTGCTGTCTCACTGCACAATTATCTGCCATTTAGGAGTTTATGCAGCCCCAGCAACTGACATTAAATGTGGATAAGTGCAAGATAATGCATCTTGGATGTAAAAACCCAAGGGCAGAGTACAGAATATTTGATAGTCCTAACCTCAACATCTGAGGAAAAGGATTTAGGGGTGATCATTTCTGATGACTTAAAGGTAGGCAGACAATGTAATAGAGCAGCAATGCTAGCAGAATGCTTGGTTGTATAGGGAGAGGTATTAGCAGTAGAAAGAGGGAAGTGCTCATGCCATTGTACTGGTTCATGGATTACGGGATAAAACTTACCAGGAAAGGTTAAAGGATCTTAACATGTATAGCTTGGAGGAAAGACGAGACAGGGGGGATATGATAGAAACATTTAAATATATAAAGGGAATCAACACAGTAAAGGAGGAGACTATATTTAAAAGAAGAAAAACTACCACAACAAGAGGACATAGTCTTAAATTAGAGGGACAAAGGTTTAAAAATAATATCAGGAAGTATTACTTTACTGAGAGGGTAGTGGATGCATGGAATAGCCTTCCAGCTGAAGTGGTAGAGGTTAACACAGTAAAGGAGTTTAAGCATGCGTGGGATAGGCATAAGGCTAGGACTAATGAAAGTATTTAGAAAATTGGGCAGACTAGATGGGCCGAATGGTTCTTATCTGCCGTCACATTCTATGTTTCCTCCCTTACTCAGTATTCTTAAACACTTCCTGTAAAGAGATGTAATGTTTAAACTTCCTTTACTGCACCTCCTGTTTCATTTCAAATTTCTTATCTCCTGCTCTGTTAATAGCTTGCCAGAGGCAGCAGGAGCATCCTATGTGTGATTAGCATTCAATTAACCGAGCAGGAGATAAAGACATATAAAGTAAGCTTTAACCCCTTAAGGACTGGACTGTTTTTGCGATGTTGTACATTTGCGACCAGGCATATTTTTACACTTTTGTGGTGTTTGTGTTTGGCTGTAATTTTCCGCTTTCTCATTTACTGTTCCCATACAAATTATATATTGTTTTTTTCAGGACAAAAGGAGCTTTCTTCACATACCATTATTTATATAATCTCATGTATTTTTATTTAAAAAAAATACAAAAATCTGATGAAAAATTTAAAAAAATACATGTTTTTTGACTTTCACTTGAAAAATCTTTTGCTCATCTACAAAAGCGAATGAAAAAAACTGCTAAATAGATTCAAAATTTTGTCCTGAGTTTAAAAATACCTAGTGTTTACGTGCTTTTTTGCTTTTTTTTGCATGTTATAGGGCTATAGGTACAAGTAGGATATTGCGGTTTCAAAACATACATTTTAAAAATTTATCAATAGTGACATTGTAACACTATTATCTGTCATAAATCTCTGAATAACACCCACATGTACATATTTTTTTTAAAGTAGACAACCCAGGGTATTCAATATGGGGTATGTCCAGTCTTTTTTAGTAGCCACTTAGTCGAAAACACTGGCCAAAGTAAGCATTCATATTTGTTTGTGTGTGAAAAAAGTAAAAACTAAATTGAACGCTAATTTTGGCCAGTGTTTGTGACTAAGTGGCTACTAAAAAAGACTGGACATACCCCATTTGCAATACCTTGGGTTGTCTTCTTTTGCAAATGGTATGCCATCATGGGGGTAATTCTCATTCCTGGGCTACCATACGCTCTCAAAGGCAACGTAACCAACCTGGCCATTTTCAATGTAAAAATATTTGACCCATATATTTGACCTTGTAACTTTTAAAAATGCTATAAAACCTGTACATGGGGGGTACTGTTTTACTCGGGAGACATCGCTGAACACAAATATTAGTGTTTAAAAAACTGGAAAACGTATCACAACAATTATATCATCAGTAAAAGTGCTGTTTGTGTGTGAAAAATGCACAAAAAGTAACTTTCACTGACAATATCATCACTGTGATATGTTTTACTGTTTTGAATCACTAATATTTGTGTTCAGCGAAGTCTCCCGAGTAAAACAGTACCCCCCATGTACAGGTTTTAGGGTGTCGTAGAACGTTGCAGGGTAAAATAGTGCTAGCAAATTAAATTCTCTGGACTTTCGGCCTGGGTTGGCAGGCAGGTCCCTCAAATTGCAATCAATAAAATGACTTAATTATGTAAAAATATTACATAAATGCGCACATAGAATTTAAATATATGTGCATATTTATATATTTAAAGTCTACGTGTATATTTATATAATTATTTATGTAATTTTGTATATGGACATATGTATATTTTGTATTATTTTTATTTATTTATATATACATAGATATATATATACAAATTCATTCTAAGTGTATTTTGATATAAATATATATATATTAATTTTAAAATACAGTTAGAATAAAATTTCATATAGCTATATAATTTTTTTTTTAATTTTTTATTATTATTTTAAAAAATTTTTATTTAATTTAAATTACTTATTATTTATATTTTATAATATATATATACAATATATATAGTTATTATATATATTATATATATACGTGTGTAATTTAATTATAAGTGTATTTTATATTAATATAAGTACATATTAATATAAAAATACACTTAGTATGGCATTATATATATGATATATAGACATAGATATAATATATGTCTATATATCATATATACACATATATAATTATTATTATTTTTTTTATTACCATTAACTTTATTTTATTTTATGATTTTACACTAGCAGGGAGACTGCCTGTCAGCACAGACAGTCCCCCTGCAGGCAGCACTATGGACACCTATTGTGACCATGTGATAGCTGTGTTAAGCGATCACATGGCCACAGGGGTCCTAATCTGCCGTGGGGAGACTGTCTGGGCTGCAGGCAGTCTCCCCACAACCGGAGCCACGCTGATCGCCGCCGGGGGAACGACGGCGATCAGGTAAGTAACTCTGACCGTTAGGACGGTTCAGGACCGTCATCGGTGGGCAACGCAAAAATGCCGATGACGGTCCTGAACCGTCCTCGGTCCTTAAGGGGTTAAGATCTGATTGAAAATGAAACAATTTGTATTAATGCTGCCTGTGTCAATCACAGCCAGGAGAGGGGTGGACGTGACTGACACAGGCAGCATGAAACAAATGGACAGAAACAAAAGTGACAAAACCAAACTTCTGGAATAAAAGGGAATCATGACATGTCATGTGTCCTTAAGGGGTTAAATTCACTTTGAATTTTCACTTAAGTAAATAAACCTGCTAATATGGAAAAAGTTAGCTATGCTTTCTCTTTGGCTACTCGGTCTTACAACTGAATTTGACTGTGAATTTTCACTTTAGTAAATATTCCTGTAGGTAAACATAGCCCACTTTGAATAATGCTACAGTGTTTTACGTTCAGTTCTATTGGACCGAAAATGTACAAATCACTTTGAATTCCCAACAATTCCACTGTAGTAAATACCCCTGATTTGTATGTAAGTAACTCAACATTTCACACTTTCTAACACTGGTCAGGGAACGTACAAGAATGGGGTGATTAGTGAATGTTTTAAAATTTTGAATTAAATACATTGTAACGGATCGCCTGGCACCCCGACTGGGTACCTCCGTTGAAGGATGCTCCTAGCACTTCCTGAGGACTCCAAGCACTGCAGCAGACACCAAAACCACCGAACCGGAGCAACAAATAAATTCTCCCAAGCATATGAATGCTGTAGACAGTTGAATAGGAACCATACGAATAGGTTTACTCTCCTAGCAGTCAAACTGGAACAGCATACAATAAATCCTTCCCCCAATAATGAGACGACACTTCACTTTGAGGGTTAAACAGGAACTCTCTGTACTGTCACATACAGTCTCTTTTATTCCCAATCCACAAACATAGTACAGCCCACAGGGCGTTACAAAACAACCAATCAATCCATACAATACACCCAGACACTCCCACACAAAATCCTCCCCTCTGCAGGTGATATGATTACTGAACACAATGGGTAATCTCATTATCACCGGCAGAGGAATACAGTTTTTACACAACATTTATAACTTCTAAAATATACATGTCACAAACATAAAACATACATTTTCATAATCAATCCATTCAGGGGAACAACATATTAAAAATGGCACGAATCAGACCAGGGGTTCAAAAGTTAAGGGAAAGTCCTTTGTGACTAAATGAAGCATGGCTTTCTGGCCCAAACCAGTTTCAGAGTCTTCTATCCTGGAGAGTAATTCAATTATCTCCCAGGACAGACACAAGACTCCATTAAGCACATGGTTGCAAAAAGACACAAAACACTTTAAAATACATAAAGTCACTTTTTACACATAACACACAGACATTTCACATATCCCCAGATAGCTGGGATCTGAGCGCACAAAACTACCGAATAGCGCTCAGATCCTATTCACACAGTTCAATTGCCATGGAGCCGAAGTCTTTAACTACACGAATGGGCTCCATGGCATAGCTATCTGGGTTAACACATTCACATAAAGTCTGGTCCATAGTCCAAAGGCAAGAGGCGGGCAAGCAGCCCCCTCCAAGGACATGTGGCGAGGCCGGTTTCGCCACATACATCTATAAGAAAAACAATCACAAAGTGAAATGCTCGGGTGACTTATTGCTTTGCTGCACTGCGAAACCTTATCTTCTGAAATTGTCTCTATACTGTCATATATTGTAATATACTTAATTTAATTGGCATGATGTCTCCTTTAAATATAATTGGTCACAGAATACAGTTAATTTTTCATTAAATGCCTGAAAGCAGTAGCACATCTTAAATGCTTAGTGTCATATACAATCATGCCAGCTTAAGACATTGTATAAAAGAGTTAATCTTCATTCACACTCACAGACTTACCGCATGCAAAAGCTAAACCCAGGAGCCTTACAGAGCTGTCTCTCTGGAGACTGTCTGTGTATGGAATAGCAGCCATGGAGACGGGACTAGAAAAGACTGCAGGAGGTGGTGCAGTAAATACAGCTCTATAAATTACAGAGAAGCAGTAAGAAAATGTCGGCAATGCACATAAAGGAGAGTATATATATTTTTTAATTCTTTATTTTTGCAATGACAACATTCAATAATAATAATATACACTGAGATTGGAAAGTACTTACGATATAGGTAATGTATATGTAGCGTACAGTGCAGTATCACACGCATCAGATATTAGAATAATATTGGTTATAGTATTCCATACGTTGAAAGGAGAGTTTTTTTTTTTTTATGGAATAGAAGACATGACTCTGGAGTAGGACTGGATCATCTATACTCCAAACAAGGGTTTATTCACCTAACACCGACTTGCAATAAATTTAAAAATAAAGATTTTAAAAAGGCTAAAATAACCGATTTGAAAAACTCTCCATCAGCTATAAGTCACAGCTTGGCTACTTTATCCTAATGTTTGTCATTTGGTGTCATTTTAATGATTTTTTGCAGTTTTCAATTCACTGTTTAGTGGACAAGTAGTATTTTTTAATCTCATATACACCATTGTGAGCTGTCTTTACTGCTAAGATTTCCTGGTTTAGTAATAATCATTTCAGACACCAAATAATTTAGGTGTAAAAAAGAAATTCTGCTACAATTTTGTAAATGCAGAGCCCTAAACAGAACATTCCATTGGTTTCCATGGTGATCGTAACATGTGTTGCACTTTTTTTTTTTTTTTTTTAAACATTTACTTTTTAAACAAAATGCCATAAATATTTATAATATATAATGCAGGCAGACACATTTGAGAAGCACAATTTGACCTCATAGTCCAGAACATTAGCTAAATTAGTTTTGTTTTGCAAATAGAAAAGTCTAGAATTATCAAATTTTCTGTAAATACTTTTATATATTATAGGCTCACATTTAACACTATAACAAGCTATTTTTGTCCCTCTGGGAGGCATAACCACCTAGCAAAGCTAGTGGGTATGTGGCAGCCTTCCTGAGAAATATTTTGCCACACTAAAAATGCTCGTGCTGTGCTCCTGCACAGCAACAGCGTTTTAGCCAATCAGGTGATCAGGACAGCCGTGTAGCTCGCGGCAGCCCTGATCACCTCAGATTTTAAAATGGCAACGTTGATGGAGGACTCCATTTCTGTGCCTGCCACAGATATGGTGGATGTCTCTCCTAGAGACAGCCCCATTAACATTAGAAGGCTCCATAAGAGAGCCTTCCTTGCCAGGGACATATCCTATTCATCTTCTGAGGAGGATATAGTCACAGTTAGTAAAAGAAAAAAGAAGGCTTGCCTTTCCTCTTCAAGTTCTGAGGATGAATTTGATTTTGGTCCCTCTGCTCCTCATTCTCGTTTGAGTAGTTGAAATTTTAAAGGGACAGTACCTCCTAAGCGAAACGTGCTTTTCCCTCGTTTGAGGTTTCAAAGCAGTTTTCTGACAAAAGGGACAAGACTCATTTGAGTGCTGTCAGTCCCTCACGTTCCACCACAAGAGCGTTTGTTCATTCACCCTCCCTAAGCCGGTCCTGCTCCAGACAGGGATCACCGGAGATTGATTGGGAGTGCGAGGAGGTGGTTCGTTCTGCAGCTTCCACTGAATGAGGGAAGTTGAGCAACATTCAGATGGACATAGTGAGCCTTTTAGGTAAAGTGCTCCGTTCAAAATTATTCCATTCAAGATGGGCCATCGAACAAGAATCAGAAGTAAGGGTTTTGCCAAACTAGCTTTCAGATCACCGCTAGTTAAAGAGGATGATCTCCTCCTTAGAAATCATATTGGTATCCCTGACATTCAGGCGCTAATGGCCCCTGAAATTGATCCAGCACTGTTATCCATTACAGGAAGCAGTGTTTCTGTGGATCCCGTGGATCAGACATTGTGCAATGTACAATTTAAAATTGCGGATTCTGTTGGTCCCCTGCTACTTATGTTGGATAAGGCAAAGAAGGAGGGATCCTCTCATAACCCTTCCCTACCAGCTTTACTTGCTTCTAAGATGGCACTTCTAAAAGCTTCCAGCAGAGCGGTGCTTATTATCGGTCAATCCTTCAACTATGTTTCTAACATTCGCAGAACCCGCTGGCTGCATGCAGCAGGGATGTCTGATTTAGCACCAAAATCACATGAATTCCCTAATTTTGAAAACACCTTTCTATTTGGCCCCTCTTTTATACAAGAAGTGAAAGGACGATATAAAGCTAGCAGATCTTTCTCTGATTTAAAGAAGAGCTTTCCAAGCTTCAAGAAGCCCTTTCGGACCGAGGGTCGTTCCTACAGGGCTATAGGCTCATCCCGGTAAGTTACTCAGCAAGCCCACTTTCGTCACCATGGGGGAAAGTCAAGACTCCCAGGCAGTAGCAGAGGAGCCCATGCCAGACGTGGCTCATCAGGAAACCGAAGACGCATGCAGTGAAGTAAGTGGTTTACCTCACATCCCTCAAAATTGGTCAGATATAACCTCAGACAAATGGGTGCTTCAGATTTTCAAAAGGGGTTTACAACTCCATCTCATTCAGTTTCCTTTCCAGAGTCAAGCTCTGGGCAGAGGTAAATCCAGTTCTAGATTCCTCTCTTTCCCAGGCATTAGCTCAGGGAAAAATAGAATTGGCAGATTTGTCAATTTCAGGTTGGATCAGTCCCTTGTTCCCTATTCCAAAATCAGACGGCACATGGAGACCAGTACTAAACGTCAAGGCTTTGAATGCTTTCCTAAAGAGGAAAAGGTTCAGGATGGAAGGTTTAACGGACCTCCCAGGCCTAGTGCAGACCTCAAAGATGCTTTTCCATTCAGTTCCTATCGCTATGAAACACAGGCGCTTTCTCAGATTCCGCTGGAAGGAACAGATATCTCACTGGACTGTAATGTTTTTTTGGCCTATCCAACACACCTTACACATTTTCCAGGATAATGAAAGCTATTATATCCCACATCAGGCAAAGAGGATTTCTATGTCCTTATTACTTAGACAACAACCTGTTGTTGAATCCAGAGGTAGATACACTCATTCAGCAGAGAGATTACCTAATTTCCTTATTACAGGACCTGAGGTTTATTGTAAATCTACAAAAATCCATACTAGTCCCTACTCAGAATATCCTATTTCTGGGTTTCATGCTGAACACTATGGATATGACCTTGGGTGTTTCCCGAGACAAATGGGAAAAAATCCTAGCTCAGATAACTTCAGCTCTTTTAAAACACAGATGGTCCCTAAGAGATATAGCAAAGACTATTGGGAGTCTGATAGCATTAACACCGGGTTACGATGCTTCCCCCTTGCTATGCAGACAAAGTCAGCTGTTTCTAGAAAACCAACTGAGACAGGGTGGCCAGTGGGGGTCAAGGGTGGTCCTTCCCACGAGTGTCAGAAAAGAGCTAAACAAGATATTGGAAGGGGCAAGTCCACTTCCTCACCCCTTCTGGAAGGGCCTTTCGAGTTAACCTTGACCACAGGTGCTTTTACCAAGGGATGGGGTGCTTTCTCTGCCCAAGGCGCAATAAGAGGCGTTTGGTCACTTGAAGAAAGACTTCTCCACATAAACTTACTAGAGTTGAGAGCAATCAAATTAGCCCTCCAAGGCCTCGTTCCGTTGAACCCCCTAGGTGTGTCGGTAATGGTTCAATCAAACAACAGGACAGCGGTAGCTTATATTAACCATAGAGGGGGCACAAGGTCAAAAGGTCTTTGCCTAGAGGCTTTGGAGCTGTGGTCCTGGGCTCTGGTTCACAAAGTTCGAATTTTGGCAGTTCAGGAGAGGCAAAAAACGAACTGGCGGATTCCCTGTCCCGCCAGTGTTTGTCCCTTGCTACAGTCCAGTTAAAGAGTGCCTTATTTCAGCTGATAGAGAGCAGACTGGGCAAGAGACAGATAGATCTTTTTGCATCTCAGACCTCGGCTCAGACTCCCAAATTTGTAACCAGGACTTGGGCAAAAGGAGCTTGGAAGATGGATGCGATGTCCTTCCAATGGACAGACATGCCGGGCCTTTATGCTTTTCCCCCTCCATCTATTCTGATGAAGATGTTAGAGAAACTTCGCAGGGACAGGGTGACCAATCTGGTTTTAGTGTACCCCATTTGAACCTTTAGACCATGGTACCCCCTGATCCAACCTCTAATCAGGGGACCAAAGGTTTCATTAGGCTGGACAGCAGATTGCTTCCTAGGGACCAGGCATCTCTTAACCAAGTTCCCCCAACTTATGTGGATGGCAGCCCTGATAGGCTTTTAACACATCCTCTTCTGTCTGACCGGGTTTTAGACATAGTTAATTCTTCATTACGGCGCAGGACCAGGGTAAGATACAAACAGATGATCGAGGAATTTAAAGCATGGTAAGTTTCCTTTAATTCCCTTTCCCATGAATCTTACACAATTCCCTTAGCTTTGGAATTCCTCACGCTCAAATATCATGGGTTAGCAGTCAGTACGATTAAGACGTATGGTTCTGCATTCAATTTTCTTTTTTTTTTTTTTGACAATCTTTATTTTGACTTTTAGCATCGGTACAGTGTGTCGATTCTTGAACAGAGTAAGGTACAAAATATCAACGTATAGGAGGTATAACATCCAACAGGATAGAAACAGAACATGCACACAACAAACCACGGGGGATCTTAAAACAGCTGACCTATACTAATCGGTGAGACCCAGATAATGACATGGTGGTGGAAGGCCGGGTCTGTCACGCACTATGATCAGGTGCGGTGGTCAGTGTCTCTCCAGTGACCTCTTCTGGTGTAAGGCAGTCACAAACGTGGCTCCCTAACTTGTTAGAGCGTAACAGGAAGTCGACGTAGTCGCGGTCAGTTGTCCGGGGAGTTAAACCGGGATCCTCGTCCAGTTTGTCAGAGGCCCGCTCATGGTTACACTAACAAATGTCGGCGGCCAAGGGGGTCATCAGAGAGGTCAGGTCTCAGTCAGCCGTCCGGCTATCGTTCAGAAGCTGTTGGTTGAGAGGGAGGGGGAAGTAGGTACGAGAGGTACCACAGCCAGGGCGTCCAAGTGCGAGCACATTTCTCTTGCCTATCATACAACGCTGCTGTAAGGGATTCCATACTATATAGATCCCCCACCTTGTCGATCCACTGCTGGAGCGTGGGCGCATCCCTGTGTCTCCACCTCGTAGGGACCAGTGCAATGGCTGCCGTTAGTAGGTGTTTTATCAGAGATTTCTTGTATATTGAAAGGGTCATGTCAGTGTGATGGAGGATCATGGTGAGGGGTTGTAGTGGAAGGGCAATATCTGTGATTTGCTTAATGGTCTTTTGGATCGTGGTCCAGAAGGGGGTGATACCCGGGCAGCTCCACCAGATGTGGAGGGCGGAGCCATCGGCATCGCCACATCTCCAGCAATCCCCAGGTATCTCAGGGTTTATACGGTGCAGAATGTCTGGGGTTCTATACCAGTGCGTGAGGACCTTAAAGCTGGTCTCCTGAAGTTTGGAGCTGATGGAACATTTATGTGTTAGAATAAAAATCTTGTCCCAGTCCTGGTCTGTGAGCGTGGTTCCTGTCTCTCTCTCCCATCTAGCAATGTATCTTGGGTGCGACGGGTTTTCTCCAGTAGCTAGAAGTGCGTAAAGTGTGGAAACGCCCCTCAGAGGGTGAGCCCTTGTGGTGCAAAGTGTTTCGAACTGCGTGGGGATTCTGTGGAGGCCCTGTTTGTTTGGGAAGGTCGCGTATTATGCCCGTATTTGGAGATAGCGGAAGTGGTCTAGGCCTGTGGGTACTGTGTCCCCCAAGATGTCTGTCAGAGGCTTGAGTCGGTCCCCCTGTATTATATGATGGAAACTAATCCAGTCGGAGTCAGGGTATGCGTGTAGGTCCGCAGGCGTTAGTCCCCCTCCGACCCCCGGATTGTGTGTGATGGGCGTGAGAGGGCCATCCAAAGTGGAAAGCTGATGCGAGTACCGCACCGTACACCAGACTCGTAGCGTTGCGTCAATCATTGGATTGCCTGTAAGCAATGAATTTTGTGCGAGGGATCCAAGCCACAGGCGGGAGGGAAGAGTTCCGCCCGTCTGAGCTAGTTCCATGGGGACCCATAACTTGGCCGTGTGACGTACGTGCCAGTCCACAGTCCTAAGTAAGTGGGAGGCACGGTAGTATCCCAGAAAGGAGGGGAGACCAGCTCCCCCACGGGCTTTGGGGCGTTCTAGGAGCTCTTTGCTCACCCTACTCGCTTTCCCGTTCCACACGAATTGCCGAATCGCCTTGGAGAGAGATTGGAAAAAGGCTCTTGGTATGGAGATGGGTATTGTTTGGAACAGGAATAGGAGACGCGGTAGAACATTCATTTTAACGGCATTGATCCGGCCGAACCAGGAGACATAAAGGTTCCTCCAGCGGTGTAGGTCAGCCTGTAGGACCGTTAGGATGGTGAGAAAGTTAAACTGGTATAGGAGGTTTAGGTCATTAGGTAACCAGATCCCAAGGTATTTTAGCTTGTTGTCGCACCAAGAGAAATGGAACTGCAACTTGAGGTGTGCTACCTTTCCTGCTGAGAGCGTGATTGGGAGGACCTCCGATTTGCTCATGTTTAACTTAAGGTTGGAAATATCGCCAAAATCCTTGAAGGCTCGGAGAAGGTTAGGTAGGGATATCGCGGGGTTGTTAAGGAAGAATAGCATGTCGTCCGCATATGCGGCCACCTTATTTTCCGAATTGTGCAGTCTGTACCCCGTAATGCCCCCATTCCGTCTGACCGCCTCCAGGAAGGGTTCCAGGGTGAGGGCAAACAGAAGGGGGGACAGGGGACAGCCCTGTCTCGTGCCATTGCGAATGGGGAATGGGGCTGAGAGGGCACCGTTGATCCTTATGCGGGCAGTCGGGGTAGTGTAGAGCGCTAGTATCCAGGAGCGGATATGGGGTCCGAATTGCATATGACGGAGGGTAGCTTCGAGGTACTGCCAGTCCACCCGGTCGAAGGCTTTTTCCGCGTCCGTCGAGACCAGAACTAGCTCCTTATTGTTCGACCGGGCGGAGTGGATCAGGTTGAGTGCTCGTATGGTGTTGTCCCGCGACTCCCTACCCGGGATGAACCCCACCTGGTCGGGGTGCACCAACGTTGGGAGTACGCGGGAAAGTCGGATGGCTAAGGTCTTGGCGAATAGCTTAAGATCCGAATTAAGGAGAGAGATCGGTCTGTAACTCCCGCAGTTGGTGGGATCCTTTCCCTCCTTCAGTATGACCGTCACTGTCGCGTGTAAAGAATCTGCTGGGAACCCACCACCCTCCAATAGAGAATTAAAGCCCTGTAGCAAGTGTGGAAACAGTGTGTCTCTAAACTTGCGCAAGTAGGAGACTGGTAGGCCGTCTGGGCCCGGGGCCTTGTTGGATTTGGACTGTTTAAGGGCGGCAACGAGTTCTTCCTCCGTGATAGGTTGGTCCAATTCCTCTGCCAGATCTTCCGGGACCCTGCGCCCAACGTACTCCAAGAGAAAGTCATTCATCCGTTGCAGGCGTAGCGGTGCCTCCGCACGTTGTGCGATGGCGTCAATATTATAAAGCTCTGAGTAAAAGAGCCTGAATGTCTGAAGGATGTCTGCTGGAGACCTCTTCGTCACCCCATCCCTCCCTGTAATCTGGTGGATGTGATGTTGTCGCTGCCTCTGTTGCAGAGTACGGGCAAGTGTTCTTCCACACTTGTTGGAAAATTCATAGAAATGTCTATTGGACTTTCGAATGGTGTGCAGTAGTTTCTGAGAGAGCAGGTCTTTGAGTTGCCTGCGCTTGTCGGTGAGGAGGCGATAGGTGTCTTCCGTTTGATCTTGCTTGTGCAGCATCTCCAGGTCAGCTATCGCGTGTATCAGGTCTTGGATCTTTGCGGTATGTTCTTTTTTCCGTTGCGTGCATAACTTGATGAACTGGCCCCGAATCACGCATTTGTGCGCCTCCCATACCGTCAAAGGGGCCATGTCTGGGCTGCTGTTGTCAGCAAAGTATTGGGTCAGTGTTTGGGCGATCTGTGTGGTAAAATCGGCGTCCAGCAGGACACTGTCATTCAGTCTCCATTGCCGCTCCCGTGGCTTGAAGAGCGGCGATTTAAGCGTAACATGGACAGGGGCATGGTCTGAGTCGTGTTGTATCCCTATGGTGGACGTGATCAGAAAGGGGAGGAACTCTTGGGCTAGAAAAATATAGTCTATCCTGCTATATCTGTTATGTGCCGCGGAGTAGCACGTGTAGTCTTTAGCTTCAGGATGCGCCACCCTCCAGCAGTCGACCAAGCCTGACCTAGCCAATGCCTGTTTGGCACTTCGTACGCAGTGTGAGGGAATGGCGCTAGTACCTGTAGACGAGTCTACCCGGGGTTCCAGTGGGAGGTTGAGGTCCCCAGCTAGCACCAGAGTTCCTTCCCGGAATCTCTCCAGCCGGGAAAGGGTGGCCGCTAGGAACCGGTGCTGTCCCTTATTCGGGCTGTAGATGGTGGCGAACGTGTATTTGTGGTCCGCTATCGTGCCCTTCACGAATAGGAACCTGCCTAGAGGATCTGCCTGGGTAGCCGTGCTGAGGAAGGGAACAGTGTGGGCAAAAATAATGGCGACCCCCGTGCGCTTTGCTTCCGGGTTGTTAGCATAGAATCCCTGGGGGAACTTCCTATCCCTAATCTGGGGGGCATCTTTCCCCTTAAGGTGCGTTTCCTGGAGAAATGCTACTGAGGTCTTTTGAGACCACAGGGTTCGGAGCAAGTCCGGTTGGTGGAATCCGTCAGGAGGACCGGTGTCCGCTCTCCCCCGGCCCACGGAGAGAGGCACCGAATAAGTCTGCCGCTTACTATGAGAGTGGGTTGCCGCTTAAGAGGAGGTCAGAACGGGCACCTTGCGAGTGCCGGTCGGGACTCACACAGGGGGTCAGTCGCCCTGGTCACTGTCAACCTGCGCCATGTGTGAGTGGCGCGGGGTGGGGGCATCATGGGGAGTCTCGCTTCTGTCCTGTGGTCACACCTAGAGTGGGGTCACCCTCCCGGATCCCATGTATCAAAGTGAGGGCCTATCCGTCCGGCTACGAGCTGTCGGTGGTTGCGTATGCGATTCACAGGACTAATGTGGGAGGGGGAGACCAATCTCAGTCAGTTGGTCCCCAGGTGCATGCGACTCGTCTCCGCACCCGGGCAGGGTAAGTTGTGGAGGTGCTAGGCTCATGTCCGGTGGGAGGCTGGATAGAGTAACAGGGTCTGGTTGGCGTCAGGGACTCGGGTCGTTTGTCACACTCTTGTAGCTGAGAAGCTGGGGTACCTAGGCGACCGCATGTCCCGTCAGCAGCTGGGGGAGGTCGGAGCATGGTAGTACTATTAGCCATTGCTAACCTAACATTGTGGCTTGTAATCTAACAGAAACAACAATATGTACCGGGAGTGGGGGGAGCGGGTCCAAGGCTCTAAAACCGTGTCTGAGACCCATCCCAGGCCGGGCAGAGGACCCTGCACAGCCCGTGGCGCCCTGTTGATAGCTCTATGCGGGAGGGTACCAGGAATAGGTAGTCTGCCACTGTATGGGAGCTACTGGGGAGGGGGAACAAAAAAAAAACAAAAAAAAAAAAATGAAAATAAATACATACACATGCATACATACATACCTACATACATACATACACGTACCTATACATCTACAGAGATATACATATACATACCCACACATACATATAATTTTTTGCTGGCAGGGCCAAGACCAACCAGAGGCCAGGCCCCGGACCAGGGGTCCGGCCGGTGTCAGAGTCAAGCAACCTGATAGGCTGGAGGCCAGAGTGCTAGGGGGTCCTCAAGCTGCCTCAGTGGTTGAGAGAGGTCTGAGCAGGGGGGCGGTGCCGGCCAGCGTGTTTAGGGCCATATAGCGTGTATAGCCTTGTAGCGGGCAAAAACGGGAGGGGGCTCCAAGAGCCGGCCGGGCACATATATACGGCTAATCCCGCCCGTCAGGCCGTCAGTTGCCAAGCATTCTTAGCCCCGTGCATCAGTTAAACAGTCCCTTTTGATGCGGTTGACAGCAGCTGACTACATAATAAGCTATGGAAGAATGGTCACACTCACACACACACACACACACACACACATACATACATACACACACTCACACCCACCCCCCCCCGTTGAAATGCGGGCTCCAGCCCCAATTCCCCAAACATGGACCCGCTGATACCACCACAGGGCAGGTAGGAGGGGGATTCGAGCAGTCTCGCACAGGTACCCTGGGCCCTAGAGACCCTGCTTCCACAGGTTGTCCCAATTAACCATATCCCCCGTTCCCCTCCCAAAAATGTCCGAGACCTGAGGGTCAACCCTCCCCATCTGTGCCACGTGCGTAGTCCCAGGTGCTTCATGGGGGGCAGGCGGGCTGCCCGCCAAGTGTCCCCCCGGCTGTGAGGAGGAAAGAAGCTAGGTGCCATCACTCAGTTTGCAGTGTTGCCGCCCAGGGAGCCCCCGGAAGGGCGATGCCGGTCCGGGAGGGACGGCGCTCTCCGGACACGGGCAGAGATGTCTGCAGCTACTCCTCAGATCCATGGGGGCCCCCCCAGCGCACGGGCTGCGCTTCCCTCTGTGCTTGGGTACGTAGCAGCTGGGGGGCCTCAGGGTGGTCCAAGCGCGGTGGGGGTTGGTCGAGGATCCAGTTGCGGATGGTGACTGGCGGCAGGTCCAGGGCACGTAGGAAGCTAGGAAGGTCATTGGGCCATCTCAGGGAACGCCAGGTATTGTCCTTTTTGGCCTGAAGGCAGAAAGGGAAGCCCCATTTATAAGGAATGCGCTTTTCCTGGAGGATGAGCGTCAGCGGCCTTAGCGCTCTCCGGGCGTCCAAGGTGAGGGTGGACAGATCCTGGTACAGCGATATTGGGGAGTCCTGGAAAATGATGCGTTGCGGGCGTGCTGCTCTCATGATGGCGTCTTTAAGCTGAAAGGAGAGAAGGCAGCAGATCACGTCTCGTGGGAGGCCATCTCTTCTCGGGGGACGCAGAGCCCTGTGGGCGCGCTCTATGTTGTATTCGTCCGGGGCCTCTTCCCCCAGAATGTGGGTAAACAGCTGTGGGAGGACATCCCCGAGGTCTTCATTATCTGCTTCAGGAAGGCCTCTAACCCGAATGTTATTGCGCCTCCCCCTATTATCTAAATCTTCTACTTGCCTGCGGAGCTCCAGGAGCACCGACCCCTGTCTGGCTGTGGCATGGTCAGCAGCCTGGGAGTGCTGGAGGGCCTGCAGATTTTCCCTCTCCAGCTCTGTGACTCTGTCTTCGAGGGCTGTGAGGTCTTTGCGCACCGCCATTATCTCCTCCCGGATCGCCGCTCTCAATGCCATAACCAGGTTAGTTTTATCATTTTTAGTGAGCATATTAGCCGAGATGGAGGCTAACTCGGCCGTGATGTGGGAGAGAGCCTCCCCTCGTGCCGAGCCCAGCTCTGAATCTGCACCGCTCTCTGCACTTGGGGAGGCGGCGGCCATCTTGTCAGCGGGCCGCATGGTTCGGAGGCCGTCGGGGGTAGAAAGGAAATCATCCATCGGCCCGGCGTATTTCCGCGGAGGGCTGTTGCCCGAGGGTCCTGGGGTGCCCTGGCGTCTGGGTTTCCCCATTCTCATGCGGCAGTGTAGCCGATTACTAGGGGCGATGTGGGCCGGGGTCGCGGAGCTCCGGCGATGTACGGCTTACTCCATTTGCCAGCAAGCCACGCCCTCTGCATTCAATTTTCTAATCCCTAATCTGACCCAAGACGCCCTTTACCTCAGGTTACTCAAAGGGCTATCAGTCTGCCGGCCTTTTACTCCCAGATACACTTCCACTTGGGATGTGGACCTTTTATTAAATTATCTTAATTTTTTGGACAATGACCAGATTGACCTGTAACGGATCGCCTGGCACCCCGACTGGGTACCTCCGTTGAAGGATGCTCCTAGCGCTTCCTGAGGACTCCAAGCACTCTGGCAGACACCACAATCACCGAACCAGAGAAACAAATAAATTCTCCCAAGCATATGAATGCTGTAGACAGTTGAATAGGAACCATACGAATAGGTTTACTCTCCTAGCAGTCAAACTGGAACAGCATACAATAAATCCTTCCCCCAATAATGAGACGACACTTCACTTTGAGGGTTAAGCAGGAACTCCCTGTACTGTCACATACAGTCTCTTTTATTCCCAAAAAACAAAACAAAAAAAACAACAACTTATTTTTGCAAATATTACTGCAAATAGAAGGGCATTTTCCATAATGGAACACTATACACTTCATGCAAAGCAAATTGAAAGTACAAATATGTATGGAGTAGTTTGTTAGTGAAGGGGTTAAATTGGTACTTCTGGATGAGGAACAAAATACAGTCTCCATTGATTGTTATAGGCACAACATATTCATCATATCAAAGCCAACTGCTCTAACGAGATTGTTACTAAACTAGCATTTCCTTCCCTAAAGCAGTATAGACCAGTGTTCTGCAACCTTTAACACCTGCGGGTCGGCGAAAATAGGAGAAATATTTTGCAGAGGACGAGGGGGTGCACTGTGTGTGTGTGTGAGAGAGAGAGAAGGGGGGGGAGGGGGTTCCCGGTATGTGTTTGAGGGGGTGCACAGTATGTGTGTAGTTGTGTAGTGTGAGGGGTCTATATTGTGATGGGGTGATCAGGGAGAAAATGAATATTTAATTAAAAGAAGGGTAGCTTTATTCCCTCCTCATTACCTGTGGCCTGGAAGGAGGGGACATATCACAGCAATCCCTGGTGGTCCAGTGGTGGCACGTACATTTCAGCCTGCAGGCCGACCTTACTATTTCCTTACCACGAGTATAACGCTGTGTCAGAGCGTTGCCGTGGTACGTGAGGCGACTTACCTTTTCGCAGGAGGATCACAGACTCCTGGGTCCTCCTCATGCCCTGCAGTCTCCTGGTCCTTACTACCTCCCTCACCCATAACAAACTGCCAGGAGACCGGTGAGGGAGATCTTTGATCTCCCCACCGACCTGAGAACGGCAGACAGCAGGGTGGGACCAAATGATTTTGCAGTGAAAGCATGGTATGGTAAGCAGGTGAAAGCTTTTGCAGACCTGCAATAAGTTCTTGCAGACCAGCGCCGGTCCACAAGCTGAAGACCAAAGACCAATTAGACCGTTTTGACAATGTGTTCTTTCAATAAAGAGGCAGGTCACTAAGCTAATCACATTATTATTATTATTATTATTTTATTATTTATATAGCGCCAACAAATTCCGTAGCGCTGTACAATGGGCTGTACATAAGTAATGTTTGTTCTAAAGTAGCACTGATTATAGGCTGTATGAACCCAAATTGAATATATTAATTACTTAAGTGTCAACATTTTGTAGGGTTACAGCCTGGATTCACAATGTATTTTACACATATCTAACAATTTGGTGTGTGTGTTTTTTTTTTTTTAAAATGAAATACCGGTTTACACAGCTAGTCTAAGCACTTTAAACACAACAAGCCATAGTATAAGTTTGATGCCAGGAGGCTGCTATCCCTGCTTCTGTTTCAAATTCTCTTCAAGTGATTTTACACAAATGGAGGGCCCCAAAAGCCTACGCCACACTTGCCAGATGTCTAATGTGGAAGTTTAACGTCATACCCCTGATACGTGTATAGACCCTGATTAAATATAAAAGAGCCATATAAAACTGAAAAATAAGTATTAAAAAAATAAAAACTAACAAACCTTGAATGAAGAATTGAAAAAACAAGACAAAAAAAGCCCACAAAATTATCTTTCCTACATTTTACTTTAATATTATTTTTACTATATGCATGGAAGGTAGGGAGATAATCGATAAAAATGAGCTCACAAGCTGGGGGAGAGGGACAGAATTTTAAATATAGAATAAAATGTACAGAATAAAGTGACTTGAAAAAATGTACAATACTTACAACATGAAAAAAAATCTTCTGTAAAAAAATATTAAAATGTAATTTCAATTTGTAATTATCTCACTGTGCAAAGAAAAGCACAATAAAATGTATTTATTTTAGATTATTGAATATATTGAGAAGCGTCCACAAACTTCTCACTCTTGTGGATAAATTAACAATGCAGACTTTACAGTGTTGTGATTACTGTTATATCAACCCTCTACCGATTTGTTGCAAGCTTTAAATAAATATCACTACATTTTTGTTTGTGACAATTCAATATATTTAATTCACCCTAGTAAGGACTAAAGCAGTATTTGCTCAGGTGAAATATGTGGCAGATGTAAGCATAAAGTAATCTATTCCATATGAACCATGAGCTGTGGGATCATGTACCTACTTCCAGGCAATGCACTACTGAACTAAAAAAGGTGAAAGGGGAGGTGGCGCCACAGGTGAAATAAAATATAAATAAATAAACCTGATTATAAACTATACAAGCACATATACAAGACACTATACAAGAGAAAATACATACAAGATAAAAAAAACAAAAAGAGCTTGAAATATGGATAATGAATAATAATCAAGAGTCCAAAGATAAAGTCCAAAAAAGTCTATGCCTGATAAATGCAGCAAAAAAAAAAGTCCAAAAAAACCTTGTATAAGAAGTCGGTCACAATCTTGTCAGGGGAAGTATTCCTCAGTAATGTATGGACATGGGATATTCGTGAAATCCATATGAAAAAAAAATGAAAAAAGACAGCAAATAATGGTGCAGTATATCCCAACAGGTTGGGATATACTGCACCATTATTTGCTGTCTTTTCATTTTTTTTTGCTGCATTTAGCAGGCATAGACTCTTTTGGACTTTATCTTTGGACTCTTGATTATTATTCATTATCCATATTTCAAGCTCTTTTTGTTTTTTTATCTTGTATGTATTTTCTCTTGTATAGTGTCTTGTATATGTGCTTGTATAGTTTATAATCAGGTTTATTTATTTATATTTTATTTCACCTGTGGCGCCGTCTCCCCTTTCACCTTTTTTAGTTTTGTCTACTCTATAGGGCATGTGAGGGCGCCCTATTTTCAGGTGTGCTGCCTTGCATTTATCTCTTTAAGATCTAGTATATTAGCGCTGATCCTTTGTACATAATACACTACTGAACTCATACATCAATGGCAGAACTTAGTCACATGGTTTAGGCAAGTATTTTCACTCAAGCATATACTGGTGTGAAGGAAAAAAAAAAAAATTTTAAAAAAAGGGGGAAATTGCCACAAACAAAAATGTCAATTTTTTATTTTTTTTTCTAAATCTCTTGGAATAATGTTATCACCTCAAACAAATCAAGAAATCTTAAAATCTACCCACAGAATGAGGGTAAGAAGAATACCCCTTGTTATTTTAAAACAAAAACAAATAGCTGAATGTGGTAGCAATGAGTAACATCTCCTTAAGCTAGTGGAAAAGCTGATCATTTTGGTGTTCTCCTCCAGAGGTTACAAAAGATGGTCCCAAGCATGATGCTTCCCTATCTGAATTCAGACAGAAGCTGGCCCCATACACTGTCTGCACCAGAACCATTGTCCTCTTCTAGACCACTGAAGCTAATATCCAGCAGGATTTTGCTGAGACTCTCATCAGTGGTATCCAAAACAAGTCCTTCGAGCAGAGAGCGGTTAGCAGGGGTCCCTACTTGCAGTTCCTTTGAGCAGCGCTTAGGTGCTCGTACTGGTGTGGAATTCCTCATGGTATCTAGCTCAGGGGAAGGAGGAGACAGTGTGCCAAACAACTCCTGAGGAGAACCAAAGAAAGGAAGATCCTTGAAAGGAGTGTCTCCAAAACCTAAGGCACTCATAGTATCTTTGAAAGGGGTGAGTGTAGAGCCTTGTGGAATGCGCACTGGGCTACAGTCCAGGAAAGCATCTCGATGGAGAGGAGATTCTGCTTCCCACAGTTGTAAGCTACCCATCTCAGTTGGTTTGCTGGGAGTAGAGGAGCTTGGGGGCTTCAAAACTCTGTCTTTAATAGGGGTCTTAAACGAATACTCTTCTTCCTGAGTGAACTGAGAAGTGCCATCCTGAGTGAGATGGGAAGTGCCATCCTGAGTGAGATGGGAAGTGCCATCCTGAGTGAGATGGGAAGTGCCATCATGCACACTGGTTTCCTGCAAAAAGGAAAATTCTGAATCCAGTCCAGAGTCAGAAATGCTGCTCTCAGGCAGGACCAGTTCTGGCTCTTCCGTGTGTGGTGCAATCAACAATTGCTTCCTTCGAGATGATGTCATTTTCTTGCTTTGCAGATTGGGTGAGGAACTGAAGTCTGGAAACCCTGGTTCTTTTGGTTCCTCTTTAACAGGGAGTGCTGCGGGGAGAATAGGAGGCTCTTCTGGATCTACTGAAATCTGAAAAATCACAAAGATAATTAAAGTAGGGTGAACAAAGTAAAATGTTCTCAATATCTGCCTTATAATAAATAAATGGAGGTACACAAGAACATCAGCCTCTGTGCTCTTCATAACCCCATAGATCCAAGTGAAACTGCTCTTTTCTGGGTGGTAGGGAATAACATGCATATCCACTCAATTCGATCACTGTTAACACCATTAGACTTATTTGTCATATAAGGAATCTAAAAAGTTTCTGGGTGTGGTAATCTATGTACATTATACAAAAACACAAATAGATTTCAAGGTACAAATGTCAATGGAATATCAGAACTTTGAAAGAAAGTATAGTACCAGCAGACAGTGTGGATGACTGAAAATGCTTCCAGCTTTCTCATTTTTTCTTAAAATTTGACTACATTATGTAAATTTAACCCTGAACGAATGGAGAAATCGTATGTTTTTCTGTAAGTCTTAAAGGAACACTCCACACACTTAAAGAACTTTAGCTGCAGTGGGAAGTCTGATTGGACTGCCACAGAAAGTCTGGACAGGAGAAGGGGAGGGTTTGTAAATGCAGCAAATAAGAGATCTGCAGATTTTGCAAGCTGTTTTTAGATTAACCCAAAATTAAAACTTTTCATTGGTATATCTACTGAATTGTTAAGGGGAATTGGACTGGTCCTTTACGAATAGAGAAAGCCTTAATTTGCTATTTTAATAACAGCACATAAAACTAAGTTACCATGTAAAATCTGAAATCCTTGGCACTGGTTCATACTAACCTTTGGAGCAATTTTCACACGTTTACTGCTCCTCGGTGCCTCAGAGGGTCCTAGATCTACACAGACTGACTCCAGTGCAGGAAGGAGAATAGGCTGCGTCACTGGGAAGTGGACTGGAATGAGATAGGAACTGACCCTTGGCAGAAGAGGCTTCATCTTCCTTTCTGGAGCATGTGAAGGAGAATAAAAAACTGTCAGGCAAGTATGTTTTCTCTAGAAGATGATGGCAGAGGATGCATATGAAGTTCTCCAATCTATATAAACTGAAGAATACTCACCTTTACTGCTGGTGGCTACGTTCTGTATACTCTTTGTGAGCTCTGGGATTAGTTTCTTCTGTTGGCACAAAGACCGAGAAAGAAAAATGTAATTAGTTAATTGTGGCAAAAGTTTTGGGAGATGTCAGCCTGGATGAAACCCAATATAGGAAACACAGTTCACATAACTCCAGTCTCAACTACAAATTCACAGGGTAGGAAAGCTATGCCTTATCTAAGCTACATCTTCAGTATTCCAACAATACTGCACATTACCAGTCTGCCTGCCCAATATGGCTAATTCTTGACTACTCACAGACAGACAAGAATTCTTACTAGCATATATTGTGTGCAAAGGTCAACAGCTTGGGGCACCTGCGTGTTCACAATCTTATTTTGCTTTTTCACTTGTGTCAATTTAGAGGTTTTTAATTTAAAATACTACATTATATATTTATTTTTTTGACTCTATTTTAAAGTTCCTAGGTTGTATACCAGTTCCAGTAAGGTAATTTTATACCTTTTATCACAGATTCAAGTGATAATGCGTTATGGTTTAAAATACATATTGTGCCTGAGACATCTGGTTTGGTAAAGAAGATGTAAGACAGGATTCTGAGACCCTCAAACTTAAATAGGTTGTGCTGGAAGAGATAAGCAAAACAGCAAGTGGGGTGCAGTGTCAAAAGTAGCTAAATTAAAAGGATAATTAGTGTTGGTCACTTTAGCTTGAATAGTTTCATAGTCTCCTGTAGCTGCACAATGTAGACCCCTCCCTCACCAAAAAACACGCTACAAATCTATTGTGGCCTTTGGGGCCTGAGCTCATCTCAAGTATAAGTAGTTCAAACTCCATGAAGCAGTTACATCAAAATAGGATAGAGCTAAATGTGCCAAACCAAAGCTTTTCATCATTCAAGATAATGAGCTTTACAATGGGACTTCATGGACAAAGAACTTGCATCCTAAGTTCAGCAAGTGTTTTTTTGTTGTAAGGCTGACCTTTTAACCATGTGTTTGGGAGTGTGAAAAAAAGGTGATAAATTAAGCTTACTTGTCAAAGGAGAGTGTTGAGCTGAACAAATAAAGAATAAATGTATAGTGCTGTAAGTCAGATGATGGGCAATACTTCCTCCAGCTACGCTCTGCTATCTATGGGGATCACTATTGGTGGAATAGTTGCAGATCAAGAAAGCAAAAGGTTTCTGCTAAATCAAGGTAAAGTGTAAAACTCGATACAGAGCTCATTAATCTTTCAAGTTAGCAATAGATAATCAGAAAGACGGAGCGCAAATTTACATATAATACTCAAAAATAGATATCAAACCCCAAACTAATGACAAACTAAAGTGATCCAACAATGGTTATAATTCTAGTACATTTTATATTAAAAAACAAAAACTAATTGTCCTCTTAATTTGAATGTGGGAGTATATAATTACTAGAGAAATGTTATGGCTTATTAAAAAAGGAAAGGAAAAAAAAAACAGACATATAATATAGCATTGTCTATAATTTTGTATTAAATCTGGAGACATGTACATCTATGAAGTAAACAATAATATAGATAATACATGTAATCGTATTAAAAAAAAAAAAAAAGCACAAACTGTTTGTTGCAGTTCAGTAACTAAATAGATATTTCTAACAGAAAGGGTTAAAAAGGATCAGAAATGTTTGAAATAAAATAAAATAAATAAATCACACACAACCCAGTGATTACAGAGAGCACCCCAAAAGAGAAAATAAATAAAAAGTGAAAACCCAACAGGCTGCACAGCGCGCAGTTTGGGACAGAGAGATAAGTCTTACTGGTTCCAAGGGCAATGGAGTCATGGGACTTGCCGCCTCCATGGAATGATGCCATCAGCAATGCATTGTGGGAAGGAATAAAACAAAGCAACAACCTTAACCAAACAGAAAACATACATTTCCAAGATCCCAAAGCAGAATACATTGCTATTCTCAGAGAGATATTACACATTCACTTAAAAAAAGACTATTTTTCATAACATTTCTATTTACCTACGCAACAATCCAGAATTCCTACTATCCATCTGTGATCGTAGACTTGTAGGCAAAATTTATTACATACTTGACTTTCAATTTTTGTATATTGTTTAGGAAAGCGAAACCAAGAACTAGTCACACATGATCTACATATTTACTTGAAATACTGCAAATACATTTTTTGTAAGTGCAGTAGAGGTCAACCTTTTGGCACAGAGGTTACCCATCAGTACTCAAGTCTCATAGGAGATATTATAAAGCTAGATACAGAATAATGGAGATAAAGAGCACCAACACATCACATGCATTTATTCCCTCTCAGAAATTTCTTTTTACAGCCCAAATCAACTCCTGTGAAAGAACATTTCTTGGATTCCCACCTTGAAAACCTGATCAAGCGTCAGGCAACGATTGGCCTGAGGATGGATGGTCCAGTAGGAAATCTTGTTGTTTGCCATGGTTTCTCGCACAAACATGTCGTGCAAGGAAAGGTTGTGACGAATAGAGTTCTGCAAGGTACAAAAAACAAAATAGGGGAATTACATTTTTAAACGTCCTATATGTTTTATGACTGTCACTAACACCCATTCAACAAATTTACAGTGTACTTTCAGTCCCAGCTACAATGTACAACTTTATGTTTAGCATTTAATTCCAAAATACATTAAGCATGGTAATCAGGAGTGTGTTATATGGCTATACAAAAATACATGCAATATAAAACCAGCATACATGTTTAATAAGCCATCATACATTCATATACTCCAGTTGATTGGGGATGTGGAGGGACCCAGACATTAGGAACAGACAAATTAGAAAATACAAATTTAAAAGGCAGACCAATGTTCCAAAAAGCTGCAATATTCTTTGCTGCTATCTTGAACCTTTATATATTGTATTGTAGGATAGGAAAGACAAAATATAAAACCAGATTTTTACGCCATTGGTTTGTAAAAAGCTGTATGTGTTACGAAGTCACCCACTTGTTTATGAGAGTAGAGGATTAAAATTTGAATATTCTAGCAACTGGATTTAAAAAAAAAAAAAGGTAAATTTTAACACACCTGGTTACCAATAATATTGAATGTAGAGATCAACAATAGCTTTCCAATTCCTCCTAGTATGACTTCTAGTATGACTTCTACAACATACACAGGTCAAACAGCGTTTAATGCAAAAAGGAAAGATACATTTTTGATGTATCATATGTTAAGCATTTTTTTCCTCTTTAGTGCTTTGAAAGGTAGGTAGTCATCTTCTGACATCAAGGCAAATACTGTATGCTTCCAAGTGGAAACCAAAAATAAATAACAGTATGATCATTTTTTGAAACACAGACTCATAAAACCAGCACTTTCAGAATTAAACTATTGGTGAAACGTGATGAGATTTAGTAGAGAGAGCTCTGAGGCACTATGCTGAGGTAGAGGCACGTTTTCTGTCCTCAAAATAGAAATAACGTTGACATTCCCGTTGGGGAATAATCTGAGAGCAGGTAGACTCCCCCCAGTCCCCTCCCCCCCAAAGCTACAAGAATTTCATGATATTTGGAAGAGACTGCCATAGGATCAAAGTTCAAGTCCATTTAATTTCCTTCCCTTTAGAACACTTCTTTGATAGAAGCCTATTCTAGCCTAAAGGTCTGATTAAAAATTGCAAAGATATCTTCCTAAGCGCAGACACCATGCCATCAAGATAAATTATTCCAGCACCTTTGTACAGCGATCCAAGACCACCAGCTGATTTATAAAGTGGCATAATCCAATAGTGGCCTCTTAAGAGTTGCATTAGCCATAAATAAACCCAAACATGTGATGTTAAAATAAATAAATCAATGACATGTGTTGGGCATTTCTTAATAATTCAGGAATTGGTGATCCTGGCAGGAACACAAACCAGACTGGAATTCAACAGTATGAAGACAGTGTTTTAAAAAAAAATTTCACTCTGTATTATTGACAATCCGACTGGTACAAATGTTAAAACCCTTCTGGGGGCGTGGCTGGACGCGGAGAAAGATGGCCGCTTGAGTCTTTAGCTCTGCACCACGAGCTAGGCGAAACTAAGAATAAGGGAGCACCCAGCGGGGTAACTCGAGCCGAAAGCGAGATGTCGCAACCCAAATCCCGGCGACAACAAGACAAGCTCGACAAAACCAACTTTTTCTCGCAAAAAAAGGTGGCAGCCCTAGCTATACAATCCGCGGCCGCGGACCAACAAGATGGCGCTGAACATTCAGGAGGCAGCAGCCCTGGTTCGGAAGCCGACTCACCACAAAATGGTGGGCTGCTTACCATAACAACACTGAAACAAGCCCTAGAAGAACAATCGCAACGATTAATTTCAATTTGGCAATCAAGCGTTGCAGAATTAAAACGCGACATACAAGACATCGGCTCCCGCACAACGCACGTGGAGACCAAAATGGAGGACTTAATTGACGCACATAATGCATCGACTGAACAAATCAAATCCCTCTAATCCCAATTGCAGCACTGCGAAACCAAGATTATGGACCTCGAGGACAGATCAAGGAGAAGCAACATTAGACCGAGGGGCATACCGGAGACTATTCTCCAAGCAGACCTTCCCAGCTACGTGCACGGCCTTTTCAAAGCTCTGGCCCCTGAGGTCCACACGGACATGTTGCTATTAGACCGCCTACACAGAATCCCGAAACCCCAACAAATAGCGGCTTCACTACCCAGGGATGTTTTGCTGAAAGCCCACTATTTCCACGTGAAGGATCTATTAATGCGGAGGAGCAGGACGGCGAAAGACTTACCGATGGAATATGCCGCGATCAAGATGTTTTCTGACCTTTCCGCGGCCACCCTGAGACAACGCAAGACCTTCCAGCGGGTAACGGAAACCCTCCGAGCCAACCACATTCTGTACCGCTGGGGTTTCCCGGTTCGTCTCATTGCCTCAAGAAACGGGACAACCACGACCATCCACACGGTGGAAGAAGGGCTGGACCTCCTAAGACAATGGAACTTACCCGTGGTAGGGGACTCTCAAGCTCCCAAGGGCCCGCGCCAAGTGGAGAAAGACTGGCATACTACCAACTAACAACTTACCGCAAGTATCCCCGCTCCGGCGGTATATGACTGTATTTCAATTACAACCCATTTAACAACCATCCTACCTAACAGCATCCGTGCGATGGATGCTATAAGCTGACAATACCATAATGACATGCACTGTAATTATTCATGTATAACTGTACTGTAATTGTTATGTATAAGTGTTTGGCAGAGCAGTATAGCATATGCCCTATATAACTTAAAAACTCAATGTGGGCTTGACAAGGTGCCGCAGAAGCATAATAGAAAATATGGCCGGTATAGGGTGCTGTACCGTCAGTGTTCAGGAGGTTCACATAGTTTAACACGTGGGCATCGTTATTAACCACACACATCAATCAAGGAAGGTACATATGACTCACGTACAACCCGTAAGCATAGCTAAGCTAGGACTGGCACATCGATTACTAAAGTGATGAGCCACGACATGTTGCAATTTTGTGGGAACGCTAGATTAGTGTTTGGCACCAAGTAGGGGCCTCCAACCCCCCCTCAGCAGGGAGCTGGAACATGAGACAATAGACTGATTGATTTTTATGTGAAAAGCTGTAAATTAGATTAACCCGCCTATACGAAACGCTGGTAACCAGCCTTCTGCCAGTACACAATCTCCAAAAGCATGGACTGAGCTTTAGGCAGCGCTCCAGGGTAAACCCACATGAGGATTGGACGGAGTGCGGAGTTATGTCTCTGTAGATCTGATATAGTATACACAATATTAAGCCGACAACCAGGGTTAGATGAAACTTAGTAGCCATCTGATCCTTCGGTACGCAACCCATGTGTTCAAGATATATACTTATGTACAATCGCCACATTGCATGGTTGTGTTTGAAATAGGGGTTGTTGGAACAGAGTCGAAGCGAAGCTCAACCCGAGCACTAATAATGATATGGAAATTGTATGTGAATGGTGTCTTACAGTGGGAACCACATAAGGGCCGAACACAGACACTAAAGCCCTCCACACTCCCAAGCTAATGAGGCGGACATATTATCTACCCATTCTGCCATCTATTGACATCCGCTCCATAGGTGAACCTCCCAGACCAAGTCGCATGCATTAATGTGACTTTAAACCTTATGCACACACGGAAAGCACTGTAGTGAATCCCTGGTCTCCTACCGTACTAGTCAAGTCTGCCCATGCGGCACCGGTCACAGCACTAATTTTTCCCCCCCCCCTCTCTACAAAGAAATGTCACCCCGCGGGGACAATACATCTACTCCCGCTACATAGAAAAGAGTGCTCATTCTGGAACCCCTTGTGGTTTTGAAACAAGGGGCCCTGTCGATTAGTGTTATAAGTTGTCTGAGCAGCACTTTAACATTTAGCCAGCTCAGGCCACGATTGTCCACCACTCCGATCCCATGCCCCCCACGGCGCGGCACAGGCGCGCCTTGCACCGAGATCGGTTTCATCTGTATATACTTTTGTTCGATGTTTGTTACCCTACCCACCACCACCCCCCTACTTACCCAGTTATATTCCCAGGCACAAAGCTGAGCACCCAAAAACTTGCCACAAGCATGGCATACCTAGGTACTTCATCTCATCCTCTCCTTAACCTATGTATAATGGGATACTTGCACCCAAATAAGGCACTCACTTGCTTACCTAACAAGCTCACCCGCAACTCACTCTGAAGATCTATTCCCACAACGTGAGGGGACTAAATATGCCCCATAAAAGGCACATGTTACTCCAAGAGGCCCGCAAGCTGAAGGCAGACATACTCTGTCTCCAAGAGACCCACTTCGCCAAGGCTAATACGCCCCACTTTGGCATGAAACACTTCCCCCACCAGTTCCATTCATCCCACTTATCCAAATCCAGAGGAGTGTCCATATACATCCACAACTCCGTTGCCTTTGAATTGCTACAGAGATTCTCAGATGACAAGGGAAGGTATCTGATAGTTATCTGCTTATTGAACGATGCAGTCTACACAATAGTAAACGTGTATGCACCGAATGAAAACCAACGTAATTTTCTGTTTAGTATCCTCACGAAAGTGGCGAAGGTACAAAGAGGAACCACAGTGATATGTGGAGACATAAACCACGTCTTAGACCCCCTTCTTGATACTTCTACGCCTCCACAAGCCTCTAGACACAAATCCCTCAAACCGCATTGCAAAAACCTGACACAGTTATTGCTCAAGTTCAATTTATATGATAGCTGGCGAACCTTCCATCCTTCAGAGAGAGGATACTCTTACTACTCTAAACCACACAAGTCATTCTCCAGAATAGATGTGTTACTCGTACCAGGCCCTTCACTTAACCTAATCCAATCATGTGTTATGGGGGATATCCTGTGGTCTGACCATGCACCTGTGATAGCAACTTTAAAAGATGATTTTAGATACCGAGGTTGTAACCCCTGGAGATTAAATGAATCGCTTTTACAGGATGAACAGTTTAAGTTAGAGATAGAAACCGAACTCACACACTATTTCTCCACTAACGACATACCAGAAACGAGTCCCACGACAGTATGGAGGGCCCATAAGGCTGTAGTACGGGGCCTGTTCATAAGGCGTGCCTCGCACCTCAAAAAGATCTCCCAGGCTAACTCCCTACACCTCCTTAGGAAATTGAGAGATGCTTCCGCAGCTCACATGGTTAATCCAAACCCACAAGATGCGGAACTTATAACACGGCTCCAATCGGAACTGAATGACATTAACATAGCCAAAACGACACGTACCCTACATAGGCTGAAAACGAGAGAATACTGCATGGGCAACAAAGCGGGCTCGCTTTTAGCAAGTAGACTCCGAGACGCTCAGGCCCACACCAAAATATCCCACCTCTTTTCTCGAAATGGGGAAAAAATCATCAAACCCCAAGACATCAGTAACCATTTTGCAGAGTTTTATGGGAAACTCTATAACCTCAAAAATGACCCTACTGTGCATCAACCCACAGAAGGGGAAATAGCTAGTTTTTTGGACAAAATTAATCTGCCCAAATTGACAGACGAGCAACGATCCTCTTTATCTAAACCCATCTCCCAATTGGAACTGGAAACAGTAATACAAAACTTGCCACATAACAAAGCCCCAGGTCCAGATGGCCTACCAAATTTGTATTATAAGAAATTCTCCTCCACTCTGGTCCCCAGGTTAGTGTCGCTCTTCACATCCACCACTACATTAGAATCCATCCCAGCAGACATGCTCGCGGCTAATGTGGCCACATTACCCAAACCAGGAAAACCACCAACCCAATGTGCTAACTTTCGACCAATTTCGCTACTCAACTCTGATGTTAAAATCCTTGCTAAAGTATACGCTAACCGCATGTCAAACATAATCCCACACATCATCCACTCTGACCAAGTCGGCTTCGTACATGGAAGGCAGGGGACAGATGGAACACGCAAAGCCCTTGCACTACTACACACTATGCACAGACAATCTCCTCAAAGTCTCTTATTATCCCTTGATGCAGAAAAAGCCTTCGACCGCCTGCATTGGTCATTCTTGCGGGCGGTCCTGGCCAAATTTGATTTCCCCATGCACTTTATCTCAATAGTCAAATCCCTGTATAGCAACCCCGAAGCTAGAGTTTTCACCTCGGGATTTCAATCCGCACCTTTCACTATTACTAATGGCTCTAGGCAAGGGTGCCCCCTATCGCCCCTCCTATATATCATGGCCCTAGAACCCTTGGCCGAGGCTATCCGCATGGAGAAGGAGATCAAAGGGATTAGGGTGGGAGATAGCGAGCACAAACTGAACCTTTTCGCGGATGATGTTCTGCTCACAATCACTGAACCACACACATCCCTGCCGAAATTCCACGCCATATTACAGGAATATAGCAAATGTTCATATTATAAATTAAACCTTTCCAAAACACAAGCCATGGGAGTGGGTATGGACAGTGCGTACTTGTCGGCATTAAAGAAACAATTCTCCTATGACTGGAGGGATGACCATCTGACTTTCCTAGGGGTAAAGCTCCCACATAACTTGTCCAACCTATATAACATAAACTACGTTAAACTCAGCAAGGAGATCACTGCTTTGCTTCACAACTGGGGAAATAAATTTATCTCATGGTCGGGGCGCATAGCAGCGGTCAAAATGGTAATCTTGCCCAAACTACAATATCTGTTTAGAACACTCACTCTACAAATACCAAGGGCTTATTTCATGGCACTTCAGAAACAGATTAATTTTTTCATTTGGCAGGGGAAACGACCCAGAATAGCCATAACCACACTATACCAACCTAGGAACAGGGGAGGAATGAGTCTACCCAATATACAATTGTATCACAGAGCAGCAGTGCTGGCTAGCCTCTTCCCCGCCGCCCAGGAGCGGGACAGGCCACAATGGGTGCAGCTAGAACAACATTGGCTACAAAACCAAGAAATAGACGCATTAATATGGCTATCCCCGAAGAACAGGGGAAACACAACACAGGTACTCCCAACCACCCTAGCAATGCTGAAAATATGGGACGCATCGCGTAAATTTCTATGTAGCAATTATCCGATTGCCCTCTCTACCCCTATCAAAGCTCTAGCTTGGGAAATACCAGATTTTAACTACAGGGTCTGGAACAGATGTGGTGTACTTCACCTACATTCTCTCTTCAACAAGGGGAAATTAGATACATTTGATCACATGAAAGAGACCTACACGTTACCCAACACGGCGTACCACTCATATATGCAATTAACATCTTGGTGGAAATCCAAAATACAAACTTTCAAGCCCCAAACCACCCCTGAGTTAACAGAGTTTGAGAAACTTTTCATGGCGGGTAAACAGATTAAAAAACCCATATCCACCACATATGCCCTGCTGTTATCTAGACGTGAGGTTAAAACTCTCCCCTTCGTACTTTCCTGGGAAAAAGACCTAAACCAGTCAATACCGGAGAAAATTTGGATGGCCACGATAAATATAACGAAAGGCCTAACACAGTGTGCATCTCACCTAGAAACAACCCGCAAGATCCTTTACCGCTGGTACATGGTCCCTACGAGATTGGCCACAATAGACCCAACACTACCCAACACCTGCTGGCGATGCAAAACCGAAATAGGATCATTTCTCCATGTTTGGTGGAAATGCTCCAAACTTCAACCATATTGGAAAGCAGTCATCTCATTGATACACCGTCACACATCAGTGAACATACCAAACACCCCTACCTCTCTACTTCTCTTTATGCTAGGCACCACCTACCCTAAACCTGTACGATACTTAATATTTCACATACTAGTAGCAGCTCAACAACTAGTAGCAAAAAACTGGCTATCGCCCAATAATGCAGCAACACAAGATATTATTAAACATGTATCTCAAGTAGGAAAGTACGAATCCAATATCTCAAGAATGTCACCAGGAAACAGCTGGAAAAGGGAAGTATGGGAAAACTGGGAGTTAAAACACCCAACATAATTAGGCCTATAACTTAACCTACGGGTACACAACCCATAGGATGTACAGCTCCGGTAGCCCCACCACCTCACTACATTAGAGGGCACACGACACCCAATGCACATGTGCTAGTAACCAACAACTCATAAAACCCTTAAGTATTGAAGTCAAGAGTGGATTGATATATCCACGAAAACTGATGGGAAGAAAGGTGTCAGACCTCACTACTCCCCACACCCCCCTCCCCCCTTTTTCACCCTTATGAGGCGCTACGCGAAGGAAAGGCCCTCGGGCTCAGTAGGATTGCTTTACATCATGTACACCAAGGGACACCAGGCCACAACTCCCACCTAGGGGAACTCTAACAGGGACAACTTACCCAAACTATAGCAATAAGACAAGCAGGGGCAGGACCCCATAGGTCACACGTAGAGGAAATGGGAGTACTGTATTTATACACTGTAATTATGTACTTATGCATTGCAATTACGTATTGTATCCTTGTACTGATGTATCTATGTACTGCATACCATATCATGCCAGTATTTTGTGCTTATCCTTTCCCTTCTAACCCCCCTTCTTTTTCTGTACCCCAAGTTCTGACAAAATAAAAATTGTCAAATTGAAAAAAAAAATAAATAAAAAAAAAATAAATAAATAAATAAAAAAAAAAAAAAATAAAAAAAACCCTTCTGGAACTGCCAATTTCCTGTGTTATTGACCAAAATGTCAATGTTGTTGCTCTTCTGATAACAAAAATGCTAAAATATATAAATAATGAAGAGGAAAAAAAAAATTCTACTGTCAAAATGCCCTGCAAGTGAATTTTTTTTTTTAAATTTTTTTTAAAGGACCACTCTAGGCACCCAGACCACTTGAGCTTAATGAAGTGGTCTGGGTGCCTGGTCCAGCTAGGGTTAACCATTTTTTTTTTTTTAATAAACATAGCAGTTTCAGAGAAACTGCTATGTTTATAAATGGGTTAATCCAGCCTCTAAAGCCTCTAGTGGCTGTCTCATTGACAGCCGCTAGAGGCGTTTGCGTGCTTCTCACTGTGAAAATCCCAGTGAGAAGACGCCAGCGTCCATAGGAAAGCATTATGAATGCTTTCCTATGAGACTGGCTGAATGCACGCGCAGCTCCTGACGTGCATGCGCATTCAGCCGAAGGAGGAGGAGAGCTCCCCGCCCGGCGCTGGAGAAAGGTGAGTGTTTAACCCCTTCCTCTACCCAGAGCCCGGCAGGAGGGGGACCCTGAGGGTGGGGGCACCCTCAGGACACTATAGTGCCAGGAAAACAAGTATGTTTTCCTGGCACTATAGTGGTCCTTTAAAGTTCTTTATTTTTTCAGTGCATGAAATTAAGACAAGCATTGTAAAGACATTTCAGCAAGGGTACATCATGAAATGTCACACACAGACTGCACTTCTTATGAAAAGGGAACAGGAGTTTAACAGGAGTAATATGCTGACTTTTGAAGATATATAACAGGATAATATCAGGCTAGTCTGACATGTCTAAAATGGTCAGAGTGCACAATAGGAAGAGATAAAAGAAAGTAAAGAAATTTGTTTTAGCACATTTATGCATTACTCAGGATTGATATCAAAGTATTAAGGGAAAACAAGCTGGGCTCTCTATTGGATAGGATTAGCTTTTGGAAACCACTTTGATATGGTTCAGAGCAGTGAAGATACTGTTCACAAGTATTACATAATATGAGATAAGAAAACAAAAAAAAAAAACTGGACCCATCCTGGTCTACCAAAACATCATTATCAAGCAGACCAGCAGCCTAGCATAGCCGGACGATTTCAGCCAATTCCCTGGTCTGGGAGGCATTGGGCCGTCCCGGGGTAGTCAGCACAACAGTAGCGAGCTGAGCCATCTCTCCAGCTCCAGGCCTGATCAGAGAGCTGCATCATTGAACCACGGACTCTGGTACATATAGTATCCAAATGGGTGTACCATTCACCAACCGACCTCCGCTTCCCTGGCCTCTTGCCTGATGTCTCGACGGTTCTGGCGTCATTTGAGCTGCCAATCCCTCCCAAAAGCAGTCGAAAATCTCCTCCAGCCTCTGCAGGATCTCTCCACAGAGACATACTCATCTTTTTCTGCAAGCATTGAATTGTGCTCCAGATGTGAGAGTGTGTCTGCCATCTTGTGGTAACCATTTGCTGTCTGGGCTTCTGTGTGAGTCAGCATCTGGGTAAGTGGTGGTTCCAGTGGATAACCCATGCCTGTTCAGAAGGGGGGGAGGGGGGAGAGAGACCCAAAGCAGCGGGGTGACTTAGCGAGGTCCTGAAGCAGATCAGGCCGTGAGAGCGGCTGCCTCTCCTGCCCGATGCTCCTGCCAGGACTCTGCAATACCACCGGTACGTGCAGTGGCAAACCGCTTAGCGAAGCCAGTTTTGCGCACCCCGTGTGGTTCCACAGATTGGGTAAGTACAGATCGTGTGGTAGGTGAGTGCTGGGTATTAATATAATCAGAAAGGACAAGAGTCATGCAGAAGCTCTCACAAAGTGTGCCTAACTGCCATGCGGTTCAGGCCCTGCCCCTGCAGATTAAGTTTTAAGGACAGGATCTATAAATTAAGAATTATTAAACTTTGGAGATCTTGTGCTCCCTCCTAAAATTAACGTGGGCCACTATTGTCACATTGTCTGACCTTCTCTGAACACACTCATGAAAGAGAAACCATATCGTTAACCACAAAAATCAACAACGGATTAGGGAGGTCTTTGAAATATTTGCCAGGTCCACACCTTGGTGGAATAAACTCCACATTTTTTTTTTTTTAAAGAGGACACAAGGTCATTGTTTTTCATGGCTCAGTCATCTTTTAAGTACTGGAAGTGATGCAGTGTCACAGTGGACTCTGAAATGATGCAAGATTTTGCGAGGCAAGGAAGAAAGGACAGGACAGAGACAAATATTGTTTTCTTGACAAAATTAGTTAAGCTTAGATAACCTCCAACCTTTTGTCATGCATAGGAAAAATACCTAAGACAAAGTACTTCCTAGTTTTAGGTGACAGAGTCAATTTTAAAATTTCTGGGGCAATCTCGTTCTTTAAACCCCTAAGCCGCGGAAACGGACACTGTTAGGAGGCTTAATACTTTAAATGACTGACAGCTGTTGAACATCTTCCCTAAGACACTCTCCTTTTACACAGAAGAAAACTAGCAGTTTTTGAGGTCATATCAATGCAGAGTCTCAAGATATCTCCCGCTGAAATGAGTTACCAATTTTCCCAGTTTATGAATAAGCACCAGTTTTCCAAAATGCTAATAGTTTTTCTCGCAGTGTAACTAAGTTGACCTTAAAAATACTTTTAGAAGGCCAAAAAAAATAAAAATCTGAAATAAGAAATATATGCCCAAATTCAAATGGATATTGTTGCAACAACAGAACAGAAGGCAGCCTGTAAAAAAGCGCTAGATCCAACAAAGTAATTTGTCATTGACCAATATGGACATAGGGGTATGCATCTGTAGATATCATGACCTCGGTCAGAATGTTTTCAATTTGCCATGCAACCCAATGTAATAATTTCCTCTCTTAAATGTTCAAACAATGATTTATTCTTATTTTCCTGATTAAGAAATAACTTTTTGGAGTGACTTTAAATTCCCAGGTACACACCTTGGCGAACTTGAGGATCTAAGCAAATCAAATGCTTTCTCATAGGAAAGCATTGGAGGCTATTGCGCATGAACTAATTAGCATCTCCTCATTCAGATGCATTGAACCAATTCTGCAGAGTGCAGCACTGGCCCAGGAAGCACCTCTAGTAGCTGTGTGAGTGAATGCACCTAGAGTTGTTACTAGGCAGCAATTAAAAAATTGCCTCTTTTTGAAAAAGGCAGTGTTTGCATAAAAAAAAAGCCTGCAGGGACATGTTGTAGACACCATAACAACTACATTAAGTTGTAATGGTCTGGTGACTATAGGGTCTGTTTAAAAATTTACAAGTCATTGTTACATAGCTGAAAAGAGACATGTGTCCATCAAGTTCAGCCTCACATTGTTTTTGCGGTTGATCCAAAAGAAAGCATAATTCTAATTATATTAAATTAAAACCTGCCTTTGTCTACATTTCCAGACAGTGGTTTGCAATGGCCCTGAATATATTTGTATAATGTTATGATCTACAGTTTTTCCTAAGTTAATAGAGATTTAAATGTGTCAACCTTTCTTCATAACTAAAATGTTCCATTCCTTTTTATTGGATTTTGCACTTTTTCTAGTGCCATGAGATCCTTTTTTAGAATAGGTGACCAAAACAGCACAGCATATTGAAGGTGTGGCATTATCACTGATTTATAAAAAGAGGAAAAATTATATTTTCATCTCAAGAATTAATGCAACTGCTGATTGACACTGTACATTGTCGCCTAGTTTATGGTCTATAAATTTCTAAATCATTAAAGTGTGCCATTATCCCTAACTTACTAGCATTTAGGATGTAAGTTACTTGTGCAACTTAGACTTTTGCACATTTAACTTCCTTTTCTATTACTGCACATTTATCATGAATTTGGATATGCAAGTTATGTAGATATGGTTAACAATATTTTGCTACAATGAATATTCATCATTTTTAGAACATTGGACTGCATTTTAATTATTATTTGTGCCTTTTCCATTGTAAAATATATTCCTTTGGTTTTCTTGCTACTCTCTTTTCCTCATTAGATATTCTCACAGTTTAGTACTCCTATTATTGTAGCACCTTCCATCCAGGCTTGGCAACATGTTTAAAGTATGGGAAGTGGTCCTCAATCCAGGTATAGATGTCCTTCAGGGTCATGCGCTTACTGGGAGTGCTGTTAATTGCAAACTGTATGAGTGCCATGTAGGAATAAGGAGGTCGCTCTGATATAGAGACCTTCCATTTTTGAGAGGGAAGAGTATCTGGTTCTTCCTTCACCTTAAAAGAGAAAGAGCGCAACAAGTTTAAGAATGTGTAGAATATATAAACTAAAAAAGGTAACTGTCAACCTCCCAAGAATTAGAACAAGTAGAATGTGAGTTGCATTCAGGTGATACTGTTCTCAAAATACTATCTGCTTACGTAGTGCAGCTTTTCACAATTATCTTTTCTGGTACTTGAAATAAACATTTTATATTGACATTTGCTAATCTTAATGATTTATAGAAAAAAAATAAAGTTGGCTTGCTTTTAGAAAATAACAGATCAATGAGACCCAAAATCACACATTCACCTTCACACACTCTGGTTCAGGAGCCTGGTTCTCTTTCCCCTCGGGTTCTTCTTTCACATGGCAAGGGCTCAACCCATCTGAACTCATCTTACCAAGCCAGTGTATATTAGTCAGGCTGATGTCTAGCTCAGTGCCCCTCTGCTGTCCAGCTGAAGTAACAGAAAACAAAACAAGACATATTCAAACAGACCTTGCAACTCAGAGATAAGATGTTCATCTGCTGACTGACACCATAAAGATTATTGTAAGCTCTGAAACAAACATCTGGTGGTAGCTTTGAGCCCCCAACAGTTTTTACATTCTGTAGCAAATCTGTTCTTGGACTAGCATTGCTGTTCTGCCCTTTTCAGTTCCCATGGTAACACTGGTGCCCAGGTGATATTTTACAGTGATTGACATGATCAGCATTTATTCACAAAAAAAGTCATAGCTGCAGTAAATCAATAACATTTAAAAGATGTGTGAAAACAAACAAACAAACAAACAACACCACACTAGAAGAGAGCCTACATTTGATATGCATTGCATTCATTGATTAATCTTCTGTAGCCGACTATAGCACATAAGCAATATTACAAGAAACATACAGGGTTTTAAAACATAGAACAAATATAACATTTGATAGAATCTATCACATCTTCTTTTAAGCATCCATGAATTTAGGAATACAAAGCTGTCCCACAACTTAAGGCACAATACACACCATATAAGATACCCTGGGGTGTCTGCTTTGTCAAATGAAAGCCCTTTGTGGGGTTATTTGAACAGTCACACTGCTATAATACCCTAAAATGAGACATAGAATTTCCGTAGATGGATTTCTATACAGCTGAAACTGAAATAGCCTTGTCTCTTATATGGCACTGTAGCTTTACAGAAAAGTGCAAAAGGCATACAATGGGGGTATCGTTCTACTCAGCAGATGTAGCTGAACACAATATGGGGTGCAGGAATAGCACACACCAACTTTACGAAATACACATTACAAAAATCTTGTTATATGTGTATATCACAAAATAAAATAAAAATATACTTTTGTGGGGCAATTTTGTTTTTTGTGATGGCTAGTAAACCTACAAGAAAAACATACCAAAATCTAAAATTGTTGCAAAATTGAAGTTTTATTTTAGTCCTTGTATTTTGTGACCTGTAGCTTTCAAAATAAGCTGAAATCCTATACATATGATGTACTCTATAAATCAAGACACAAATGAATTTATTTTGAATTACTTTTTCTAAGCTGGACATATTAAAGGATCACTATAGTGTCAGGAACACAAAGCGGGTTAAAACCCCTTCAGCAGCTTACCTTTATCCAGCACCGGGCTCCCTCGGCGCTGTTGACCTATCCTCCCCCACCGACGTCAGTTCTTGAGTGGAGCCGAATGCGCGGCAAGTGCCGTGCGCGCATTCAAAGCGTCCATAGGAAAGCATTTAATGCTTTCCTATGGACGCTCTGCACAATAGATGCGAAATTCGCATCCAGCGTCCAGAAGACAGCCATTAGAGGCCGGATTAACCCCAAATGTAAACATGGCAGTTTCTCTGAAGCTGCTATGTTTGCATCTGAAGGGTTAAAACCTGAGGGACCTTGCACCCAGACCACTTCATTGAGCTGAAGTGGTCTGGGTGAGTATAGTGTCCCTTTAATGCACATGCTATTATTGCCAAAACTGTGAAAAAAAATAGATTTTTTTTAATTTTTGGGCATTTTATATAATTAATGAGAATGTATCTATGTATATGTGACATCAAATTAAAGCCCTGTTTGCCCTCTAAAAGAACGATGTATATTATGTGTTAGTGTAATAAAAGACAGAGATGCAAATTGCATTTGAATACAAACAGCAAAAAAAAAAAATATATGCAAAAATGGCTTGCGTCCTTAAAGGACCACTCTAGGATTAACCCCTTTTTTAATAAACATAGCAGTTTCAGAGAAACTGCTATGTTTATGAATGGGTTAAGCCTTCCCCCAAATCCTCTAGTGGCTGTCTCATTGACAGCCACTAGAGGCGCTTGCGTGCTTCTCACTGTGATTTTCACAGTGAGAGCACGCAAGCGTCCATAGGAAAGCATTGTAAATGCTTTCCTATGAGACCGGCTGAATGCGCGCGCAGCTCTTTCCGCACATGCGCATTCAACCGAAGAAGAGGATCGGAGGCGGAGAGCTCCCCGTCCGGCGCTGGAATAAAGGTAAGTTTAACCCCTTTCCTCGCCATCCAGCCCGGCGGGAGGGGGTCCCTGAGGGTGGGGGCACCCTCGGGGCACTATAGTGGTCCTTTAAGCGTAAGACAAGCTTCTGATGTGGTGTCCTTAAGGGGTTAAAGGATCACTATATGTAATATGGTAATTACGTTATACTTTAATATTTTATAGAAGAAGTTTTTTTTTTTTCCTTTCCAAGAATTCAAGGGAGATTTTTACACTTATTTTGACACTGAAAAACGTTAACACAAGCTATATTTAATGTCTTATAATTTAATATTAGGATCACATAGGTAATTGATCTATTATAACTCTTCAAAATAAGGAATGTATGTTATGTAAGAGTTTGCAAGATTGAAAGTATATAAATAATTTATGAAAGATGACTATTTAGACACAAGTAGAGCACTTTATTGACAGAAAATAATTAACGGAAACAAAGATGTGGTTAAGAGGATGTGTGTTTATTTTCTTTTCATTTTTTTTTTCTCTTTCTCTTTCCTAAACACAATATGTTAAACGAAGGAAAATTAGAATATGAGGAGGAACTTCTCAGGCTCTCTTTCTATTTCAATCTTCTGAACAGAAGCTTTTTTTACATTCCAGGATGTCTTACCTTTCCCCGAGGGTACCTTTAGGGCACCCAGTACTTGGATTATGTTGGATTATCCAAGCGTGATGTTTGTGATTATATGTGGTATGAATGTTAGTGTGTGGATGATGGAAACATTTCCGGTCTTAATATGGGAGAGAAGGAAAATAGAAATTGACAATGGTTAGATTAATTCTGGTAAATGCACAAGGTCTTAATTGCCATGTTAAGAGAGGTATGCTATTTGACACCTTGATCAGAGAAAAAAATCCAAGTGGGTTTCATTCAAGAGACCCACTGGATTGCTGATTCAAAGAAAAAAAATGGGATTTTAAAAAATATCCTATAATCTATGAGGCTTCTATCTCAAAGAAAAAGAAATGTGGGGTATCTTATCTTTTCTAAAGAGTTTCAATTTGACTGTCAATATGCAAATCTAGATTCTGAAGGTAGATTTATTATTTTAGTCGGCCTTCTAGATGGAGACCTTCTAGATACATTAGTAAATGTTTATTCACCCAATAAAAATCCAATCTATACTTTAAATAAAATTTTGAGATTAGTTGATCAAGTTAAAAAAGGGAAGCTAATGATCGCATGGGATTTTAATTGTATACTTGATCCCATAATGGATAAGCAAGTTTGCCTCGGCCATAGGTCGCCGTGCGCTCCGCCGGCGCATCCATAAGGCGGCACAAGTGGCCGCCTTAGGGCGCACCGGCCCGGCGGGCGCAAAGCCGGAGTGACCGGCAGGAGGTGAGCGCATAGCGCACAGCGCTCCCTCCTGCCAGGCACTCTGTGTAGCGTGGCCGAGCGCACCGCGGTACAGGAACTTATGTTTCCTGTACCCGGGCGGATGGAAATGAAGTGCTCACAGGTACAGGAAACTGAGCTCCGCGGCGCTCGGCCACGCTACAAGGTAGGAGACTGAGGGAGAGATGGGGGGGGAAGGAGACTGAGGGAGAGATGGGGAAGGAGACTCACAGGAAACCGAGCCCGGCCACGCCACGGGCACCAAGGTAGGAGACAGATGGGGGAAGGACCGAGGGAGAGATGGGAAGAGACCGAGGATGAGAGATGGGGGAAGGAGACTGAGGAGAGATGGGGAAGGAGACATGGGGAAGGAGGGAGAGATGGGGAAGGAGACCGAGGGAGAGATGGGGGAAGGAGACTGAGGGGAGATGGGGAAGGAGACTGAGGGAGGAGATGGGGGAAGGAGACTGAGGGAGAGATGGGGAATGAGACTGAGGAGAGATGGGGAAGGAGACTGAGGGAGAGATGGGGGAAGGAGACCGAGGGAGAGAGGAGAGGGAAGGAGAGAGGAGAGATGGGGGAAGGAGACTGAGGGAGAGATGGGGAAGGAGGGGAGGAGACTGAGGGAGAGATGAGAGATGGGGAAGGAGAAGGAGAGCGGAGGGAGATGGAAGGAGAGGAGGGAGAGATGGGGGAAGAGGAGAGAGGAGAGATGGGGAGGAGAAGGAGACTGAGGGAGATGGGAGGGAGAAGGAGACTGAGAGGATGGGAGGAGGGAGATGGGGAGAGGATGGGGAGAGAGATGGGGAGGAGAAGGAGACCGAGGGAGAGATGGGGGAGGAGAAGGAGAGGGAGAGATGGGGGAGGGAGAGGATGGGAGGGAGAAGGAGACTGAGGGAGAGATGGGGAGGGAGAAGGAGACGAGGAGAGATGGGGGAGAAGGAGACTGAGGGAGATGAGGGAGAGATGGGGGAGGGAGAAGGAGACGAGGGAGGAGAGGGAGAAGGAGACTGAGGAGAGATGAGGGGGGGAGGGAGAGATGAGGGGGGAGGGAGAAGGAGACTGAGGGAGAGATGAGGGGAGGAGAAGGAGACTGAGGGAGAGATGGGAGGAGGGGAGAAGGAGACTGAAGGAGAGATGAGGGGGGAGGGAGAAGGAGACTGAGGGAGAGATGGGGAGGGAGAAGGAGACTGGGGAGAAGGAGACTGAGGGAGAGATGGGGGGGAGAAGGAGACTGAGGGAGAGATGAGGGGGGGGAGGGAGAAGGAGACTGAGGGAGAGATGAGGGGGGGAGGGAGAGATGAGGGGGGAGAATAAGGAATAAAATATATAAAATATAGTCCCACAAAGTGGGAATATTTTATATATTTTATTCCTTATTCTGTTTGTTTATATTAAAGTATACTTTTAAAAAGTTACCTTTTTATATTTACTATTTTTAATTTCCTGGATCCTGTATATCCTTGGTGGGGATTATACCACCTAAGCTGTTTATACCAGAGCAGGCCATATGCTCTAGAAAGTGTAAGTACAATACTATTTACTATCCATTATATTATTGGGAAAACGGACCTTCATAATTATCGGCCAATCTCCTTAATGAATGTGGACGCTAAATTATTTGCTGCTATATTAGCAGCGAGACTACAATCTATTCTTCCATCCATTATTCATTCTGATCAGATTGGTTTCATTTCGGGGAGACAATCCAGTAATAATTTCAGACGACTGTTGGAGATCATGGACTGGGCTCAACATACCGGGACGCCCCTTCTGACTCTGTCGATAGATGCCGAGAAAACCTTAGACAGGGTCAGTTGGAGCTTAGTAGGTCTATCACATTTTGCTTTTGAAGGTTGGTTCATGGGAGCAGTGGGAGCTTTATAATCTAATCCCACTGCAAGGGTAGTGGGACAGGATTTATGTTCTGATTAGTTTAAAATTTCTAATGGTACCCGGCAGGGTTGCCCCTTATCACCTTTGTTATATGTGTTATCAATCGAGCCATTTGCTTGTAAAATATGACAAAATAGGGAAATAAAAGGAATACCGGTTACTGGTGATGTATTAAAGATCTGCCTTTATGCAGATGATATACTTATATCAATATCCGAGCCCAATTCTTCCCTTGCAATTGTGATGCAAGAGTTCGAAAAATTTAGTCTGATATCAAATTATAAATTAAATGTTAATAAATCAATAGCGTTAGTAAATAACATACAAGATACGACCTTACACATAATGAAACAATCAAATAAATTTTATTGGACCACGAAAGAGGTGAGCTATCTTGGTTTAATCTTGATGGTGGACCCTAGCAGGTGCATGGAAGTCAATTTCATGAGACTTCTAAAAGAAACCAATAGATTACTAAGGGAATGGAGATCATACGAGATTTCATGGTGGGGAAGGGTGAACACCATTAAAGCTTATTTAATACCAAAATGGACCTATATGTCCTGGATGATTCCCTTGCAAATATCCCCACACTGGCTCAATATAGTCCAAAATAGCTTTACTAATTTTAAATGGAGAGGGAAAAGACCAAGGATTAATACAACTTCCCTATCAAAAAATGGAAGGGATGGAGGAATCGGTTATCCATTAATAAAGCTATCATATCACGCTAATATGATAATACATGCTACCAATCTTCAAAGGACTGAATTGAGGGACCAACCCTGGTATAAATTAGAAACACACAGAATTAAGATAAATAATTTAGAACCCTTGTTATGGAATAATCTCAATAAGAATAAAGATATAAAGGAGTATAACAGAAGGAGTCTATAATATTTTTCCAAACGTTAAAAGAATGGAATAATTTAAAAAGGAAACTTAATATTGATAATCTAATTCCCTACACTTTATCATTGCAATCTTTGGAAGAGATGACACAAATTGATCTTAAAAACTGGTACAATAATAACGATCGGATTAATGTTTTATTTAACAATAGGCAGTTGAAAAACTATGCTGAACTTTCCACTCTACTTGATTCACCCTCAAAAGAAATATTTAATTATTTACGAGTAAAAAGTTTTTTAAAAGAACATATTATGAATAGAGATGATAAATTGGGAGGTTTAATTAAAGATATCTGTTAAGACCTGCAGTGGTTATGGTGCTGCAGTCTTGGTTCCCTCTCCCAACAGCTGAGCATGAGTGATTATAGCTGCAGCAGGGAGTAGAGGACTAGAATAGATGAAATGCAGTTCCAAGGTGATTCTTCCCAGCAAGTAGAATATCCCCCAAACATGAGCCTAGACTTCATGAAGGGTATAACAGGAATAGCCTTTATTGAAAACACACGGGCTTTTATGAGAAATCCTCCTGCAAGAGGACCTCCCACAGCAAACAAAAGCAACAGCCAATCATCACACAAATTTACAGTATTACACACCTCCTCTCTGCCTGGGAGATATTGAGATAAGTTAAGGAATAAACCAATTATCTCCAGGCAGAGAGCACACAATTTCCCCAAAACTTAGAACACCCCTTTCCCCATAAGGTATCCCCACAATTACATATCCCCTGATAGCCCCGATCTGGGGGACAAACATATCCAAATTTCACCCAGATCGGTTCAGGGGTTCTGAAAAAGTGTGGAGGTTCCCCTTTACTGACCACACACGCAGCTCCTGCCCAAAACAGTTCCATGAATTCAGCGTGTGCGGTCGGTCAATTCACAAAACTAAAAAAAAAATAAAAAAATAAAAAAAGTCCCGAATGGATTCCCCTGGCTCATAGTAGCGATTGCTCCCCTTGTCCGTTCGCACAGAATTACCGAATGAGGCTTTCCTGGCTGTTCGGGAAGTATGAGAAGCTGGCGTTTGGTAATTTCCAGCAGTAGTTCGTGAGGTCGAGTGTCCGATTTTAGTTCCAGACACTCGACAACCAAGTCCCGTTGGCTCTCCTAATGCGAACAAGATGGCCGCCGTTTTCTTTTCCACGTGGCGTTCGGTTATACGAACAGCGGCCACCCAGGGAGCACTTAATAGCTAGTTTTCTTTGAAGTAAATGAGCCAGGAGGGTGGTCGGCGTTCGGTAGTTTCAAACTACCGAACCAATCCATTCAATATACAAGTATTCACATATAAAAATACCGAATAAAAAAAGGGAGAAAATAACAGGTAAAATTCTATTTTCTTCACAATATCCTATCGGCTAAATCCTTTAAACATGTTTATGCTAAAGCAATGGAAGCAATAAAAATAGCTATCTGTCCCTCTACGACGTTTATGAAATGGGAAGCTGATCTATCTTTGGATATACAGCATGATTTATGGTGTTAGGCATTTAATAAACTTAAATATATCCATTGTTTAAACATTTTGGAAACTTTTTTAAAACTATCTTTTAGATGGTACTTAGTACCGATAAGACTTAACAAAATCTCATCAAGTAATCCTCCTAATTGTTGGAGATGTTCACATATAAACGGCTCAATATTACATATTTGGTGGAGCTGTCCTAGAATTATCCCATCATGGGATTTAACGTTCAAACTAGTAAATAAGATAGGAGCAGTGACAGAGAAAACACCAAAGACCGCGTTACTGCACCTATATGAGATAGAAAATAATAAAAAAATTAGAGATTTTGATAATTCATTGCCTCGTGGCAACGAAGTTGCTTATCGCAAAAAGTTGAAAACAAACTATTATTCCATCTAACTCATTGTTTAAAAAGCAAGTGATAAAACAAATAGAGATGGAAATCAGAGTTATACTATTTCATTCCTATACTAATCGTAAATTGCTTGAGATATATATAATAGCTTAGTAACAGATATAAAAAAGTACGTATAGATTATGGAATTATTGGTTCCAACCTAAGAGCGATATTTTAAAGCATAGATGAGAATTGCTGGTACATTGATTGATAGGAATACCTCCAGTGGCCGTCACTCAGACGGCCACCAGAGGGACTTCCTATCATGCAGGGCCCTAAAAAGGCCCTGTACACGTCAGACATATCAAAATACGTCTGACGTGTGCAGGAGAGAGAAGGCACTGTGTGCGTGCCTTCTCTCTTCTGCCTGTCAGCAGAGGAGAGGGGACGGGCAAAGACCGCAAGCTGAGCTGTCAGTCAGCTCAGCTCGCGGTAGTGCGCTCAGGACTTCAGAGGGCGCCATGAGCGAATGCAAAGCAATTGGAAGCGTCTGATTGCTCCCTGCTCACGCCCACCTATTTCGTCATTTTGATGAAATAGGGGGCGCGGCTTCACGAGGCTCCCGGCGCTGGAACCAGGTGAGTAAAATTTTTGCCTGGAGAGTCCCTTTAATTCTTAAAACATGTTGCTACTTTTTTTTGACCTTGTAAGACGAACTGAAAAGCCATAGATTGATACTTTAATAATCCCCATAAAGAAGTAATAATAGACTAAATTTAATTGACCGGAAATGTATGTGAATGAATTATGATTTGGACAATATGTATAAATGTAATAAACAGCTTAGGATAGAATTGATGGCATTTTATTATAAGGAAAGTTAATGTTCTACCGAACTGATTTTGTATAATGATACAGTATTGATTATATATAATGATAACACAGTAAAGTCAATAGTATAAATACTGTTTATAACTAGATTCTATAAATATTGTCTGTGTATTGTATGCATTATGCTCGAGAGAGCGAATGTTTGTTATATTTTGTATAAAAGAAAATAAAGAATAAAAAAATAAAAATAAAGGATCACTATAGGGTCAGGAAAACAAACATGTATTCCTGCCTCCATAAATATAGCAATATCTTACTGTATTCAAGCCTGAAGCTGTAGATCTGCATGCTGGTTGCCTCAGAAAAACAAGCAGTCTGCTGACATCAGATATGGAAGCCTGATCCAATCCCCATAGGATTGGCTGAGACTGACAAGGAGGCAGAGCCAGCATGATTCCAACACAGCCCATGCCAATCAGCATCTCCTCGTAGAGATGAATTGAATCAATGAATCTCTATGAGGAAAATTCAGTGTCTGCATGCAGAGGGTGGAGATACTAAATGTTTGGATGCTTTTTAGGCAGCCATAGCCCAGGAAGGATCTCTAACAGCTATCTAAGGAGTGGCCAGTGAAGTTATCACTAGGCTGTAATGTAAACACTGCATTTTCTGAAAAGACAGTGTTTACAGCAAAAAGCCTGAAGGTAATGATTCTATTCACCAAAACAAATCCAATAAGCTGTAGTTGTTCCGGTGACTATAGTGTCCCTTTAACCTTGCAATGAAAATATTGTAGTTTTACTAAAACTGCAATGTTTTCACTTGCAGGGTTAAGGGGACAGGGAGACTGCACCCAGACCACTTCAATGAGATGAAGTGATCTGGGTGTCTATACTGTCTCTTTAATCTAATACCCCAAACCACTTCAGTTTTTAAGGGATTTTGCTGCATTGATTACACTTCTGCAGCCTCCCTATTCAAAGGTCTGTTATTTAGGACCTAAATCAATTTATTTCTACAGCCCTCACCACACCTCCCCTGGATGTGAAGCAGCTAGCTTCCCTGCACCCTTCTTGGAGTGCTAGATCATATCTTACTTCAGCTCAGGATCAGTACCAGTGCTCACTTTAAAGCTTACAGGGACAGTGGGGGTCTTTTTTAATTGCCTACTATTACTGCCATAAAGCACTCCCCCCTGCCAGCAGTTTTCTGTGTAGGATAAGATTGTTATCCCAGAATGAAGAATAGCCACAACACAAATACAAATGTGTGTATGTATGTAGAGCTTCCACATGTGTTTGAGCTAAATTCACTGAGCATATTTAAATATGTGTTCATAATATTATAATATACTCCATGTATCATGAGAAGCATTGAAGTAGCAGCTATTTTAGGCAGTCAGAAAAACTTAAAAATCCATTATTTAAATAAACAGCATTTTATACCTTACAGTTTCAAGTTCTATGCCACAGAAAGCCTTGTGGGCCAATGGGACATTAACTAAAAGTGAATTTCTACTTGCCGGCGCTAAAGTCGCAACACACACACACACAACAAATTTGATTGGAATATAGCAGCCAGAAAAAGTTAGGAGCCATGTTTTTTTTTTTTTTTAAACAAAGCTTTATTTTCAATTTATTTATTTTTTTACAATTCTTTGGGACACTATAGTCACCACAACCACTACACAGATTTCAGAGAAAATGCAGTGTTTACATTGATGCCTAGTAACACCTCTAGTGACAGTCACTCAGAGTAAGTCACTAGTGGTGTGTCAATCCAGTGCTCCACACTTTGCATGGAGGAGCTGAATGTTCCCAATAGAGCTGCATTGATTCAATATTTCTCTATGAGAAGATGCTGATTGGCGCAGGTTTTTTTTTGGTGTTTTGCCGTGCATGCACAATAGCCTATGGCGTGGGAAAAAAAGACGAGTAAACCACTTTTCCCATGCGTTCAGAGGGGGGGCCAATCACCTAAACAGACTCACTGACAGACGGTCCAGTCTTCAAGCTTTTCTTGCTGTGCTCTTGCGTGCGTTGTTTAGTGAGGTCATATTCCTGCTCCTGGCATTAAAACTCCCTCGCCGCCCGGCTCCATTATGCCCAGAGCCAGCTGCTGGGGGGGGAAGCAGATTCCGCAGCTGCTTAACGGGCTGACAAACAGCCAGGAGCCAGGGCAAAATTCTTATTTGCCATGGCAACCTGCCATTTGTCAAGACCTGATCCAGAAAAAAAAAATAAAAGTCAAATACATACCCGGAGTTGTGGGAGAGGTTTTGCCAGGCTATATCTAACCCCCTCCCAGTTACTCCTGGCCACGCTTTGAACCTGGTTGCTAGGTTACCACACACAACTTATGATACGCAGGATTCACAGCTTAGGATGACATTCCAGCATCGATGGAGGAGAATTCGTTCCTGGTTCTCTTCTCTTTGACATTGTACATTCGGCCACGCTGCATATTCACTTTGGTTCAGTACATTCAGCGTCCCCTACATTTGGTTTTCTCTCAGTACATGACTTATGTGCAGCAAATTCCACCACACCACAATAAACTATTGTTCAGCATATGTTTGGCCATGCTTTCATTACTTCGTTTTATACCTCTTTCGGCCACACTGTCATTAGGCATTTACATATTTGTTATATCATCAGCTAGTCTCCAGATAGTTTTACCCATTTTTACTGCACTGCACCCTGAAGTGTACCAAGTGTCCTACTTGTGTTTTTAGGGATCGAACTATTAGTCATTGATTGTTGCTGAATTTAGGTGTACTACCGTATGCTTCAACATAAACCTCTCTCAACCTAATAGTATTTCATGATATCCAACTTATTTTTCCATCGGCAATGCACTTTTTTTTATTGAAAGTCGCAAAGTTAACAGAAACTAACCATTACAATATCTTCGGCTCCAAGACAGCAACTTCTATATTTCGCAGCCTAACATACGCAATTTATTATTTTACTTCGTAGTTGAGCCAATTTCAATTAAAATAACAATTAGCTGTAAACTGAAATTTTAAGTAGCTTTATGACACCCTTACTAAATTGGGTGTTTGTGACTATTATACATGCTTTCTAAGTTACATCTCCGGTTCATTTCTATCTTCTATTCTTCAGTTTAAAGGAACACTATAGGGTCAGGAACAGAAACATGTATTCCTGACCCTATAGTGTTATAATCACCATCTAGCCCCCCTGGCCTCACTATATATAGTAAAATCTTACTTTCATTCAAGTCTGAAGCTGCTGCCTCTGCCCCTGAACTGCCTCTTTCTGCTGACATCATCAGAAGTGGTCTAAGACAATTACAATGCTTCCCCATAGGATTGGCTTAGACTGTCAAGGAGGCAGATCAGGGGCAGAGCCAGCAAAAGTCAAACACAGCCCTGGCAAATAAGCATCTCCTCAAAGATTAATTGAATCAATGCATCTCTATAAGGAATGTTCAGTGTCTGCATGAAGTGGGTGGAGACACTGAATGCCAGTGCTGTACACTGTGCAGCACTGTCCCAGGAAGCACCTCTAGTAACCAGGGGAGTCACCACTAGGCTGTAATAAACACTAAATTTTCTCTTAAATCAAAGTGTTTACAGCAAAAAGCCAGAGGGAATGATTCTACTCACCAGAACAAAAGCAATAAGCTTTAGTTGTTCTGGTGACTATATAGTGTCCCTTTAAGCTTCGAGTGCATGCTTTAGGCCTCTAATAAATGATGATACTCATGGAGCACAGTTATCGGTTACTTCATTGTGGTCTTAATCTGCATAATGAGGTATTTCAAGCATTCGTTCCTCATTCGGCTGTTTCCTAATCTATTTGCAATGCTTTTAAACATTGGCTCACAAAGTCCAGACGCCAGGACAGAATTCCAAGTTGCTATGTGAACCTGTGATTGGTCGGGCCCTAACTTACACTACGACATTCAAAAACAAATCAAATGGGCTCACCAACAGACATACACATATCCTACCAACAATAAATGGTGCCCAGTAAAAATACTTTATCACTTTTTTGCATTCACGTAGAGGTCGCCTTAGGAGTACACAGCTTTTAATGCTACACAGTAACCCACTCACAAATCAAAGTTCATCTTGAACGTCAGGACACTTTGTAAAACTTGGCTGCAACCCTTCATCCTTTCAGGACATTCATTTAGAATTGGGAACGCCTCAGCTGCATCTAGTAGGAATATCCTGGTACACATGGAATGTGTGGAAAATGGAAAACATTCAAGACAGTTGCCAATCTTCCAAGCAGTGGACATCCCAGCAAATTCACCCACAGATCAGATTGTGCAATGCTCAGAAAAATTGCAAACAACTGAATAGTTATATATCAGACTCTACAGGCCTCAGTTAGCATGTTAAATATTACAGTTCATGAGAGTACATTTAGAAAAAGACTGAACAAGTATAGTTTGTTTGGAATGGTTGCCAGGAGAAAGCATCTACTCTCTAAAAAGAACACAGCAACATGGCTTAGGTTTACAAAATTGCATCTTAAACCACAAGACTTCTGGAACAATGTCCTTTGGACAGACTAGACCAAAGTGGAGATGTTTGGCCATAATGCACAGTGCCATGTTTGGTGAAATCAGAACAAGCACCTCATACCAACTGTCCTGCACCGTGATCAAGATGTGATGATTTGGGCTTATTTTGCAGCCACATGACCTGGGAGCCTTGCAGTCATTGAGTTGACCATTAACTTGCAGTCATTGAGCTGACCAAGGTATTCTAGAGTCAAACGTGAGGCCACCTGTACGACAACTAAAGCTTGGCTGAAATTGGGTCATGTAACAGGACAATGATACCAAGCACACCAACAAAACTACAACAAAATGGATGAAAAGGAAAATAAAGGTGTTACAATGGTCAGATAGAAATGTGACAGGACTTGACAAACTTGTTTGGACTCTAGGAGCCAGCGTAAAAAAAAAAAAGTTTAATTTTCAAAACGAAAATGTAGTTGTTCTGGTGTCTATAGTCATTACCTGCAGACCTTTCAATGTAAACACTGCCTTTTTAGAAAGGAACTGCAGACGAAGTGAAGGAAGCCTGTCACTTGAAGCGTTTTTGGTGCTTGATGAAATGTCACAATAAGTAAGGGAATTACAATCTCTAGTTTTCTACAATTAAGTCTTACAGTAAAGTTGTAAATTCACCTTTGCTGCAGGTACTCTAATCTGTGTTAGCAGCTCATATCAACTGGTAGTCTTGAAAGATTATAATTGTTTGAAGATCCAACCATTCTTCTCCATTTGTATTGGGTTGTCATTTCGAAGACTTAAAAGGGACACTATAGTCACCAGAACAACTACAGGTTAAAAAGGGACACTATAGGCACTCAGACCACTTCAGCTCATTGAAGTGGTCTGGGTACATTGACCCTTCTGCACCTAGTGCTGCAATGTAAAACATTGCAATTCCAATGTTTACACTGCAGCTCTAGGTCTACCTCCAGCTCCACTGAAAGCGCTTCCTGGATCGAAACAGAACTCTGGTCCGGTATCCAACACTGGACGTCCTCACGCTCTGCATGGGGACATCTAGTGTCATTTTCCCCCCATAGGAAAACACTGATTCAATGCGCATTAGCCCCTGCTCGTCACAGGACAGAGGAGGAGACGGAGCAACGACCAAGCGTAGATGGACATGAGGGGGGCACAGAGGGAGCTATAGTGCCAGGAATACAGATTTGTCTTCCTGGCAATATAGTATGCCTTCTATGTAGTTGTTCTGGTGAGTACAGTCATTGCCTGCAGGCTTTTAGCAGTAAACAGTTTTTTCAGAGAAAAGGCCATGTTTATATTACAGCCTACAGATACCTACACTGGCCACTCCTCAGATGGTTACTAGAGGTGCTTCCTGGGGCAGTGCTGTGCCATTCAGTGTCTCCAACCTCTTCATGCAGACACTGAACTCTCCTCATAGAGATGCATTGATTCAGTGCTTCTCTATGATGAGATGCTGATTGGCCGGGACTGTTTGGATTGTGCTGGCTCTGCCCCTGATGTTCCTCCTTGACAATGTCAGCCAATCCAATGCTTTCCAATGGGAAAGCATTGTGATTGGCTGAGATCACCACTTCTGATTATTTCAGCCAAGGAGGCAGATCAGGGGCAGAGTCAGCACCATGAGATTGGAATAAAAGTAACATTTTACAATATTTAGGAGGGCAAAGAGGGGCCAGGGAGGCTAGATAATGCAAGATCCAATTTGGCAGAACAGTTATTGTATTAAATAGCAATGCTACATAAACACGGATTAGCACAAGTGAACCAACTACTGGCAAAAATCTTCCCCACCCTCCCTTGTTTATCAATCATGGAATTTAAGAAAGTAGTAATCTACAAATTGATATTTCTAATAAAGGGATACTAGTCACCAAAACAACTTAAGCTTAATGAAGCAGTTTAATGCCCCTGCAGTTTCACTGCTCAATCCTCTGCCATTTAGGAGTTACAGCAGTTGTTTCTGTCCATGCAGCCCTAGCCACACCTACCCTAGCTGTAATTCACTAATGAAGAATAAACATTTGATGCCTCTTTACAGGAAGTGTTTAGGAAGGCTGTGTAAGTCACATGCAGGGAGGTGTGACTAGGGCTACATAAACAAAGTGATTTAACTCCTAAATGGCAGATAATTGAGCAGTAAGACTGCAGGGGCATTGTATATTCACCAAAACTGCTTCATTATGCTAAAATTGCTTGGGTGACTATAGTGTCCCTTTAAACTGTTCTCCCAGACAACTAGCCAATGCTGGTCTCAGACCACTACCCCTGGTTGAAATCATTCTCACACCACCCTAACTGCCAGATAACTGGTTATGTCTCTTCATCTCAATAGAAATAAACTACAGAGGCAGGTAATTGCCCAGAGTAACTACATTTCATTTAATTTAACTCTAATACGGTTCACTATAAAGGGACACTCCACTGCCCAAATACAAAATAAATAAAAATTACTGTTTAATAGATACACCCCAAATGAAAATGTGCATGCATTTAAATTTGCCTTTTTTCATTGGAGCTATATCTAAAAACAGCTTGAAAACTCCAGATCTCGTCTGCTGCCTTTGCAAGCCTTCCCCTTCTAACCCCACCCAGAGAGGCAGATGCTCTGGGCATTTGCTGCCTCTTGAGTTCATTGCAAATAAGCTAACCAAACCACAAAGTAACAGGACCTGTTATCTGCTTGAAGAGCCAGGGGTGTAGGGGTGCAAAGTAGGTTAATTTAGAAAAGTGTCAAAATAAAAAAAAAAAGACACTTCTCATACAAAGCTTTTCAGCAAGCTATAATGTCACTTTAAGAGTGTGATTGGACTGCCACATGAAGTCTGTGCTGGAAAAGAAAGGAAGGGTTTGCAGGTACTAGATCTATACCTATTGCATAGTTCATATATTGCCAAAGACAACATGCAAAACAAATGACATGCACAATTTCTTTAGGTGGAGATCTACTAAATATTTCCAATGGAGTGTTTCTTACAGGATCACTCAAAACACCATAATCACTACAGGCACCCTCATATTGTAGTCAGTTTTAGTATGGCTTCACTTTAGACATGTGCCAATGTTCGTTTTGGGCAGCCCAGACGAATTAAATTACTTTTAATACATATAAAGACAATTTGATTGGTTTGTATATGGATTTGAAGAGTCTCTTGGGATTCAGACAGATGAGTGAACACTCCACCCCTAATGTTTAGAGAGAGAGATATATATACACACACACACACACACACACACATACACTATTATTTATATAGCGCCAGCAAATTCCATAGCGCTGTACAATACTAACAGATGCGTAATTGTAACCAGACAAATGGACGCACAGGAACAGAGGGGTTGAGGGCCCTGCTCATTGAGCTTACATAAATCATTACAAAAAAAGTTGTGGTGGGGAAAACAATTGTGGATGAAAACCCCTTCCTGAAGTTGATAGTTAATACATTGTTAAACACAAATACACACACACCAGTCAAGCCATAAGACTTGCTTTTCCCACAGAAATCTCACTTTGACAGTGCAAGGGATTCTAGGTAGGCGCATGCAAATTAGCTAAACAAAGAACCACATTTTTGCCTCATAATACCATTTTATACATGGATTCCTTGGAGTATGTGTCTGCTGTATACAACAGCTTTGAAACACAACTCAGAAAGAGGAGCAAAACAAGTGAATCACTCATTTGCATACGTCTACCCAGAATGTATTGCAGAGGTGAGAGCACTGTTAAAGTGAGATTGCTGTGGGAAAAGCAAATCCTTATGGCTTGACTGGTGTGTGTATTTGTGTTTAGCAATGTAATAGATATATATATATATATATATATATATATATACACACACACACACACATACATACACGATACACTCTCCGGTCTTTAAGTATTTATTCCATCAAACAGTATATAATAAAGTGATCAACGTTTCGACTCATTCAGGTCTTCCTCAAGATCTCACTTTGGAAGACCGGAGAGTACATCACCAGCAAGGGTGAGTGCCATTATACCTGTAAAATAAATATATATTTTTTTTTTTATAAAACACACAAACTACAGCAGACAGACCAAAAGAGGTCCCAAAAGGACACTACCTGTGATGTCCTTGCTCATGGTTTGCAGCTTTGAAGGGGACATGACCACTGGCTGTGGAAAGTCTTCTTCCTTGATAACGGGTTTTGAGTTGCCAGTCTGGTTTTGGAAGGAAGTGCCACCACTGATGAGAATAAACTTATTGGGCCCTCCATTTGCCCTGCCACGTGCGGTCAGTGCCTGGATAATGCTCTGGACATCAGATTCTGGTGGCAAGACTACAAGTTGAGTATCAGGAATGGTCGGGTGGCTCATTATTCGAACATCAGATAGGATATTGACATTGTCTCCACTGCTCCCAGATGGACTTTCTATTGAATTCGGCTTAAGTGCTGAGATTTGTGTTTGACTTTCAGTGGGGTTTCCCACAGAGGTTATTTGGGCGCTCTGACTAAAGTTAGCTGGTCCATTGTCCGCTTTACTGTCAGTACTGGCATGTTCCATAGGTCCACTTAGTTGAAAAGGGTAGACATTGGCTTGGTGTGATGACTCAATGACACCTAACCCAGCTAGCCTGGGAGTACTATCATGTAGAGAAGACTCATGGACCCCTTGCGTCTGAGCCAGGGACTGCTCGGCAGACTCCATCAGGGTGGCCTCTCCCTGCCCGGACACTCCAGAGTGGATGGCAGCATTGTGCTGGGGAGGATTCAGTCTGCGTCTCTTAAGAATCAATGGCCTTCGGGGGCTTGACCTCATGATGCACTTTTACAACTACTGGCAGCCATTGAATGCACAGATCCTAAAATAATAGATAAACAAGTAACTTTTAATATACACGTAACATAACATAATTCAGTGCACACCATAATGAAACATTCACAATGAGCCATATGATATGGATGAGTGAATTGGCTTTAAGACATGCTCTTAAAAAGGGACACTATAGTCACCAAAAAACTTTAGCTTACTGAAGCAGTTTTGGTGTATAGATCTTGCCCCTGCAGTCTTACTGCTCAATAGTCTGCCATTATGGATTTAAATCACTTTGTTTATACATCCCCAGACACACCTCCCTGCATGTGAATAGCACAGTCTTCCTAAACACTTCCTGTAGAGAGTCATCTAATGTCAACACTTTCTTTATTGCAAATTCTGTTTAATTTAGAATGTCTTATCTTCTGCACTGCTAATAGCTTGCTAGACCTTGCAGGTGCCTACTATATGTAATTATAGTACAAATTACAGAGCAAGAAGGAAATACATTTTAACGCAAGTTAACATCTGATTGAAAATGAAGCCATTTTGTTTCCATGTAGGCTGTGTCAGTCACAGCCAGGGGAGGTGTGACTAGGGCTGCATAACCAGAAACAAAAGTGATTTAACTCCTGAATTACAGAACGTAGCAGAGTCAGAGACTGGAGGGGCATGATCTACACAGCAAAACTGCTTCAATAAAATGGGACACTATAGTCACCAGAAAAACTACAGCTTAATGTATTTGTTCTGGTGAGTATATTCAGTCACTTCAATCTTTTTGCAGTAAACACAGTCTTTTCACAGTGTTTACCTTACAGCCTAAGGATACCTCCAGTGGTCACTCCTCAAAAGGCTACTAGAGGCGCTTCTTGGGGCAGTGCCGCGACATTCAGTGTTTTCACCCTCTGCATGGACACACTGAACTTTTCTCATAGAGATGCATTGATTCAATGTATCTCTATGTGGAGATGCTTATTGGTCAGGGCTTTGTTTGAATGGTGCTGGTTCTGCCCTTGATGTGCCTCATTGACCGAACCAATCCAATGCTTTTCCTATGGGAAAGCATTGTGATTGGCCGAGATCACCATTTCTGATAATGTCAGCTAAGGAGGCAGAGCAGCAGCAGACTGGAATAAAAGTACAATTTTACTATATTTAGGGCAAAAAGAAGACTAGATTGTGTTTTTAACACTCTAAGGTCAGGAATACCTGTTTTTGTTAGTGATCCTATAGTGTTGCTTTAAGCAAGTTTGATTAGGGCCTATAGTGTCCCTTTAAATATATTCAATTAGAGTTTTTGTTCTTTTTATTGAACCAATCAACTGCATGGTGCTATGAAAATAATTAAGACAAAGAAATAAATCATTGAAATAGGATCACCACACTCACACCAGAACTAGGGTGCTAAGCCAGATGTGAGGCAGACCAGGTCTCAATGATGTAGCTGACCGTTCAGAAGTGGTCCAGGGTGTCAAATGACTGTACAGACATAATGTTACTGTTACATTTGCGGTGTTATAGAAAAAAAATAAAAAATGAATTCTGTATATTAGATAGTGAATTTTTTATTTTTTTTAATTCTGCGTAAACAGCCAAATTGAAAGAAAAAATTAAAAATAAAAAATTTCTCAAAAGGCAGCTATATTTTCACTTTGGCTTTTTTTTGCCCAAAACTTTAAAACATTTAGATTCTTTACAATTCACATTTGTATTAATATACAATATAAGCTTTTTAGTGAGACATGTTGTCATATATAAATTGTGACTATTACAGTTATTTAAGCTGGTGTGAACAGGGTCCTCACCCACCTATTATTGTTCCAGTAACAATTTATAATGGTCTCATTTATTGTTACACTCCCCCCTTACAGAATAAGCTGTCTCTCTATGAATACCATAATACAGTAATAGTTGAAGCTGGCCATCCCTGTGTGACTATAAAGGAGGCTGATTTGTGTGCAGGCCGAGCTAGGAGGAGATAGTCAGTGTGACACAGATAAAGCTCTGTGTGTGTACACTGTATCAGCCTCCCTCCCCCCCGCACACTCTGCCCGCACGCCGTGTACATATAACATACCGCTAGCGGTCTGTACCCGGTCTGTGCGCAGCCTCTGACCCCACCGGTTCCTTTCTGTCAAGTCTTCCCGCAGTTCAAATTTTCGCGCTTTGCGGCACGTTCCGTCAGCTGGCTGAACTGACCAATCACAGACGCCTACGTCTTGCGTCATCCTAGCGCTGTCCAATCAACAGACAGCCTGAAGCGTCCCCTCAATATGGCCCAATCCGGACGCAGCCGTTTAGTCGTTTGCAGGTAGACCAATCACAATGCTCGACGATGTATTAGACAGAAGAACAACCAATGAAAGTGTTGACCACTGGTTACGTCACTTGAAGGGGGGAAAAACGAACTGACACCGGGATAACGGGGAGTAGAGCGGATATCCGGATTGTTGGATGAAGGAGGAGGTAACCGAGCTGCGTTTCCCCTCAGTTACAGAGTGTCCGCTCTGTGTATCCTGTTTCACGATAGCCATGCAGTCAGCGGGTTTATGTGATTACAGTTAGCGAGATACCCGATAGCTGCCTCAGGTATTCACTAAACCGCGAACTGGGGACAACTGACCACAGAATAATGAATAACTAACTGGTAAAATAAATAAATGATGCTTGGAGTGTTCATTTGAATTGCTGCAGGGTGTATATTAGATTACCATTCCTTCCTTATTGATGGTCACTGGCCAAATGTACTAACGGAAGGGCTACCTAGTGAGGAAAATAACAAGAACTCGGACCTAGCATTGTCTAGCAGCTCTAACCCATTCATTGTTATGTCAATTTTACAGATGTACCCATTGTCTGATACTTACACATCACTTTGTAATGTTTGCCCCTTTCTTGGTTAACAAGTTTAAACCCCATATTTACATCTCCGTCTTCTCGTAGATTTGCAGCTGCCATACAACTACAAGACTTTCTGCGACAGTGCAATTAATGTGTTTCCTGTGCTCCTACCTGCTTTTTTTCTTGCTGTGCATTTTCCACCATTGTCTGTGGCACCATGTGGTTCCTGGTTTTCTGTCCTCTAAGTGCTGATGCCTCGTAGGAAACGCATTGCATATAACCCACGTAAAACTCAGCTGGTGTTTTTAGAAAGCCCAAAGCCAGGTCAACTCCATGAATATGGGCCTCACCCAGAAAAGACAGACCCTGTATGTGTACCAACAAGGCCCCTGGATGAGAGTACATCAGTCTCCTGGGTAAGTAATGAAAAATGCATGCAGTAAGAAGAACTTTTGTGAGTTTGTAATATACTGCATTTTCCCTCTTACCAGTGTCTGCTAGATTAAAGGACCACTATAGTGCCAGGAAAGCATACTCGTTTTCCTGGCACTATAGTGCCCAGAGGGTGCCCCCACCCTCAGGGTTCCCCTCCCGCCCGGCTCTGGAAGGGGGAAAGGGGTTAAATCTTACCTTTTTCCAGCGCTGGGCGGAGAGCTCTCCTCTGATCCTCCTCCTCTCCTCCCCGTCGGCTGAATGCGCACGCGCGGCAAGAGCTGCGCGCACATTCAGCCGGTCGCATAGGAAAGCATTATCAATGCTTTCCTATGGACGCTTGCGTGCTCTCACTGTGATTTTCACAGTGAGAAGCACGCAAGCGCCTCTAGCGGCTGTCTCATTGAGGATTTGGGGTAAGGCTTAACCCATTCATAAACATAGCAGTTTCTCTGAAACTGCTATGTTTATAAAAGAATGGGTTAACTCTAGAAGGACCTGGCACCCAGACCACTTCATTAAGCTGAAGTGGTCTGGGTGCCTAGAGTGGTCCTTTAATTGACCAGTGAGTAGCTCTAAACTACCTTGGTTATTCTTGGCACTCTGCTATTGGCTAGTGAAAATTAACCCCCTGGTGTGTCATAGATCCCCCAGACTTGCAGTGGCAAGCTTTGAGAGACAGGGTAGTTGGTAGTATTCTTTATTGTAGAAATAAAAACAAAATTGCTGTCTGAGGAGGTGGAAACAGAGCCATCGGAGGGTCCTCATTGCTGGAATCAGGTAAGTGTTTAAAAGATCTTTAACACTTTGCTGCCTAACACATGCTCTGAAGATATTTACAGATTATTATTTTTAAATGGTTATGCACGGTAAGCGAGGATGCTGAGATAACCAAGTCTCACATGCCCTACAGACCAGCTATGTTCGGGGAAAAGTCACCAAACAGACAAGAGTACCAGAGCAGGGAATCTCTCAAATCTGTTTGGGAGAAATTCCCCGAACATAGACCAGCTCTCTAACGTGGCAAATTCAAGTCAGAGTTTTCATTATGCAGGTAAGTCGCAAAGGAATACCTGTAGAAAAATTATTTGTATTATAGGAATTGGTGAAAGACTGTGCTTCAGTAGATAGAACCGAAAATTCTTTGAGTGAAGGACTCGCATAAAGCTAAATTTATTGTATGAATATACATACAGGTGTTCACGGAGTTCCCCTCACAAGTAGTAAGCTGGAGGTGCACCCTTACTGCAGAAGTGTGCACTTTGAGCTAATAAAAAGAAGGCATATTATGTATTCAACAAGACAGACAAGATGGCAATCTTCATAGAGTTGGGTAACCGAGAATATTAACCAAATCAAGTCCCAACCACCATGCTAATTGTATGTTGTATGGTTTTTGTAATGATACCTAATATAAAAGATGTATAGTGGCAAGCAACTCTGCTAGATTTTGTAGTTTAACATTTATCTTGTCACATTTTTATTTTTGCACAAAATTTTGGTATTATTACTATTTCACATTAAAACCAATACGAATTTGGGAAACCATGTGGAGCTCATTTATTATATTTAATTTCCCTAGATCTCAGATCAATGGCAGCCTATGCCAATTTTCAAATTTGTTCTCACTGTAAATTTACAGCAAGGTGATTTGTTTCATTTTATTTTAAGTGGAGATTACTTTACATTTATTATGAATTTAGTTTTGAATAACACTGTCCTGCACTGCTGGATTAACTCGCTCTGTTCACTTATTTATTTTTCTTTTATTCTTTCTCTCACTCTCTCTTTTTTTCCCCTTCATTATAGGTATCTCCTCAGTTTGATCAAAACGAGCCTCTACATTTCCCAGGCCGTCGCTGTCCACAACACACATCCATCAACAGCACCATACACAACAAATCCAGGAATACAAGTTGCATTAGAAGCAGAGCAACTGCATGTAAATTTCCCACTTTGTCATTCACGAGCAAAGCAACCTCTGAAAAAAGACAGACCAGATCTGTTTGTTCAAGAAAAAAATCTGCATTACCAATGTGTATAGAATCTAGGGTAGTTGTATTACCACAGTCTCCCATTCCCCAGGAAAGTTCATATAACAGAACCCTAAGTCCTCCAGATCTGCTGACTCCAGATAAAAGTTTACAATGTATACAAAGCATGCAACTCTCGAATAAACATCGAACACCAATTATAAATGAAAAGTCCGATCAGCGTGACAGGCTCAACGACTCACAAGTAGGAGACTCCGTTCAGGTGCTAGCAGAAGACACTCCAGAACATCAATATGGAATGCGTGTCACATGGAGGAGGCGGGAACGATTCATGAGATATTTGAAAGAACGCGGAAGACTCGAGAACAGTCAGATTTTGGTGAAGAAATGAGAACGGGCATTTGACAGAGCATTGCCAGCATATTAGGGTCATTTGCACATGTTGACTGAATTGCAGCGTATTCACGGATATTAGTGAGCAGAATTCACTAATCACAGGATTCTCGTAGGCTTTTGAACAGGGAATATTGGTCTGTCCATTGTACTCTGTGGGATCTTGGCAGCAAATACATAATGACTTTTAACTGACCTCTACTATGGTCACTAAACATATGAGCCTGATCTGCTGAAGATACACATGCACACAGTGATTTGTCTCATTTACATTACACAATGATGAACTTCACAGAGTGGTGGACTATATCTCATTGTAAACAGGAAAGCCTTGAACCTCTTACAAAATGTCCTATAGAATGCAGGCAAGCTTTTGATAATGTATGAAATTGATAGGTCTTACTCAGTTATGGGCTGCCTATGGTATCCCAGTTATGACTTGGCAACAACTTCAGTCCCAAATTATGTCATCACCGGTCTACGTTAATACTCCAAAATAATTACTGTATTTTGTGTGTAACCATTTAACACACCATGCACTTAAGTATATTTTGTACTGCTTACATTTCCACTTTGTAAATATACATTTCTTTTGGTGTATAGTTTAAATAAACAGGTGATGGCTTATGAATATGTGATTTGCACTGCTTTCATGGGATTGAGAGTGCATGCCATACTTTGTGTGTCGTGAGAATTATGTGTTTATATATGGGATAATAAAATCAATTCAATTCATGCTTCTCAAACAAACTGTCTAATAAATCTGTATTTGTGGTTTTATGATAAACTCTATGTGACCGTTTAGAACCTAGCTAGCAGCATGAAATGTGCCACGATCGCTGTGTATTACATCAGTGGGGCAAAAAAATCAGACAAAAGTTGATATGACAATTTTTATTGTGTAATTTTATGCAACTAAGACATGTTAATATGTGTAATAATCATGTTGCAAATTTCTGAAATGCACCATCCATATCGCATTGGGCATCTGGATTGTAAAGTAGTAAGTGGCATCTCAGGGAATGGTAGTAGTGGACGATGTATCTGCTTGTCTTTCAAAAAACGAGTGATATGCAGCACCTAAAAACTTATGTAAGTTAATGGGATGTGCCATGTGTACCGTGTATACCTTAGTATTTTTGTCAAGCTGAAAATGATTTGAGAAAAATAGAGGATCTCAACGTATTCGTTTATCGCACCATATACAGTCTATAAGTTATGTAGTTTAGATAATTGGTTTGGCTCTGCAATGGGGGCAGGTGGAGCCTTCCTGTGGCCATATTGCCATGCACTTGAAGTGAAACCGGTTACTGCAGTGTAACTGGATGATAAATTCCCCAAGTCCATAGCTTTCCAAGTAAATGACACCTTGTTCTTGGGCTTAAATTTCCTCAAATCGGTCAGGAAGATGCTGTGGATATTGAGTTTCTTGTATTGGCTGATGGTCCCCTCCATCAGTTCTTGGAAAGGCCCTTAGGGTTTTCTAGATTAGGTGCTGGAGAACAGGTGGGGGGGCCTTGTGAGCAGGTTTTAACACCTGCTGGATGTTCTCTTCATTATGGCCTGCTAGATGCTGGAGGTCCACTTCATCTTGCACTGCAGGAGGTTGAGGCTGAATTTGGACCCTAATAGGCTGGTCCCTTACAGTCTTGCTTTTCTGTAAGCAACTTGTTCTTAGCATAATGATAAAGCTGTCTTTTTGTATGTGATAATGGTATCCTGGTAACTTCTGAAGCTGCAATAGTGTAAGCTCCAGATTGCAAAGATAGAGCAGAGCAACATTGGTCTTCAGGAGTTTAAAGGAACACTTAAGGGTCAGGAACACAAATGTGTATTCCTGACCCTATAGTGTTAAGAAACATGCTAAACTGCCCCCTTAAACTAGAAAATACCTTATTTTTAGGGCCGTGCGGGTCTTTCGGTGCTGGCTACACCACCAATCTGACTCCTTGGTTGATATCAGAATTAATCATCTTGGCCTATTACAATGCCTTCCCATAGGAAAGCATTGGAATGACTGAGATCAACAATTGATTATCTGAGCCAAGGCGGTGGCTGGGGGCGGATCCAAACACTGGCCTGGCCAATCTGTATCTCCTCATAAAGATGCATTGAATAAATGCATCTCTATGGGGAAAGTTCAACATCTGCAGAGCCTGAAGACGCTGAGCGTCATTGAACCAGGCAGCACTTCTAGTGGCCATCCTGAGAAGTGGTCACTAGAGGTGTTCCTAGGCTGTAATGTAAACACTTTGAAAAGGCAGTGTTTACATTTAAAAGCCTGCAGGGAAAGTATATAGACACCAGAACAACCACATTAAGCTGTAGTTTTTCTGGTGATTGTGTTCCTTTAAGTAGGTCTGGGGTATTAAGGGGCAGGTGGATTGGATTATCTGTTTGTTTTTTAGCATCTGAACACTCAAATCTTGACATTTTTCTAACTTGCTGAGCTTATTTATTAGCACGAAAAGTTTTAATGGTTAGAACTTACTGTATATAAGTTGTTTACTTTTCCACTGAAAATGTACCATGTTCATACTTACTAACTCAAACTCCGGCGAGGATACTGGCGACAATCATAACCGTTAGAGCCGTATGGGAGAAACAAGTGGTTCCGATCGAGTTGGGTTCTGTAAGGCACAGTGGTCCCGCCTGTTTGAGAGCGGCCCTGGTCACGTGACCCCGATTCACTCGGAGGCTCTTGGCTTCCTTCCACTCCTATGGGACAGAGCGTCTCAATCAGGTGGGTGGGACTCCTGGCTCAACAAGGCACTTCTTCATGATCCAACTACGCTCCAGTGACTATCGCGCTCTCGTCCCCCCTCTATAGACCGGTGACCAAGTGGCGCCTTAACGACTACATGCTCTCTCTACCTGACGTAAAATCGGACATCAGGAAAGTTTTGAGGCACTATTTCACAAACACACCAGCCCAAACATCCCTGACACTACTTTGGGATGCACACAAAAGCGTAGTAAGGGGACATTTCTTACAAAAAAGCGCTATATTAAAAAACAACGGGAGGCCACAATGGCCACCCTTCTCACAGAAAATCAAACAATAGATAACCTCAATAAGGGCAAACAACCCACACACCAAGACAAACTACTACAGCTGAGGAGGGACTTGACAGAACTGCTGCAGGAACATTATCACAGGGACGCGCTGAGACAAGGCGTTTTTCTCCCTACATCTTGGTTGGGGTCTCGCCGTCTCCACCCACTCTGGACTCAAGACCAGGGTCCAGCTTCCAGTGGGTAGACCTCTCTTAAATCCAGAGAGCAGGAACAAGCTGTGACGAGACCAATCTCGCCACATTGCATTGGAGAAGCCTGGTTGCTCGCCTGCTGCCTTTGGACTATGGCCCCCTGTTAAAAGACATCTTTTTTACCTGCAGAAAAGCTTCATTCGTGCTTTTCTGCCTGGGGTTCGGTAGATTTGTTTGAATGTGTTATACCCCAGATAGGAATCCCATGGAGCCCATTCGTATGAAACTGACTGTAAAGACTTTGGCTCCATGGCGATTAAACTGTATTCGTGTGGTCTGAGCGCCATTCGCTTAATAATGTGCGCTCGGACCTGAGCTATCTGGGGATATGTTACATGTCTGTGTTTTATGTAATAAATGTGACTTTATGTATTTTAAAGTGTTTTGTGTCTTTTTGCAACCATGTGCTTAATGGAGTCTTGTGTCTGTCCTGGGAGATAATTGAATTACTCTCCAGGATAAAAGACTCTAAAACTGGTTTGGGCCAGAAAGCCATGCTTCATTTAGTCACAAAGGACTTTTTATTAACTTTTGAACCCCTGGTCTGATTCATGCCATTTTTTAATATGTTGTTCCCCTGAATGGATTGATTGTGAATATGTAATTTTATGTGAATGTGATGTATGGTTTTAGAGTTATGAAAGTTGGGTAGAAAGTATGTTTTAACTGTCTGTGTAATTGAGTTTCCTCTCAGGATAAGGGGAGGGAATATGTGGGATGTAACTGTGATGTGATTGGTTGTTTTATACCTCCCTGTGGGCGGTCCTGTATTTACAAGACTGTAATAAAAACCAGGCTGGGTGTGCCAGCACCTCAGACCACTGCTTGACCCTCAACACGGAGCCTTGTCTCGTTCTTGGGGGGATTCACTGTATGCTGTTAGAGACTGATTGCCAGGAGTGTAAGCTGATTGTCTGCTTTTCCTGTTCGTCTGCTAGCGGCTATTTGGGAGGTTCCAGTTCGGGAGTTGGAGTGCTATTTTGTATCCAGTTCGGGAGTTTGGTGTTCTGCAGTAGCTGTGCCTGTATCTCTGGAAAGGGGGCCGATTGCCTAAACGGTTTTTACCCCTTGTGTGCAAAACGGTCCGTTACACAAGCTCTTACCAGAGCTTAGTGATTATACCCTGGGAAGTATAGTGATTATAGCAATACCCAGATTGTAGTTCTCCAATCCCCCAAGCATGAGCCGAGACTTCATGAAGGTACAAGATGATCTGATTTATTGAGTACAAAGGCATTTTTTAAATACATATTTTCAGGACAGAGGCACACCCGGTAATTCACTCTCCCGCTGGGGAGAGAGATAGACTGTCTCTTCTCCCAATAACACCCTCTGCCGCTGGGGAGTCAGACCTACTGTCTCAACCCCCATGAACGCTGCCTGGTGCTTGGTAGTGGGAGCGACCCTCTCCACTCCGAGTGATGCTGGTTGCTGCAGGGACGAGGGACCGACAATCTCCTCTCCATGTGATGCTGGCTGCCGCTGGCGAGAGAGTCTTCTCCCTTTATAACACACTGCCGCTGGGGAGTCAGACAGACTGTCTAGATTCCCGGTAATGCTGCCTGGTGCTGGGTAGTGGGGGCGACCATCTCCACTCCCAGTGATGCTGGTTGCTGCAGGGATGAGGGACCGACAATCTCCTTTCCCTGTGATGCTGGTAGGGAAGCAGGGGGTAAGTCAGTCAGGTCCTCCAAGCTGTACGGTCGGGTGGATTGGGGCCTAATTGAGCTGAGGAAGTAGTGGTAGTCCTGCTCTACTTCCCACTCACTACTAACCAGGTAGGTGAGTTCCTGTCCCAGTTCCACAGCTCCTGGAAATGGTAGAATCTTTTCCGGTAACGATAAATATCCCAGAACCGCGACTCCTCTGTACTCCCAAAGTCATCAGTCTCCGCCATGGCCTTTACCAACAGGCCGGGCCCATCGTAGCCTTCTCCCTCTGGCGGAATGTCTTCTGTCACTCAAATGTCTCGCTGAACTGCATACCACCATAGTGCCTGGTACAAGCCATCCAGTAGCATCTCTCTCTGGACTAGGAACTCAAGGTGCTTTACCCACTCCGGTATGGGTTGCTCTCCCAGGAGACTCTTTCGTATTGCCTCGCAATTCGTTAGCCACTGCTCTTCACTAGGGAGATTCTCGCCGTTCCGACGCTGTACTATCTCCAGGGCCTCCTGCCAGAGCTTTCGCATTATAAATTCTCCATAGCTCAGTTCTTCCTCGGCTGATACAGGACCATACTCCTCCAGTGTGCCTTGCAATCTCCACTGGAACTCCTCCATGTATGGGTTTGCAGCATAGGGGCTCACTTGCTCCATGCTGCTGTAAACAGGGGCGCTGTATGAATACTAGCGTTGCCCTCGATATGATTCACACGTTACCGGTGTCTCCGAGCACTAGGACGCCATCCCACCTCTGCCACCACTTTAACGGAACTGCTGGGACCCCGACTGGGTATCTTCTGTTGACGGATGCTCCTAGTGCTTCCCGAGGGCTCCAAGCACTCCACCAGACACCATAACCACCGTACACCCCACGAACCACCGCAGCTTGGTTGGGGTCTTGCTGTCTCCACCCACTCTGGACTCAAGACCAGGGTCCAGCTTCCAGTAGACCTCTCTTAAATCCAGAGAACAGGAACAAGCTCTTACCAGAGCTTAGTGATTATACCCTGGGAAGTATAGTGATTATAGCAATCCCCAGAGTGTAGTTCTCCAATCTCCCAAGCATGAGCCGAAACTTCATGAAGGTACAAGATGATCTGATTTATTGAGCACAAAGGCATTTCTTTTATTCACTTTTTCAGGCCAGAGGCTCACCCTCTGGACCTGATGGAACACAGGGACACAAACCAATGGGAACAATAATTAACACAGTAACACTCCCACATACACAGTAAAATCCCTCCCCTCTATCCTGGCGATAATTGGCTTAAGTAACCTTAGTAAACTTAATTATCTCCAGGTACAGAAAATATTTCTAAATTTCAACTGCAACAAAACACATTAAAATACATAAACTTATGTTTCACAGAGCTGAACCACCACATGTGACATATCCCCAGATAGCACGAACGGGGCACTTCGTCAAAATAGCCAAAGTTAAAGTGGCATTCGAATTGTCAAACGCTGTCCGGTCGAAGTTCTCGAGATGGTAAAGTTCAGCGGTGTTTATGCCGTTGCGTGTCCGATTTGAGTTCCATAAATTCGATGACCAAACACCGTTGAACGTGTTCGAATAAACAAGATGGCCGCCGCCACGTGTTCGACTATACAAACGGCGACCACCCAGCCGTTCGTCAATTAGCTGCAGTTAACCGCAGCTCCTGGGAGGTAAATGAGGGACACACTCCACTTGTGTGTGGTCCAGCTGTTCGGTAGTTTGTTTCACCATAGGTTCAATCCATTCAGCTGTCCCCCCTCAACTTCTGTGCCATTCTTTTGCCCCCTCTCCTCCTAAGCACTTTAGCTTCCCTGCTGTACCCTATTAGCCCCCCTCCAATTTTGTGCCCTTCTTTTGACCACCTCCTCTCCTGTGCCCTCTTTAGCCCCTTCCCCTTCTGTGTCCTCCTTTTGATCCTCTCCTTTGCCATCTTTTGCTCCCCTCCTGTGCCCTCTTTACCTTCTGTGCCCTCTTTTATTCCCCTCCTGTACCCTCTTTAGCCTCCCTTCACCTTCTGTGCCCCTTTTTGCCCCCTTCCCCTTCTGTGCACTCTTTAGCCCCCTTCACATTCTGTGCTCTATTTTGCACTTCTCCTGTGTCCCCATTAGCCCCCCTTCACTTCCTGTGCACTCTTTTGACCCATTTAGCTAATCTCCCCTTATGTGCCCTTTTTTACTCCCCTTCTCTGCCCTCTCTAGCCCCCCTTCATCTTCTTTTCCCTCTTTTGCACCTTTTAGCTCCCCTCCCTTTCTGTGCCCTTTTGATCCCTTCCTGCGCTTTCTTTAGCACCCACTCCTACTGTGCCCACTTTTTCCTCCTTTAGCTTCTTTCCCCATCTGTTGTCTTCTTTAGCTCCCCTCCCCTGTGCCTGCTCAGCATCACCTGATGAGCAGGCGGACCGCGGTGGGGGAGCTTCTGGTCCCCTACCCGAACTGACAGGAAGTGCTCACAGAGAGCACAGAACTGCTTCCTGTCAGACCGGGTAGGGGAACAGAAGTTCCCCTACCGCGGTCCGCCTCCTCGGTCACGCAACATGCTGTGACGGGCAGGATGGGAGCACTGTGCAGTGCGCTTCCCTCTTGCCGGTCACACGGAGGTCGCTCCCCACACATCCCCCTGTGAAAAAAATAGACTTTGAATTCGGGACTTTTGTAAGGCCATTTGTTATTTTTATGTTTTATCTGTTCGGTAGATTAAGCTATCGAACACCGACCACCCTCCTGGCTCATTATCTACAAAGGGAACTGTCGATTGAGTGCTCTCTCTGGGTGGGCGTGGTTCGTATAGCCGAATGCCACGTGGCAGAGAAAACAGCGGCCATCTTGTTTTCACGAAAGGAGGCAGCGGGACTTGGTCGTTGAGTGTCTGGAACTAAAATCGGACACTCGACTTCCCGAACACCACTAAAAACATACAAACACCTGCTTCCTTTCCACGAACAGCTAGGAGAGCGCCGTTCGGTAGTTTAGTTCCCACGAACAAGGGGAACAATCGCTCCTATGAAGCAGGGGGCTTTGTTCGTGTTTTCATTCGCTTATTTTACTTTTTCAAAATAGACCGACCGCACATACTGAATTCATGGAACTGTTTTGGGCAGGAGCCTCGTGTGCAGTCGGTAAAATATGACTTCCATACTTTTCGAAAACCCTTGAACCAATCTGGGTGATTTTTGAATATGTTGGTCACCCAGATCAGGGCTATCAGGGGATATGTCATTTATATGTTTTTTTTGCTGCCTGGAGATAATTGGGTTATCCTTTAGCTTACCTAATTATCTCACAGGCAGAGAGGAGGGGATTGCATGTTTGCAGTGGGAGTGTTTCACTTTGTCCATGTAATTCTATTGGTTGTAACTTTTGTGTCCTGGTGCCCAACAAGGTCCAGGTGGGATGTCCCCTTGCATGGGGACTTGCATAAAAGCCAGTGTGGCATCAATAAACCTTCATTCTTGTTGTACCCTTCATGAAGTCTAGGCTCATGTTTGGGTAACTATCTACTGGCTGGGGAGAACCGTCTTGGAAGCTGCATTCGTCTGGAACTATTCATAACTACACCTGAACTGCAGCTATAATCACTAAGGCTCAGCAGTTCGGGAGGAATAGGCGAACAAGATACCATAACTACCAGCGTTCGTAACACCCTCTAATGATCACAAAGAGCCGCAGCACGCTGCTGCCTTGTGCCGCCTCTGCATTGCGCCCTGCACACAGAAAGTGTGCAGGCTCAGACCGCCCTTTTTAAAGAGCAAGTTGAAAAACCCCCTGCAAGTGCCCCCCTGCAGACGCCCATGCTTCTTCCTAACCCTAAAATACAAACAACTGCAGAGCTTTGTCACAACACTCCCCCAGGGGAAGGAGCTGTCACGGGACCCTACATTGTTCGAAACTTCGTGCCTAGACCCAGACCCTATGACACATGGTGTCACTTTTCTATACTTCATGCTCCAAGCACAAACTCCTATTGAAAAACCAAGATTTATAGGGAAATGTGCATTTATAAGGATGCGGAGTGGGAGAAGATGTGTTACCTCACACATCACTGCTCCAGCTTTAGCAAAACACAAGAGACAGCGTACAGGCTGTTAACCTTTTGGTACCCCACCCCCTCAATGCTTCATGCGATCACTCAAGACCATTCACACCTATGCGGGGAGGAGAGGGGCACACTACTTCACCCATTTTGGAAGGGGATACATAACATGTTACAGTTGTTCTTGGACTGTCTACCCCACCTCGAACCCACAGGGATGCTGCTACACCACACAAAGGTCCCTAGATCCCTGTACAGAAAATCTCTCACGATCCGTATCCTGAACTTAGCCAAAATGGTGATCCCACAATACTGGAAACAGACAGTGACTCCACCGCTGACCTTGTGGTTCTCCCAGATGGAGGAGCTATGGACTGTGTAGGACATCCACACTAGTGCAGCTGATACACACCAATCATACATAACTACATGGTCACACTGACTATTGATGACAGCCTCTGCAGACTTGACAGGCAATCGATACTGAGTGAAATCAATATTGACATTAATGGGCGACGTCCAATCAATTTACAGTCCTAAGTGACAATGACCTTGACACAATAACACCCTCCCCCTTCCTGGTCCCCTTCTACTATTTGTTTTCTTACAACCCTCGGTTGATAACATATCTGGGTGGATAGGACCCGTTTTGAGACCCCCTTTCTGACGATCTCTGATTGCCGGTAAGATAAAGGTTAAGTAAAAGGGGAGAATATTGAGATCCGTGACCTGAGAAATTACTCATTACTGTTATACTGGACATGTGAAAAAGGTACAGGACCTGCAAGTCCTTAGTTGTTTGGGGCCTGCAAGCCCACGTACTACAGATGCTGGGGGCACCCTCAGGGCACTATAGTGCCAGGAAAACGAGTATGTTTTCCTGGCACTATAGTGGTCCTTTAAGGGGTTAAACCATCACCCTTGAATTTATAGGCCTAGTTACTATTGTCACTAAGTGAGAACTGTGGGGAATTCAAACATAATTTAAAATAAAAAAAACTGAACTGGGAAACTGACTCCCATTCAGCTGTTTACAGTTCAGCTACTTTGGCCTTCAACTCAAAATTCACATTAAAGGACCACTATAGGCACCCAGACCACTTCAGCTTAATGAAGTGGTCTGGGTGCCAGGTCCATCTAGGGCAGCGTTTCCCAATTGGTGTTCAGTGAACACTAATTGGGGTTCCGCCCCCAAAAAATTTTTAAAATGGCCACGGGCGGCGAGTGAGCAGTGAGATCTGATCTCCCTGCTCAGCTCCCTCGCGCGCACAGCAGTGATGCCGGAGCCGGAATATGACGTCACTCCGGCTCCGGCATCACTAGGAGGTGCGCAAGATCAGAGCTCAGCTGGGTGGAATAAAAAAAATAAAAAAATTGTATGTCTGTTAGGGAGTTTGTATGTGTTCGTCAGTGAGAGTGAATGTGTGCTTGTCAGTGAATATGTGTTTGGCAGTGAGAATGTATCTGTTCTTGTCAATGAGAGTGTATATGTGTTTGTATGTGTCTGTAAAAGAGTGTGTTTGTCAGTGAGAGTGTATTTGTGTATGTCAAAGAGTGTGTGTGTATCTGTATCAAGGTTTGTGTATATGTCAGTGTGCATCTAAGTGTTTGTGTGTGTATGTGCCAGTATGTATCAGTGTGTTTGTATGTACCTGTGTGTATCTGAGTGTGTCAGTGTGTATCTGTGGGTGCAAGTGTGTGTATGTCACTGTGTGTGTATTTGTGAGTCAAGGTGTGTGTATCTGTGTGCCAGTGTGTGTGTATATCTGTGTCAGATACATATACACACTGGCGCATACACAGATATACACACCTTGACTCACACTGGCACATGCAAACACAGATACACACACCTTGACTCACACTGGCACATGCAAACACAGATACACACACCTTGACACACAGATACATACATACACAGATCCACACTGTGTCAAGGTGTGTGTATCTGTGTGCCACTATCTGCCAGTGTGTGTATCTGTGTGTCAGATTCATACACAATGGCACATACAAACACAGATACACACACCTTGATACAGACACATACAAACACAGATACACAGACTTTGAAACAGACGCACACACCTTGACGCACAGATACATACATACACACACAGATACACACTGTGTGTCAAGGTGTGTGTATCTGTGTCAGTGTGTGCTACTATCTGCCATTGTGTCAAGGCACATATAAATACACACACCTTGACACAGATAGATACATACATACACACACACTGATACACTGTGTGTCAAGGGGTGTGTATGTGTATCTGTGTGTCAGATTCATACACACTGACACATACAAACACACACACCTTGACACACAGATATACAACTGGCACATACAAGAACAGATATACACACCTTGACATTAAAAAAATAAAATAAAAATTTCCAGGGGGGACGGGGGTAGGGGTTCCATGATGTTGATACATTTTTTTAAAAGGGTTCCACTGGAAAAATTAATTGGGAAACCGTGATCTAGGGTAACCCTGCCTGCTGTAAACATAGCAGTTTCAGAGAAACTGCTATGTTTACATATGGGTTAATCCAGCCGCAAGAGGCGCTACTCACTGTTATTTTCACAGTGAGAAGACGCCAGCGTCCATAGGAAAGCATTGAGAATGCTTTCCTATGGACTGGCTGAATGCGCGCACGGATCTTGCCGCGCATGCGTATTCAGCCAATTACATCGGAAGGAGAGTCCCCAGCGCAGAGGGAGCCCGGGGCTGGAGAAAGGTAAGTGTTTAACCCCTTCAGCCCGGCGGGAGGGGGACCTATTAACACTATAGGGTCAGGAAAACAAGTTTGTTTTCCTGGAACTATAGCAGTCTTTTAAATTCCCCGCAATTCGTGAATAACAAAGAGATATTAGGTAAAAATAGCCGAATTAGATCAAAACTCTCTCAGTCAGCTCTATTTGCAGTTTGGCTGTTTTGGCCTTTAAGTTGAAATTCACTTTGAATTCCCAGCAATCCTCATTTTACTAAAACAGTTTCACAGCATCCATTCCTCCCATTACTCCTCTCCGTGTACTCTGCACTGCTCTCCATCCAGACAGACACGTCCTGACCCCAGGAGTAACACTGCAAGTCCAGCGCCCTGTGGCCACAAAAAGGCCAAGTTCTCCTTGGTGGCTGTCTGTCTCCCTGTGTGCTTTACTGAACCTCCCCAGACCCCCGTCTATCCCAGACATTCCACTGGCCCCGCCCACCACACTCCTGGCTGAGTTACTCTGACGCGGTGCGTTGTCCGCCAATGAGAGCTTGGCATACTGCAGGGTGCAAGCGTTACGGCCGTAGCCGGTTGCTAGGGGACCGGACTCTGGGTAACGGGATAGCTGCGCCCAGATGGAGACCAGCGGGGATTACCGCAACGGTTCGAGGTACTCAGGGAGGACGGGGGATCAGGGTATCGGAGCAGAGAGTGTGGGTAGGAGCGGGGATTATATCACCGACACTAACCCGGTTACATGTATTTATCAAACAGCGAAACCCACACTGCGCCATATACAGAGATACCCCCTCCCTGATACACTGCCAGCCGCACACTGTATCCATATACAGAGATACCCCCTCCCTGATACACTGCCAGCCGCACACTGTATCCATATACAGAGATACCCCCTCCCTGATACACTGTGTCCATATACAGAGATACCCCCTCCCTGATACACTGCCAGATGCACACTGTATCCATATACAGAGATACCCCCTCCCTGATACACTGTATCCATATACAGAGATACCCCCTCCCTGATACACTGTATCCATATACAGAGATACCCCCTCCCTGATACACTGCCAGCCACACACTGTATCCATATAGAGATACCCCCTCCCTGATACACTGCCAGCCACACACCAGCGGGGAGATACCCCCTCCCTGATACACTGCCAGCCACACACTGTAATACACTGCCCCTCCCTTTTACACTGCCAGCCACACACTGTATCCATATACAGAGATACCCCCTCCCTGATACACTGCCAGCCACACACTGTATCCATATACAGAGATACCCCCTCCCTGATACACTGCCAGCCTCACACTGTATCCATATACAGCGATACCCCCTCCCTGATACACTGCCAGCCGCACACTGTATCATATACACTGCCAGCCACACACCAGCGGGGAGATACCCCCTCCCTGATACACTGCCAGCCACACACTGTATCCATATACAGAGATACCCCCTCCCTGATACACTGCCAGCCACACACTGTATCCATATACAGAGATACCCCCTCCCTGATACACTGCCAGCCTCACACTGTATCCATATACAGCGATACCCCCTCCCTGATACACTGTATCCATATACAGAGATACCCCCTCCCTGATACACTGTATCCATATACAGAGATACCCCCTCCCTGATACACTGTATCCATATACAGAGATACCCCCTCCCTGATACACTGCCAGCCACACACTGTATCCATATAGAGATACCCCCTCCCTGATACACTGCCAGCCACACACCAGCGGGGAGATACCCCCTCCCTGATACACTGCCAGCCACACACTGTATCCATATACAGAGATACCCCCTCCCTGATACACTGCCAGCCACACACTGTATCCATATACAGAGATACCCCCTCCCTGATACACTGCCAGCCTCACACTGTATCCATATACAGCGATACCCCCTCCCTGATACACTGCCAGCCGCACACTGTATCCATATACAGAGATACCCCCTCCCTGATACACTGCCAGCCGCACACTGTATCCATATACAGAGATACCCCCTCCCTGATACACTGCCAGCCGCACACTGTATCCATATACAGAGATACCCCCTCCCTGATACACTGTATCCATATACAGAGATACCCCCTCCCTGATACACCGCCAGCCTCACACTGTATCCATATACAGACATACCCCCTCCCTGATACTTAGGAAAGCCAGCCTCGCACCATATCCTTATACACTGACAGCCACACTCTCCTTTTACACTCCCAGCCTCACACTGTATCCTTATACAGAGATATTCGCTCCCTGATACACTGCCAGCCACACACTGTATCCATATACAGAGATACCCCCTCCCTGATACACTGCCAGCCACACACTGTATCCATATACAGAGATACCCCCTCCCTGATACACTGCCAGCCACACACTGTATCCATATACAGAGATACCCCCTCCCTGATACACTGTATCCATATACAGAGATACCCCCTCCCTGATACACTGCCAGCCGCACACTTTATCCATATACAGAGATATTCTCTCCCTGATACACAGCCAGGCACACACTGTATCCATATACAGAGATACCCCCTCCCTGATACACTGCCAGCCGCACACTGTATCCATATACAGAGATACCCCTTCCCTGATACTTAGGAAAGCCAGCCCCGCACCATATCCTTATACACTCCCAGCCACACACTGTATCCTTATACAGAGATATTCTCTCCCTGATACACAGCCAGCCACACACTGTATCCTTTTGCAGAGATACACACTGCCAGCCACACACTGTATCCATATACCCCCTCCCTGATGCACTGCCAACCACACACCGCCTCCCTGATGCACTGCCAGTCACACACTGTATCCATATACCCCCTCCCTGATGCACTGCCAGCCATAAACTGTATGATTATACAGAGATAACCCCTCCCTGATGCACTGCCAGCCACACACGGTATCCTTATACAGAAATATCCCCTCTCTAATACTCAGGAAACCACACACTGTATCCTTACAGACCACAATCCCACACTGTATAATTATATAGAAATACTCTCTCCCTGACATATTCAGGCAAACCTACACTGTATTCTCATACAGAAATAACCCATCCCCATACTATGGCAATCACACACTATCCTTATCAAGAAATAGCCCCCCCGATACACATGCAACCCCATACTGTATCCTTATCCAGAAATACCCTCTCCCTAATACACAGGCAAACCCACACTGTATTCATAAACAGAAATAACGAATCCCCATATTCGGGTATGTTCTCTCATCTTAACATAGAAGGTTTAGGGATTTATTTAATAAAAAGTGAATTGTTGTGAGATGAAAAGTTTATTAAAACGTTTTGTATATAACAGTAATAAAGTAATCTTGTCATGACTAGTTCACTTTAACATAAACCACTCCCAAATGCATTCAATACATATTGTCAACATGCATCTGAACTTAGTAATTCCAATCACACTGTCATGTACTCCCTAGCCATCACTAACAGCGCTGGATAAGGTACTACTATAGCAGCCACAGTGTATGTCACATGTGGGAAGTTCCTGCTGCTCTCCTTCTCACTCAATTCATCAGCTCACTCAATTATATGCCAAAGAAATGACTGACAGATGGTAGAAAGACCTATTTATATATTTTTTTTCTACCATTCATTACATTTGCTAGAAAATCTGCTACCACAATGTATAGATAGAATTGTATGCTCTTTTCTTTTCCAATATAGTTAGTCTGTCCTAAGTTTTTCAGTTTGGTTCATTTCACCACAATTGTTACTAGGGTTCATTCAGTTAGCAGAGAATTGTAGTGAAACAGAAATCGGAATTCTAATGTTTAGGCAAAAATAGCTAAGCTGTGACTAACGGAGATGGAGACTTTTTTCCACACAGTAAGTAAAGAGACCATCCTAAAGCTCTAGCATATATATAGCCGCATCAACATTATGGGCAGCTTACTGTCTTTCACAAGGACAACCGGCTCTGAGGTTTCCAATTCTGTACTTTAATGTGCAAACATGTGTCAACCTAAAGACTACCACCTACCATGTTGTAAATGATTTCCTTATGTTTACCTGTACCCATTCGGTTAAGTGACTGTAAAGTATTCGTTGTTATTCCTGTGTTCGGGACATTTATTTGTTCTACCGAACGGAGACCACCCTGGGTAGCATTCAGAACTTAGAACACCAAGTAACCACGAAAACCGCAAGGTAATTGAGTGCTTCCAGGTGGCCGCCATTCGGCATACGAACACGTGGCGAGAACAAAGGATGGCGGCCATCTTAGATCTCCCCAACACAGTCAGCGGGACTTACTCGTGGATTGCCTGGAACCATTTTCGGCATGACAAACACACAAACACCCGGTCTCTATGGAAGTCCCGTCTGACCGATTTCCACTTACAGTATCAAACTGGCGTTCGGGAGTTTTAGTCAACCGAATGAGGGGAGGATTCATATGGAACCAGATGCTGTATAACTGTGATAGTTTTCGTGTAATTACGCACGAACGGAGACCGGCTCTTGCTACCAATTTCATGGACCGCTAACTCGGATACAACCACACGACGAGCCCGTCAAACTTCCACACGATGCGACACGAAAACTACCGAACGGATTTTCGTGCTATTTGGATATGTTACTCCTAGTATCCTCAGCTTCCCAGGGATGTGATTGTTATATTTCTATGACATGTAGAAAGTATATTTTTGAAAATGTGTAATATTGTTAATGTTTCTGGTCAGCAGATAATTGAGTTTAGTATGTTGCTGAAACTCAATTATCTAGCCTGGCCCAGAGGAGGAGCTTGTACTGCATAAATTGAATGCCTGTTGCTTCCAGTAAATCAGTCTTGTTCCAGCATTAATCTTTGGCTCGTGTGTGGATTATTTGGCGATACCAGCGTTATTTTACCCTGTGGATTATTGTGGTTATTCTGCTATTGGGAAAAAGGGAATACTGGATGGTGATACAGATTACTACCATCACACATGTGATGACATTTTAAAGCTTTATTAGTATTCAGGAGGCAGCACAGAATACGACCTCAGTTTTGTAGTTTGAATTTAAATTTGCTACAGTTAGACGTTTAGTACACAGTGTGTTGCTATTTGGCAAAAAGACTAGCAGGCATAGGCAACCTTCGGCACTCCAGATGTTTTGGACTACACCTCCCATGATGCTTTATGGGGGATGTAGTCCACAACATCTGGAGTGCCGAAGGTTGCCTATCCCTGGGCTATGGGCTTTAGACCAAGTGTACTTTTTATGAACCTTTTCTCATTTATTGATTTAAGCCCCTCCCCCTACTCCAAACCTTATGTCCAACCCTAACATGAATTAAATGTATCCTCAGAGGGGATATGATAACATTATACAAATATATTCGGGGCCAGTACAAACCTTTATCTGGAAATCTATTCATAAACAGGGCTATACATAGGACAGGAGGTCACACATTTAGGCTGGAAGAAAGGAGATTTCATCTAAGGCAAAGAAAAGTAAATGACTCAAGATCTTTGATTGTATGCTCATTTGAGCAGAGCCTTGTTTACCTCTTGTCTCTGTTATATTTTTTATGTCAATCACTTGTCAAATATCCCCATTCTATAATTGTAAAGAGCTGCAGAATATGTTGGGGCTATGTAAATGAAAATAATATAAACCTATATTTCTAAATATCACACCTGCTATTTTGAACCTGCACCTACATCAATACAACCAAATGGTGCACTATAATTAACTCCAAATATGGTGCAATAAAGTGCCATTGCTACAATTATGTAATTGGAGGCATTTTTTTTCACTCTTAATATTATGTGGGAACTCTGGACCAAAAATAGGATGCCTAAACCAGACCCAGTATTTTCAGGACCCCACTCAGTGCTTCAGCCAGAGTCATTCCACTCTTGGCAGTATCCCTGCTAGTGAATAACCCTAACAGGGTATTTTACTAAAGTGTGAATTCAACTAAACTCAAAATTTTAGCAAATGGAAATTTGAATGGTAAAATTGAGGCTAAAATAGCCAAGCTGAGACCATAATTGTTTTGGAGAACTTTTCTAAATCTACTATTTTGAATTCAGTTTTGCTGTCCAGATTTTAGTAAATTAAAGTTCAAAGTGAATTTCAGTATTCTTCAAAAGTAGCTTAGGTGAAAACCTTTGCCATCTGCCTTCTCTATACAATTTTTAAATCCATTGATATATAAATATGTGACTTATTTTTCAAAGTAGCTTAAGTTGTGAAAGTTACATTGAAATCTCACCTATATATATTTGTAGTCGGGGACAAAAGCCTTACTTATGAAATAGAAGTATATGCAAGTCAGTTGTGGTGTGCCAAAACCAACATATCGTGTAGGCCTGTCAATTGATAGGTTAATCCCTCCCCCCTTTTCTTTTTCACTATCAGTATCAGCCCTGTAATGGAGGTGGCCTGGGTTTTTATAGCCGGGTAACCCATCCCACAATTACAGGCTGCGCCTTTCTATTTGTAGTCGGGGACTAGAGCCGTACTTGTGATATATGCAAGTCGGTTTATTTATTATACAAACATTTACAACGCTAAATCTTTAAAGGCTTGTCTCAACTCCTGTTCTGGCTGGGGAATATATCTTGTTAGCATACTTTTTGCACAGTGTGATTAATTTAGTAGTTTCCTCCGGCCCTGTTAATTCCTTAATTTCAGAGCAATGTCCTGCATTGGATTAAAGTTCAGGTTAGGTGAAGGTATTCATCTGCCAGGAGCCCACATCAGTGCTGTACTCTCGCACATGTGCAAGAGTACAATACTGATGTCCACGGAGGATCCGCAAGATTGCGAAAGTCTCCATAAACCATGCCTTTTTCCTCAAAACCATCACTAGTGGCAACTGGGGGAAGTGACAAAAACGTAACACCGGTAGCTCCGCCTTTTGTCAAGTTTTTTTCAGGCGTAGGAAAAATGCAGAAGAAATCTAGTACTTGCTTCTTATTATATCTTTTGACTTAGTTGCAATTTCAGTGAAATTCATTGTAATACTTATTTTTATTTTTGAGTGGGTGACAGAGCCGCTTTAACTTATATTTTACAGTGTTTTATCACTTGGTATAATATATATTCTGCATTAAAGAGTTACTCCAAGTCTTTTAAGGGGGTAACCTTTTAAAATGACCTATTCAACTCTATGGAGAAGGCTCACCCCAACCCCCTTGATTTGCTGTAAACCTGCAAAATAAAGCTTTTTACTCCCCTTAAATCCAGGGCTGAGCGAAGTTCCCGGCACTGAACTTCCACACCCCTCTGTCGTCGCAGGGGCCGTGACCATTTTGCTGGCTCAAAGCACATGCGCATGCTCTGGGCTGGCGAGGTGAGGGAGGGTTTAATAAAATAATACTATATGAAACAGAGGAATGTGGGTGGGAGGGGCTAACGATCCTGTGACGGAATGCTGGCACTCCGACTGAGTACCTCCGCCAATCGATGCTCCTAGTGCTCGCTGAGGACTCCAAGCACTCCAACCGACACCATCAGCACTGCAGACCCCACTTCCAGCGATGCAACTGCGCCGGGGTCTCTGCTGTTTCCACCCACCCTGGACCCAAGGCCAGGATCCAGCTTCCAGTGGGTGAACCTCTCTTTCCCCAGAGAGCAGGAACAGGAACAAATCAAGCTATTGCAAGAGCTTCCTCTGGGGAGTAAGTGATTATAGCAATCCCCAGAGTGTAGGTATCCCTTCCCCCAAACATGAGCCAAGGCTTAATGCTGGAACAAGACTGATTTACTGGCACACAGAACTCACAATTTATGCAACACAAAACTCCTCCTCTGGGACAGGCTAGATAATTGAGTTTATACAATACACAAAGTTCAATTATCTGCTTGCCAGAAATAATACAGTTTCATAAAACACACAGGGACCCCAAAACATGCAATAACCCCATAAAAAGTATATCCTTGGAACCGGGGGATCTGGGTGAACCACACATCCAAAATTCACCCAGATCCGTTCAGTACTTTGGAAAATACAGTTTAATGCAGATTCTGCAGAACATATACAGGCTAAATGAAAAACAATCACTGTATAATGTGTCCCCTGCTGTATAGTCCAAAACCACTGCACGATGTCTCTGTGCACCAAATACTGGCAAGATGGCACCGTGTTGAAAAGTCCAAACAGTGTCTGTGAGTTAAAATGGCCGCCATCCATATCTATGATATCTTACTTATTGGAGTTTGAAATAGGGGAGTTTGTTTTATTTATGTAAAACACAGATATCCAGAACTCATACTCAGCTTATTAACACACATACCTCTATATGTATCTACTTGTCTCCTATGCAATTCTTAAACCTGATTGCATACACTGCCTGTTGTCACTTAATTACCTAATGCTAGATAATGTCTTGTCAATATTTTACAGCATATTGGAAGATGGAAATGCAAAACTTCGCCAGTCAAAGCTACATAACCAGGTAATGGGGGGAGGGACATTCTTCAAAGACATGGCATAATATATCCCGGTGTCTTTTACGTGTGCAACATATATATCATGTAGATGGTTAAACAATTGCTCTGATACATCTTCCTATCGGCCCTTAGAGAGCTCTCCTGGAGCAGAAGCAAAGACGGAAAAGGCAGGAGCCACTTATGGTCGTACCAAACAGTGAAGTCAGGCATCGGCGTTCCAAGCCCAAAAAGAATGATGAGCAAGCCCCTCTGGTGCAGCATACAAATACAGGAACTGTACAGTGTGATGTAATCTTGGATGGTGAGCAACACGGGGGTCTTTGGGGGAGTTAAACATTGCTTAGATTGGGAAAACTGGTAAGGTGTGTGTGTGTGTGTGTGTGTTATACTTGAGTTAATTATGCTGTGGTGAACGCGGGTTACAGTACTAAAGTATTTTTATGTAATTATTCCTTCTCCAATGATTTCTCTTTTACTCCACTACTGCAGTTGTATGTCACATTAAGTATCTATCTTAAAGGGGCACTCTAAACACTCTAGTTATTTGTAATGGTTATGGTTTGTGAACGCTGTCCCCTTAGTATACCTTAGTTATTCACGATAACCTTCATTCAGCATGATAACATTCACTCTCTAAATCTGCATTTAAGGCTGACTAATAGAAACATTTAATTTCTAAAAACTAAAATTGGCACGGTGTGGGGCCAAACGCTGTTTTTGCCAATCAGGACCTCCTCATAAAGATGCATTGAATCAGTGCATCTCTATGAGGAAAATTCAGCGTCTCCATGCAGAGCGTGGGGACGCTGAATGACACGGCTGCTTACTGTGCAGCCCTGAGCCAGAAAGCCCCTCCGGTGACCATCCAAGAAGTGGCCACTTGGAGGTGTCCCTTGGGGCAATGTAAACACTATCTTTTCTCTGAAAAGACAGTGTTTACATGAAAATGCCTGAAGGGAGCTATTCTACTCACCAGAATAACTACATTAAGCTGTAGTTGTTCTGGTGATTATAGTGTCCCTTTAATTTCTAGGGTTTACATTGTGACAATGACGGATGGAGTACATAACTCTGCCCCTTCCTGGTCAGTTGAGTGCACACAGCGTAAACTTTACAAAATGTTTTGCTTTTTTATGAATAGGCATTGATGGTCCAGCTGCATTCCTCTGTGGAGACCAGGATTTAAGCAACAAGGTTCATATCCTGTCTGTTGGAGAGACCTGCACTGATGATGAGTTTGATGATGATGACATTCTGCAGACCAGCACGAAAGCAGCCAGCTCAAGGCCAGGTTCCAGAGAGGAAAATGCAAGGCCTACATCCACTGAGGAAAAGCCTAGTTCCAGCAATGGGAAACGCAGACCTGCTTTCCAAGAGACAAAGACCCAAGCAGAACCAGATGTCTCTAAACGTGTCCTCCAAGAGATGCTCCAGGATAGAGGTTCGGTTTACTGCACTGATACCCCAAGCCACACTGAGTAATGTATAAACAGTGTTTATTGGTAAAGTTATACAACTGGAACATACCCCATGGAAACTAGTGAAATGGTTGCAGAATGTTTAGGACTTTGTCCAAGGAGGACTCTTTATAAGTACCCCTCATAGTTTCCATTAATGAATGCCTAGTTCATTAGTTCAATTACTTCATATATTTAAAGCATTACCCTGATGTTGTAAAGGTAAGTTTATCCCATTATATAATCTATAATTTATATTATAATTATCCATTTCATGACATCTTTCTCTTTATGAACAGCATTTATATTCCTGCCTTAAAAGACAGAACGTAAGATTATGTTGCATTAACCATTTGAATAGTATGCATCTGCAGCACAGTGATTGCAAAAAATGCTGATATTGTAACTTGTCATTTCTGAGCTGAAGAAAAGCATGCATTATTAACCTCTGTTTAACCACTAAGAATTCTTTATAATTCAGACCATCGATTTGCATTTTTACCTATAAATATCGGCCAAGTCTGTTTTTTTTTGTGTTTATTTATTTACATTTTTTCCCAGAGTCCTAAATATGAGAAAATATGCACTTCTCTTTCTTACAGGTATATCAGACAGCCTAAATTTCGATGAAGAAACCTCAGAGGAAGAGGAGGAAAAGTCTGGCAGTACACGGCCAAGTTCAGCATCTAGCAAAAAGTCTTTGACAGTGAGTTCTCTTAGACTTGCTTGCTTTTCAGTTACCAAGTGCCATTATCTGTTTAGATCCAATTAATTCTTAGGAGTACATATAGTGGGCCTTTCTCATATCTATTTGATTCATACACTGTCTTAATGTTTTAATGACTTTTTAGGATGTGGGTTCTGCAGAGACTGCACAGATAGGTCTATCGGGAGATGGACTTGAGGTGAGTGACTTGAAAGAGTTTGTGCTGCGTCCTGCTCCACGTGGAATCACTGTTCGATGCCGTATTACCCGTGACAAGAAGGGAATGGACCGTGGTCTCTATCCCACGTACTATATGCATCTTGAAAGAGATGATAACCGGAAGGTCAGTGGGCTAAAAGGAATGAACACAGCTTGTTGAGACATTGTTTAGATGAACTAAATCCTGCTTTAATTTGGGGGAGAGACTATAAACCTCACCAACAAGCTTTAAGCAAATTATTATGACCATAATTACAGATGTGGCATAGGCTGCAAACCCCAATGAAATACACTTGGAACTATTCATCATTCAAACAAATGCATACACACATGGGAGAGGCTCTAACGTCAACTTTAACTATTTCTAGCTGCACAATATGACTGCCATCCAATTTTAGAACCTCTTGACAAAAAAACAGGTCTCTCCTGCACTAATAGTCCATTTCATCTGTAATTGCATAGATAATGCACAGCAGTAGCAGCTTGAGAGCCTTGGGGAAATTTTGCACCTTTAAGAAGGTTGCACCTTCAGGCAGATGTCTACTTTGGCCTTCTCTGCTTTGACATTGTAACTTTTCTTTTTTTTTTTTTTTTTTCAAGGCCTTTCTTCTTGCTGGTAGGAAGAGGAAAAAAAGTAAAACATCTAATTACCTCATGTCTATTGATCCAACTGATCTTTCCAGAGAAGGAGATAGTTTTGTGGGCAAACTACGGTAAGGGTGGCCTGTGTATTCTTCTTGATATAGGCAGATTCCTCATTCCTTGACTTTCTTTTTTTGTTTCTGTTCTCTCTTTTTTCATTTTTTTGGACAATCTTTATTTAATTACATTTCCTTTTTGGTAAAAATTCTAACATTAAAATGAATGAAACAAGAAAAGCTATGACAATGATATTCGCTTCCATTAAGCTATAAAATCATTTTGAAAGTACCCCATAAGTATGTGTGTGTATATGTATGTATGTATGTATGTATATATGTATATGTGTGTGTGTGTGTGTGTGTGTGTATATATATGTGTATATATATATATATATATATATATATATATATATATATATACATATATATACATGAATTGTCTGTTCATGGTGTATATCATCAACAAGCGGGGCATGGTTTATGTTTCCATAGAAAGTATAAATGAAAATAGTATATAAAATTAAGGTGGACAGATTTTAGATGCCACTATAATGTTCATATAATAGCTATTTATATAATATGTATTTTCATTATCAGAGTATGACCATTAATGACAGAGTGCATCTATGTAAGACTACTGCAGCTTGCTATTTGAATCTGAGCAGTAAGTAAATGTATTAGCCCAACTAACCTAAAATTGTAGCAAGGCTTATCTAGATGAATGAACCTAGTGTTTAAGTAGATTACCTAATTCTAGGGTAGAAATTAATTTATGCTACGAGTAGACAGTAGTAATAGGAGGCCAGAAAGCAAGTAGAGAAGTAATTAGAAGAGAATAAAATAGGAGTAGCAAAGAAAAAAAGAGACATTGTTGTGATGGTGCGGGCCCCGCCCCAAATTGAACAGTTCCAAATGTGCCTATCCCAGGGTACTCAGAGCAAGGAGGGTTCATGTTATCCCTCTCCCATGCTATAAAAGCCAACCACGAAAGGCAGATCTCTCCAAACCTCTCATCTCTGCCATATAGAGCTGCTATAATTGCCTCCATATTTCTAATCTTCTTCATCTTGGCTATCCATTTACCTAATCTTGGAGAGGTTGTATGTTTCCAGAGTGCAGGGATCAGTACTCTTACTGCACTGAGAAAATGCCTAGTGAGGGATTTTTTACATTTAGAGATCGCAAAAGGGAGATGTCTGAGCAGCATAGTCTTGGGAGTAAAATCGGCCCCATCACCCACAATCTATGTCATAGACTCCTAAACCTGGCACCAGAAAGGCCTTATCATACCATATGTTGAGCAGCGTGCCTATTCCCATAGTGCATCTCCAGCAAGTATTTGGCACTCTCGGTAATACCATATGTAGAAGATGAGGCATGCAGTACCACAGTGACATTGGCTTATAATTGTTTTCTTGAATGGAGAAGCTGATGGAAGAACAATGCCATTGTTTCTCCAAGAATACAGTCTCGAGGTCGACTTCTTAACGTTCCATAAGTTTTAGCGGTTCCCCCTTCTTTCCTTTAATGTTATTACTTTCATCCTTTTTGATTGCCAGACATTACACTCTTACTTTACCTTATATTGTCTTTATTCCTCTAGGTCCAATCTAATGGGTACTAAGTTTACTGTGTATGATGATGGAGGAGACCCAGCTAAAGTTCGAGGACAGACAGATCCTTCTATGTTTCGAAAAGAGCTGGCAGCAATTTGTTATGTAAGCTAGAAAATATTCTTTCCTCATTCACTCATAATGGAAGGGGCACTCAGATGTCATATTAAAGGTGTTACTTTAACTCCCATAACTGCTGTCACAGTCTTGTTGGGTGACAATGCTTTATGGGGTTATACTTCCATCATCACTGTATATTTTGTAGTCGTTTATAAAACATTCCATATTTGCTCCTAGCAGTATTTATGTTTTTGCTTATTCTTTTCTAGTGAGGGTACTGGTAAAATTTTAACGGTTGTTGAGCACTATTTAAATAATAGGTCTATCTTCTTGTGATTGCTAGGAAACCAATGTCCTCGGTTTCAGAGGTCCACGAAAGATGACAGTCCTGATTCCAGGCATGAACAGCAATGATGAACGCATATCCTGTCAGCCAGAAAATGTGAGTTATGTGTTCGCCTTTAGCTGCCAGAAATGTGACTGCTGTGCAAACTCTGTTCACTGTTAATGAAAACTCTATTCCCTTGAAGGATTCCGAGAGCCTCGTATCTAGGTGGCTAAATAAGTGTCTTGACAATATAATCGAGCTGCACAATAAAGCCCCTGTGTGGAATGATGATACTCAGTCGTATGTGCTCAACTTCCATGGCCGCGTCACTCATGCATCTGTCAAAAACTTTCAGATTGTTCATGACAATGACCGTAAGTTTCAAATCATACAATCAGTAGAGCCCTCATTTTCTCTGTTTGGGCAACATTGTGTTACTTTAGGGTATATTCACTAATGCCAAATTTACCTTCGCTAATTTGGCTTTTTTTTTTTTTTTTTTAATGTATTAAATGTGAATTCATTCTCTTACATTTGATTGTTAAAATTCCACTATGGTTCACCATATTCAATGAGAGAATGTTAACCTAATTGAGCTAAATGGATCCTTGCTATTTTAAATTAATCTAATTGCTGCAGATATTGGGGAAAGTACCTATACAGAATTGTAACAGCGTTTTCTTGCTAACAGAAAAAATGCAGCTTATGTAAGCATAATTTGGGGGTGCGAAGGTTAGGGTTTCCATACAGGATTAATGGAAGGTTTGTATAACATTAGGAAGGATAATGTTTTTTGTGCAATTCCCCTGGTCTGGCATCAGAGATATCGTAACTACTGAGTGAAGGTAATTAATTTACAATGCATTTATTTGTGAATCAGACATGCCAGAATAAAAGTGCAAAATTGTTTGAAATAAAATTTGTAAATAGCAGAATGGGTTAAAAAAGCTGACTTGTGACAGCTGAACAGTTGTTAATCAAATAGTCTGGCAACTTTAAAGGGACACTGTAGGCACCCTTACCACTTCTCATCTAAGAGGTCCAGGTGCAGAGTTTTTAGTTTGTAAAACATTGCAGTTTTATAGAAACTGTAATGTTTACATTGCAGTGTTAAGACTGCCTCTTGTGGTTGTCTACTAAAAACAGCCACTAGAGGCTCTTCCTGCAGTTTCACAGAAATGGCGCTGGATGTCCTTGCGTTTTTCAGATGATGTCCAGCATACTGAAAAACCTCATAGGAAAGCATTGGGTCATTGCTTTCCTATGGAGAAGATTTAACCCCTTAAGGACGGCTGGCATTCTATGCCGTCCTTAGGGAACCGGCTCTAAACGCCGGAGGGCGGCTTAGAACGCCCAAACTGTCCTTTGTACTTACCCAGTCGCCGGCGATCCCACGCCATCGATCGCGGTATTGGGACTTACCTGGGAGCCCAGGGAGTCCCCCTCAGTCCTCTTCTGCCCCCCTGGGCCATGTGATTGCGAGGTCCTTGCGAGGACATCGCGAACACATGGACGGCATAGCCGTCTATTGCAATGCCAGCAGGGGGAGTGGCAGTCCCTGCTGTCTGGAGGAAAAAAAAAAAAAACTGTTTAAAATAACATTATATATACTTAGATCATATATATATGATATAAGTATATATATACACATACACTGTCTAAGTGTATTTTAATATATATATATTAATTTTAAAATACAGTTAGAACAAAATTACACATTTATTTTTTAATTTTATTTTTTAACGTATGTGTGTGTGTGTGTGTGTGTATGTATATGTGTGTGTGTATGTGTGTGTATATATATATATATATATATATATATATATATATATATATATATATATATATATAAATAATAATTCTACATATGTATTTATGTAATAATTTTACATAATTAGGTCATTTTATTAATTACAGTTTGCGGGACCTGCCTGACAACCCAGGTCGAAAGTCCAGGGAATTTAATATACTAGCACTATATTTAGCCCTGTAACTTCCCAAAACACCATAAAACCTGTACATAGGGGGTACTGTTTTACACGTGAGACATCGCTGAATACAAATATATGTATTTTATTGCAGTAAAAGCAAACCGTATTATGAGATTTACAGTTAAAATGTCACGTAGAACTAAATTAATTTTTTTTTTTAAATCTTATTTTTCCCCCTTTTTTTTTATATTTTATTCATATTAAATTATGTTTCATGCATAAATATTTGATGTTAAATGAAAGCCCTGTTTCCCCTGAATAAAATGATATATAATAAATGTGGGTGCACATAATATGAAAGAGGCGAATTACAGACATATAGCGCACATTCCAGTTTTTGTTTACGTTTTGTTTTGATCACAACGTGTACATTTGGTTCAGTCCTTAAGGGTTTAATGCATGTGCAGCACTCGCTGCACATTCGCATTAGGTTTCCCTCATCATCTGAAGTCGGAGGAGGAGAAGGAGCCTGACCCAGTATAAAATGTGATCTAGTAGACACAGGATAGTATTATGTGCTCCCTTACATTCCAATACACATATTGGTGTTAGGGGGAAACCTTACGAGGATATCGAGTCCTGCTATTTCCTATAAGTGTATTATGTTGTCATGCTGGTCGAACTCAAACCATATTTAACAACTATTTTTCATGACTTTCCATTTACAAAAAAATTCTCCCTCCTTTTTTTTTTTTCCCAGCTGAATATATAGTTATGCAATTTGGTCGGGTGGCTGAAGACATCTTTACGCTGGATTACAACTTCCCTATGTGTGCTCTTCAGGCCTTCTCTGTCGCCCTCTCTAGTTTTGACAGCAAGCTTGCTTGTGAATGAGAGTCACTTGCTTCGTCCACTACAGTCAATCCGTCATACTTGCCCACATCTTCACCTGCCAAAATGTTGATCTGGATCTAGGAGTGTAATATTTCTTCTCAAATGTTGGGTGGGCACAATTAGCCACTGTGCCTTCCATGTTTCATAAATATGCAAAACCTTTAAGATCTTTAAAAAAAAAAAAAAAAAAAAGTTATAAAGTAATATTTAATCAGTCACATCATATATATTACAAGATACGAATTTTATATATATAAAAGTAGGGTAATTTTTTTTAAGATTCTGGAAAGCAGCTGTGATGTCAGCATGTCGTTTTATTATTTAAAACAGAGCAGAGGAGTGTAAAACAAATAAAGAACACCAGTATTTTTCATTTGCTCTATTCAAAATTATGTTTTTATGTCAAATGTGACTGATCTGCTATCCTTCAAGAGCATTGAGCTAAAACTGACACAGCACAAAACAGAGAGTGGGTAGACAATGGCATCCTCTGATGGAAAACACGTACATAAATCTTGATATTCATATATTTTTCTAAATATTCTAATATATCCAATATTAAGTATATTGACTCCTCACTCTGCTGCTGCCTCTTACCTTCGATTTATCTTGCACAGTGATGCACACCCTGTGCTTCCATTACTTTGTCTCTTGACAAAAACAGGTGCTCTGTTTTATTTATGACTCTGTGAAGCTGTTGTTTTAAAGGTAAACTACAACCACCGTATCCAAGACCGCTTATTGTACGACTGATCCCCAGTGTCAATTCAGACGCATCAAAATGTTTAACACCAAGTTAGCATGACTGAATCCTGTTTATACACCATCATTGAAAGTTTATCTTTGTATGGTAGGAGCATGCAAAGCCTGTTTATGCAGTACAGATATTTTCTGCAGATTATGAAGTGAAATTCCTCATTGTAATACCTCCAGCAGAACTGGTGAGCTTATGGTGCTTTTTTTCCCCCCAAAGTATTTTGACAAAAAACTTGGCTGGACTTTACTCGTAGTCTCCCAACACCATACACACCACAAAATGCCATAGCTTTACTCTGCCTGTGCCTGTTTTTTGTACTTTTGTTTGCCTTTGCTTTGATGTATCGCATAACAGGATCACTAGAAATCAGTTAAGACATTCTACTGATCGATACATGTTCAACTCAGGCTATATGCAGTAAGTGGATGGGATTCTTTAAATATCCTCTGTAAGCACTTTCCTATAACTCACCCTCTAGTGTAAGGGATCCAAGCTGTTTGGGTATTCATTTAAATAACGTGTGCTTTTAATGGTAAGACCTTTGTATCTAAAAGCCTGGCTTTAGATAGATATTTAGTCACTAAAATAGAAACTGTGGAAATCAGTCAAATAAATTACTACTTTTAAGCTGAAATAGCTAAATTTAAGGGAAAGATTTGATTTTTTATTTTATTTTTTGCCTAATTTTTGCTCCTCCATTTTTATTCTTCCTAAAGGGAAACCGTTACTTCCCATAATTTTTAATATTTTGTTTACTTATCCTTCCATAGCTAACAAGTACATGTTTGTGAGATCTGAAGATAAAATTAAATGTAGAAATCAAAGCAGTTGTATTTACCACTATGCTGGAACTGAGTACTTCCATCTTGGCTCTTTGTCCATCTTTCTTTTAACTGTTGCCTTTTTCTGTCATTAAATATAGATAGTGGAGGAGGAGAAAGAGAACAGACACTCCTGTTCCTCCTCCTCATTTGCGTTGTCTGCTCTGGCTGTGCCTGGACTGAACTGGATGAGAATGTCGGTTGCTAAATCTTTCATAAAATGTTATAGGGGATTTTCTGTGTTTTATTAAAAAGTGTTGTTTCCACTTTAAGTCCAAATTTAGGGATCAAGCCCCATAGTCTTATGCTTTAATTTTTGTTTTCTATATTGAAACTTTTAATTCTGCTGCTATCTGTCATGACTTCATATGCTGGTTTTTTTTTATGGATGTCTGTGTTGTTTTGTTCTGAATCCATTGATGTTACTGCATGCAATGCCTTTCACTAACCCGTGATGCTTATAAAGGGATATTGTGCACTTTGATGTGTCCCCATACACTGTCTGTTAAAACTCTTTGCACATTCTAGACCCTTATCTTTACATTTACAATCAATTGTGGAGATTAAACTAATGATACAAAATGTAGTCCAAGCAGGATGCATTTTAAAAGAGTGCTCTCTTGTTATGTTATTAATTATTCACTGTTTACCAAATATATTCCTTGGTGAAACTATAACCATAACTTTTTAAATTTGCTGGGAGCTCTTATGGTGAATGTGTAACTCAAAGTTGTACTCCTATTACTGCAGGCCTGCTGGTTGCATTGAATTGTCCCTAATTAAAGGTGCGGTGTGGATCTTTCATTCAACAAAAACCACAAGTTAGAGAACCTATGTATTGCACAGAACATCTATAGCCTCTGTTTTGATTGCCATAAGGTAGAGCAAGTGTATAGTATTTGAAATTGAGAAAGAACTCGATAACTCTCCCTTTGCAAGAGAATTAATATACTCTACACTAGTCATTGTTGTTTATTACTCTCTGTTACTTTGGTCTAGTGATCTAGTGGAAAACAGCACTCTATGACTTGAATGTAGAATGTGAGACTTCCCAAATAAAAAAAAATGTGTGTGTGTGTGTATATATATATATATATATATATACACACACACCTCTCTCTCTCTACCTCTGAACAGTGATTGCTGGTTTCCGATTCTGTGCCTAATGCTGCTGTGAACAGGCTTGCCTGTTAAGCATTTAAAGTGACCCTTGCATCTTTTTCTTCTGTACCCTAGTTTAGAGATGGCTAACATTTGGCGATATTGCCATTACTGCTCTAGCTAGTGATTTTAGACGATTTGAGCCTAGTCTGTATTTTAAACATGCAACTATATCTCAGAGCTAAATAATATTCTACAGTGTATCCTATTTTTAATATATTGTACAAACCTGAAGCCTTAATTCATTAATCCATTTTCTGCCGGGAACAAAGTTTTCAGATCCATACCTCCTTCTTCTAACTGTGCCTAAAAGTGGAAGTTGAATTTCAGAATATACTGTAACATGTCTGAGTGAAAGAGCCAGGTTTATTTGTGTACTATTACACATCATTTGCAGAGAATGTAAACATGCCTGGGCCCAGCAGAGTTCCCTACGGGCATATATAATTTTATTTTTTTTGCAGAGAGATGTGCCAATGTGTGTTGTTACACCCTGTAAATTTAAAAACAGTGCATGATCCACCTCTTTGTAATCCAAGAACTATAAGGTCAAGACCAGCCCTACTGTCTGCCTGTTTTACACTTCTAACTTTTGGCAGATTTGTAGGGTATTCTATATAAATAGACCTTCTGAGTTAAGTTAAATGTGGAGTAATCAGAGATATTTCATGAAAATTGCTCCACTTTTAAAGTTCTGCCCCATGATTGTCTTAAAATACTTTTATCATAGTATCATCTCTCTATAAAATAGCAAGGAGAGCTTCATTGTGGTGCAAGCGCTTCATTGTACATTATTGTGATTTTTATAATGCTGTATAAAGTAAGTGTTAAAATATATGAATGTATTTTCTTATTTCTTTTCCACACAATGTTTATCATTGAAATCAGATGTTTTGTTTTGATCCCAATTAATTGTAGGTGTGGGGTGTTTCTATAACTCTAAATGGGAAACCAAATGTTAGTGACCAGAAAAATCTCCAAACAGGCACTTTATTTCTTAATAATCATGGATTTATCCTTATGGTTGTAATACAATGAAAACATTAATTTTATATTGTATACTTTGTATTTTGGCAATAAAAATCATTCTCCTTTGATCATTAGATCAAAAAATAAATGTTTCCAGCATTTTATTTTGCTAATATGACAGAAGGTGGTGTACACTTTTTTTTTTTTTCTTCAATGGCTCTCTGCTGACCTCCCTTGTTGGATTTGCTACACCAGTGTTTCTCAACCTTTTGCAGAGAAGTACCCCTGCAAGCCTAAAAAAATAAATCCACATTTCTCTGCCTCGAGAAATTAATTTCTATTGATTCAAATTCCAAATGAAGTGTAGACTTTGATATTTCTCTCATATTGGAGAATAGTGATGTCGCGAACCGTTCGCGAACTTGCCGCGAACGGTTCGCCGTGAACTCCGGTCAGCTGACACATCCCTGCCAGTCTCCGGCAGACTCTACTACCTCCTGGACAGCATCCATGTTGAAGGCAGCTTCAACATGGATGCTGTCCAGGAGGTGGGAGGGTCTGGGAGGGAGGGTCTGCCGGAGATTGGCAGGGATGTGTCAGCTGACCGGAGTTCGCCACGAACCGTTCGCGGCAAGTTCGCGAACGATTCGCGGCATCACTACTGGAGAACAAGAATTAAAAAAAATAAATAAATATATATATATATATATATAATACATATGACAATGTGAATACTGTGTATATAAGGAGGAATGTATGCACTCTAAATCTAAAGTATAAAAGTCACAAAATGAAAAATGTCCTTCAGAGTGTGTGTGTGTGTGTGTGTGTGTGTATATATGTATGTGTGTGTGTGTGTGTGTATATATATATATATATATATATATAATATATATATATATATATATATATATATATATATATATATATATATATAATATATATATATATTAAAAATGAAAATCCAGCGCACTCCCTTATCTGCTAAACAGCTACTTTGGTGCTGACAGATTTTGCTAGTTTTATTAAAACGAGGGCAAATCGCCTTATTTCGAACCCCAACCTACCTTCTTTTGCTACACAGAAGCTTGTGAACTGGGGGATACCTCACATGCCCAAAATGCCAGCTGGAATGCCTGAGCCAAGGCTTGGGACCTACACTACGCAGAGCAGGAGAGAGGCGACCGCTTTCTCTCGGCCCATCAACGCACACAGCATCCACAGTACTCAGCTATCCCTTTCCCCCCCCCCCCAAAGCACAATGCCTGCCAGCCTCTCGCCACTCCAAAATGGCGGACACGCAATACAACGACGTATATGTGCCTCCGGAGTATCGTTACAGCACAAACGAGCCTCTAATCACCCGCTTGAACAAACTATTTGATCATTTCTGGGCACAGCTTGAGGCTCAACACGCTGCTGCACAGACACGGCTGCAGGAAAACTGGAGCACAAAGGGAAACCAGAGCGGTGGCAGCCGGAAAAAGACTGGGACACTGTCGGGCACTACCTCATTGAAGCAATCCGCAATTCACCACACTAGCCCGTCAGGGGAACGACCCCAGCGCATCTACTACACAGACAGAGGCCTGCCCGCCACAGGCGGTGCAAAAACACAAAGGCCCCCAGACCTGTCCCAACAGGGAATGACCCGGTCTTTTTAACTAGTACAGTAACACTTCAAACTCCTGAAGTGGGTCAAAGCGGCACTTCGCACTCCCGAACGGTCGAAGTGGTTCGAAGCGGCATTTGAACACGTGACAGCGGCCATCTTAAGCCGCAAGTACAATGAGCGGTGTTTGGCCGAGTTCATGGAACTCAAATCGGACACGCGATGGCACGAACACCGCTAAAGATTTACCTTCCGTGGATGATCGGCTATTCGAACGGGAGTCGAACGGCGTTCGGTAAAAATAACCTCCCGAACAAGAGACATACACTGACTGTAGACACGAACGGCTACATTCGGTATTTTGAACTTTATTTCGAATTCCTGAAATAGACAGACTGCACAGCCTGATTCTCTGGAACTGTTTTGGTCATGGGACCATGCGTGCGGTCAGTCAAAATGTGACTTCCAGGAAATGCCTGAACCCCTGAACTGATCTGGGTGATTTTTGGACATGTTGGTCATCCAGATCAGGGGATGTAACATTTGTGGGGATATTATGTGTTTTGGGGTGCTTTTGGGACTTCATAGAAATGTGTGTTTTTTCTGCCTGGAAATAATTGGATTAATACAGTATCTGACTCCATTATCTCCCAGGCAGAGGGGAGGGATTGTATGCTATGTGTTGGAGTGTTGTGCATTGGAATACTGTTCTTATTGGTCTGTGAATATTGTAACTTAGTTCCCCACAAGGTCCAGGTGGGCGTACCCCTTGCATGGGGATTGTCATATAAGGCCAAGTGTGTCTCCCATTAAACTGAGATTCGTTTACCCCTGAAGTCTTGGCTCATGTTTGGGGGATTAGAGAACTATATTCACTCTGGGGATTGCTATATTCCCCTGAGTATAATCACTAGCTCTTATAAGAGCTGTTCCTGCTACGCTCTCTACAGTAGGAGAGGTCTACCCACTGGAAGCTGGATCCTGGTCTTGGGTCCAGGGTGGGTGGAGGACAGCGAGACCCCAACCAAGCTACGTCAGTTCATGGGGTTTACGGTGGTTATGGTCTACCAGTACAGTGCTTATGGTGCTCAAAAGTACTAGGAAGCAGCGATTGACGGAGGTGCCAGGCGGTCCGTCACACTGACTATTCTCCTTTCTATTAGCATTGATTAAGTTTTTGGACCTCACTTCCCTGATATCTGTTTTCCCTGACTCTGGCTTGTCCCTGACCATTCTGTTAGGTTCAGCATGGGCTTATTCCTGGTTGTCAATTACACACTGCGTGTTGGTTCTCTGTGTATACCCGACAACTTTTTAGGTTCACAAAATTATATTAAATCTAAACATGCCAAATTATGAAAACTTAAAGCTTTGAAGTAGCATTGTAATATATGCAGGGGCATACCTAGAGCATTTGGCACCTGGGGCAGTTCCTGTGCTTGGCACCCTCTCCCCCAAAAACCTGTAAAAATGTTTTAAAGTTTTCTTTTTTTACAATTTGTAAACTTTGCAAAACCACTGTCAGCCCCTCCTACAAAACCCTTGTCCACCCCCTCCTTTAAAACCCCTGTCCTGCCCACTTCTACAAATCCTGTACTGCCCCCCATCTACAAAACCCCCGCATCCCCCTTCCACAAATCCCCTGCTTATCCCCCCTTATAAAGACTACTGTCCCAATAAAAAAAACCTGCCCCCTTTTACAAAATCCCTGCAGACCCACACACACAGTTACAGGCATACAGTCACATGCAGACAGTCATGCACACAGTCACATATACATTGACACACACACACAGCAGCAGCAGACAGTCACATGCACACAGTCACAGACAGATAAGCACACACACTTTTACAGGCAACATCAAACAGTCACAGGCAGACAGTCACACATAAATAGTCACATGCAGTCACACTCACAGTTATAGGCAGACCGTTACACACACAGTTATAGGCAGACCGTTACACACACAGTCAGTTACAGGTAGTCACGCACACAGTTCCAGACAGACAGTCACATACACAGTCACTCACACACAGTCACAGGCAGAGAGTTGCACACACACTTACAGGCAGACACACACACAGTTACAGACACACAGTCACATGCAGACAGTCACACAGTCATGCACACAGTTACAGGCAGTCACATATACATTGACACACACACACGACAGCAGCAGTCAGTCACAAGCACACAGTCACAGACAGTCACACACACACACACGGTTACAGGCAACATCAAACAGTCACAGGCAGTCACACACACAGTTATAGGCAGACAGGTACACACACAGTCAGTTACAGGTAGTCACACAGTCATAGCCAGACAGTCAGGCACACAGTTACAGACAGTCACATATACAGTCACTCACACACACAGTCACAGGCAGAGAGTTACACACACACACACACACACACACACACACTTACAGGCAGACAGTCACACACACACACACACACACACACATACATATAGTTAGACACTTTTACACACACACACTGTCACAGTCACACACTATTACTTACAGACAGTGGGCTGGAGGAGGACTGGATTCCATGAAGCCTGTGGAGAGGCAGGGATTCCATCTTGCTGCACCTCCATGTGCAGCAGTGACAGCAGTAGCCGGTAAGGGCCATATCAGGCCCCCCCCCCTGCTGGTTTGGCTCCACCCCCAATTTACCTCTGTGCGGCCAGTACGCCACTGAATATATGATCTTAAGTACCAAACAACATGACAAATAAATTTTAAAGGAACACTATAGGGTCAGGGTCATATGTATTCCTGACCCTGTAGTGTTAAAACCATCATCTAGCCGTAGGAAGCATGTCTAGTATCCATCTGAGGAGTGGCCAGTGGAGTTATCAGGGGGCTGTAATGTAAACACTGCATTTTCTCTGAAAAAAGCTTGAGGGTAATGATTTTACTCACCAGAACAAATTCAATAAGCTGAAGTTGTTCTGGTGACTATAGTGTCCCTTTAAGGATCACACCAAGCACCATAGCAACTTTGTATCATTAACAAAAAAGGCACCTTCTTCCCAGATTGAGGTATAACAGCAGGATTTTGCCTTCCTTTTTTGAATTATCAGATTCATTTTACGTGTGCATACAGCATGCACAACTATGAAAGACCTCTCTCTTCATCCCTGGGCACATGCCCATTCAGCAGCCATTGGAATGCATTTGTCATTGTTTGGATATCAGCTTTTCAAGCACTTTCTACTCATCCCACGTGAGAAGGGAAAATGCATCTGGGGAATAAAGTACTTCTTCCATCCGCCCCACTTGTATGTAGAGACTTTTTCTATCGGAGTTGCAATTTTACAGAGTGAATATGTTCTCGTCTTCCTATTCCACATCACATTAATGTTAGAGGTTGTGGATAAGGGATGTTTAGGGACATTTTAATTCATATACCTGAAAATGTACTCATGTACTAACATGTAGCTTATACCTCATACAGATGAATACTTGGAAGGTATATATTTATGTTGACTTTTGTAAGGCCCCAGACCAAAGTGAGACATTTTTTTTTTAGATTAGGCGTGTCTGATTTTAGGTAGATCCACAAACTGATCAGTTCCATTCATTTTTATTTTCCTGCTGGCCCACTGAGCTGGAGAGGCATTCCAGGAGAATGTCTTGTTGCTATCATAGTAGTTTTGATCTTGCCTGTTAAAATGGATGTGGTGAGTTGGAGGTTTTTGTAGAAAGCTGGTATAGAAACATGGCCCCGACATTTGAAATGGGTATAGAGGGACACATTACTGTAAAGGGTGTGAGTGGGAGTGTGATAAGTGGCGAAGCTGTTCTGGGATATTTTAGATGACTTTCTAATAATTTATCAAACTAAAATATAATTTGGAATGTCCCACCTAAATAGAGACACCAGGGAGGCATGTAGAAGGGGTAGAAAGCTGGAATTGGAAGCAAATATTCACACACCAACAGCACAGAGTAGAGGCAGGTGACTAAACAGCGCTATTGTTGGTTTTCCATAATTACATGAATCAATAGTAAAGTTATGTTCTGCATAGTATAATAATAGTGGCAGGCTACAGAAAACAAACATTTACAAAAATAATTTAAGTATTTTTGCATACATATTACTTAAAGGGTTAATTTCTAAGGACCGAATGTGTTCAGGATTAAAACAAAGTTTGGTTATAATAAATTAATTTAATATTTCTCACATTTGCATTTTTTGTTTAAAGGATGGGATTTTACTGATTGAGCAGCACTGCCAGTTGCGTCCTACACATGTCATATTAGGTGAGTGGGATCAACAAATACTGTATACTGCAGATACATGTTTATCATCTGGATTGAAGAGATAGAAAGTATCTGGACAGGGTGAAATCTAGTGGCCATTTATATTCACTAACATTCCATGCCAGCTGGATAACCATGGTGATGGAATGCAGCTTTAGTTCTATCACCTGATAGCTGTAGATTTGCTAGTCAGACACAAACATGTTCTCCATTAGGACATTACATAAATAAATACACACTATGTGACCCAGCTCGTAAACACAGATACAACCAATAATAATAAAGCGGGTGTTTCGGGTCACTACACATCTCCCCCGTTCCACCTTAAGCAGACGGGTTCCTCTTGCAACCAATCACCGGCAGGGGGCGTTTAAATCCCCCTACGGGCGCTGGCTCCCCACTCCGCCATATTGGGCAGCGCAGGATTCCCGGTGACCCGCTGACAGCCCGGTGACCCTCGTTGAGCCCATGTCGGGCGTTAGTCTGACCCCGGGTTCCCCTGGCGTGGAGCGGGTGTCCCGGGCCCCTGGCTCCCCGCGGCCCCCCGTGCAGCGCCGCCTGTTCGGCTCGGTGGATCACGAGAGCCTGTCCCGGGAGCTGGCACGGTGCCGGCAGGAGCTGGAGAGCAAGCAGCGGCTCCGCTGGAACTTCGACTTCGACAACGACCGGCCCTTGGACGGGCCCCTGGTCTGGGAGGTCGCGGGGCCTGACGTGCCCGAATTCTACCGGCGGGGGCCACACCCAAACCCGGGCGCACACCGCAGACGGCCCCGGGAGCCGCAGCCCAGAGCGGGCACCGAGGAGGAGCCGGGCTCCCAGGGCAGAAAGAGGAGCGGAGAGCCAATGGGTGAGCGTCCACGGCGCCCTACAGTGGGCGGAGCCTCATCCTGGGGGCATCCTGACACCTGCATACCGGGGGGAGAGGGCAGCAATGGGGCAATCACAATGCTGGGGGCATCGGTGGCTCATACCAACACTGATCATACTAATAGACCCCATGTGCTAGCCATCATACCCGGGCTATTAGCCCACTGTCTGTCAGGTGCTCTCATCAAACAGGTAGAGGGGGCTGCTGCATGTAAACCTTGGTGAATGGCTGCTAACATGGCGCCCTCTCTGTGGGCTCAACTTTGGGCAACCTGAGACTCTGCAACTGTTAGTCCATTACCCAATATTAGGGCGAGTTGCCTAGCTACTAATTCTCTATATTCGGCTGTCTGTCCATAGCAGGTGTCAACATGCAAGGCTGGTGTACAGCTCACTAACGTTTCTCAGTACAGGTAGTGCATGGTCAGTGAGGATGGCCTCCTGCTAATAGGGGAGATTGGGACACTGATTGCTATTCTGTTGCTTGCATTGCATCAGATTATTTGTTTACCAAACCAGCAATAAAATAACACGTAGTTAGAAGAAACCCTAATCTGTAACCAAAGGTTTGGGCATTTATTGTTGAATCACTTTAAAGGTAAAAAAAAATGCAAGTTTTCTAAAGATGAAGAGCACCCAAGTTCTGACATGGGTCTCCAAACATTTTTTGGACAGATCTTCATGACTCCTATACTTTTTTTGTTTTCTTAAAAAAACAACAAATATAAACAAGCCCTCAGTAGTTCAGTGGCTGCTGTCCAGTAGGAGGCTGGCTAGTATTGGTGGCTTTAACTGAGGTTACTTCTCTGCTCAAACTAACCCACTGACCTAAGGTCCTCAAAAGTGCTTTCCCTTTTTTCTATGCAGCTTTTTCAAAATCTTAAAGGGACACTATAGTCACCCAGACCACTTCAGCTCAATGAAGTGGCCTGGATGCCAGGTCCCCCAGGTTTTAACACTTCAGATGTAAACATATGTTTACATTGTAGAGTTAATCCAGCCTCTAGTGGCTGTCTTCCTGACATTCGCTAGAGGCGCTTCTGCGACGCTGGATGCGAAAATCACATTCAGCGTGCAGAACGTCCACAGGAAAGCATTAAGAAATGCTTTCCTACGGACTGTTTGAATGCGCACACGGCTCTTGCTGCGCATTCCGCTCCACTCGGGAGCTGACGTCGGCGGTGGAGGAGAGGTCACCGGCGCTGGATAAAGGTAAGAGTCCGAAAGGATTTTAACCCCTTCAGCCCAGCGGGAGGGAGACCCTGAGGATGGGGGGGGACCTAAGGGCACTATAGTGTCAGGAAAACGAGTTTGTTTTTCTGACACTATAGTGATCCTTTAATGAAAAAAAAAATGTGGTCATCTTTTTCTAATGCTTGTGAGAGGCCATTGAAACAGTTTAAGTGTGAATGTCACACCCTTACTGAAATTGGCAGTCTCTCTGAGTGATGCTAAGCAATATGCATGGCAGATAGACAAGAACATGTTCGTTTTAAGTACTACTGTGAATGTGATTTTATGAAAATGTTACCTTTTTGAGAAAGTCACTGTATAATCTGTGTGTGTGAGGGATTTACGGAGATGGCCTCTATTGTGTGTTGATTTGGGCACATCATAAAATAAGTAGTAGTTTGTATTTTGTGTTTGTTTTTGAAAGGGTAAATCAGCATATTTAGTCTTCACGTACGTGTTCCTTGAGACGTGAAATTTGCCTTACTTTTTCTTTTCATTAAAAGAAAGGGGGTGGGGAATCACCTGCTCTGTGTTTTGTAATCATTATATATTTTTATTTCATTGCCCCAATCCCCCTTGATCTTTTCCAGATTCATCTTCTAACAATGTGAAGAAATCCCACAGGACAGAAGCTGGAGATACAGAGGAAAGCAGTGCAGAGCCTTCCCCTGAGGAAACGCCCAAGAAAAACAAGCCAAGCACGTAAAGGAATGGGGTGAGTGATGTAGAGGGGAAGTAAAACTGGATAGGTAGACGGACATATCCAACAAATATTTAACTATTCAGGTGTTTTTTTGTGTGTTTGTACAGCTTAAGCTCTTTTAAACCATGTTGACACAAAACACCCTGGTAATATCACAGGTGTGTAAGATGTTAAAACCATACAATCAACATAAAAAATGAAATTTGAAATAATAAAATACAAAAAATGAGTGCAGCGCATCCCACATATTGTCTCCATCCCATCGCCATGTTCTAAAAAACATTTAGGCTCTTACATACAATAAACTAGTGAGTCAGATAATTGTTATAGCATGCAGCACCTTTATATACACCAGTCATATATTACTTCAGTTTTATGCAGTTTTTCTGAGTTCTCCATTTGTTATGATCCTATACATGTTTTTTTTTTTTTTTTAAAGTAAACTGTTCTGTGCAGGTAGAATCGTCTTGCACCTACATTGCCCTCTTCCCACCCCCACTCCTCCTCCAAAAAAGACACACATCTAGATCAAAGAGGATTTCTTAATAGCATAAAATTCTTCAGCATTTATTAAACAAAATGTTTATATAGGAACGCAGAGTAAATATCAATACAAATAATCAGAAGCTGCTCCTCCACGATTCAGTCTAGTATACATGCTCCCTCTACTGTTGTCACTTATGTTTGCAACCTGTTTAACTCCATCTTCACCACAAATTTAGTGGCCAATTTACTAATAATTATGGCTTATTATTGATGAAAACCACAGAATGTTATTGCCGGATCTCTTTGTTAATTCAGGGATAAAATCCAAGCGTTGCATTCCATTCATACACTATTTACATTGACTCCAGCTCTCCATGCAATGTTACAAAGATTTTTCCACCTCCCATGGTTAGCGCTGTCTGTGGCACCACAACTGCTGTTGACTGACTTTCACAAGAGGCAGTATGAGCTTCAGATGAGAAGCCCTCAGAAATGTTTGACGTTGGCTAACCAACGACAAACATATATAAGCTGTCATGAAATGTTGTGCATGTGAAAATAGACTAATTCACCAAATTAATCATTTTCTTTCTTTCTCCCACAGATGTGCCCCAACCTCCACCAGTGCTGGCTGACTCCTGCCCACTCAGCCTGTGGACTCTGTCACTGGTGGGAGATCCCCCGCAAGCACTGATACAGAGTAACACTACAGAGCCTGGGCATCAGATGTAGCATTTGTGCAATTAGGCACCTTCTCCTGCTTCTCCTTACTACCTGTGTAATCCCCATCTCTCCCCTGTGTAGCACATAAGACATTTTATTTTGTTTGAGGTTTTTTTTTGTTTTTTTTTCGCGTGTGTGTTTTTGTTGTCTTTTTTTTTAGGGAGGGGGTGGGGTTTTTAAAAAAGGAAGGAAAGAAAAAAATACGGGAGGTTTTGCCCTGATCCAAGTGAAGAGAATTGGGGCCAATATCGAAGATCATATAATGATCTCTAACTTCGTCATCCCAGGGAGGCCTGTAAAACCTTAATTTGCACCCACAAATCTTATCTTGTATGTAGTTTATCTATAGTGTAAAATGCATATAATCACATTTGCTTCCTTACTCAATAGGGAGTATTTGGAGTCATTAGTGCCCTTTTTTTTTTTTTTTTTAATTAACCAGATAACTTGGTCTTTTGTAAATAACAAACAAAACCCTTTTCCTCATTTTTATGTGGGTCCTGTAAGGACAACATAACACTTAACATTCTTTAACTTCCCCACACCATACAGGTTAACACGGCTAATGTCACCCTGGTTATTCGTTTACATAATGTAAGAGAGAAGCTCATTCTGAGTGCCAGGGGCTGAGGCACCTGGTTCTCTGTGTGCCTATGTGTGTTTGTCTCCAGTACTGATCACAAAGTGCCTCCAATTCAGCAGAAAGCTCTGAAGGAAATCCTTAAAACTCCGGCTCGATAATCATAAGCTGAATGGTTTTGACGAACCTAAGCTAAGTGTGCCAAGTGCAGTACATTCCTAATATCTCTCCAGTTTTACGGGCATGCTAGAAGCAGCACTAGCACCACCTATATTGCATGACATATATGTTTCTTCACTAACAAAAAGAAAACGTGTTCTGATATACAAACTTATCAGCAGTATACATGCAAAAGAATGCATGTTAGGTCAGATCTTAATATGTTACATGTAAAGATGCTTAGGTGGCAGCTGCTTTTTTTCCCCCAATAACATCATTACAAAAATGGCACAATAACTCATGCCTGACTGTAAACAGTGGAAAAGTTAAAAACCATTGCAACCAAGTTAAACACTCTTATTTTTAGCACTTATATTTTGAAAATTTTGAAAAAAAATTGGTTGTTAATACTTTTAATAAATTGCAAGCTCCCTCACTCTTTTTTTTTTTTTTTTTTCCCTTAAACAAAAATTAAGAATTGCAAATTATATTCCCTGCATTTTAAAAAAAAAAAACATTTATCTTTATTCTAGGTTTAGAAGCTCTGGTGATTTAGGCAGTTTCTAGGTTAAAGACTCAACAGGAGTAGCCAAAATCTTCTGTTCCAGCTGTGGGTAATGCTTGCCTTGCTAAGCATCATAGGAAACTATAGTGGGAACAATGGAGAACTTACAAAAGATTTTCAAAATATAGACCAAAATAGCCAATCTGGGAAATTCTGCAACTATTCCCCTTTCTGTTTATGTATTGGCCTGAAATTTGCTATTCTTTAGTGAACAAAACCTGCTAATTCCCCTCCACTGGAATAATAGAAATTGTGTATCACTGAGCCTGAGCCTATTCAAGAACAAAATTTACCACTTTAAACTTTTTCCAATGTAAATGGGTTCTGCAGTCAGAAACCCTTTTGCATTTTCCATCGGTACAATATATATAATTATTTTTAATTTTTTTTGTGGTCCAAGGAATCTCAAATCAATCTATGTTCTGTTTTCTACAAAGCACAAATGGTAGTGGGTTTTAGTATTCTCTCTAAGCAGTTACTGATCAGCAATGTAATTTCTAAAGAAGGAAACATAACTACAACTACATCCCACAGATTGCATTGTACACCATTTATTCTTACATGGATTTAACTCTTCGCTTGAAGAATTCCATCTTAACAGTTCCGGTGCTGTTCTGTCACAAACACCTGCTTAGAGGGATACTTTTTATCATGTGTATTTGTTTTTTCATATATATTTTTTTTCTCCTTCATTTCTTAATTTGTTCATATGTTTCTGGCCTCCTGGGTGATGCAAGCTGTAAGCTCCTCAGTGTTGACTTGTTTTTCTTCTTTGTTTATGACTTTTTTTTTTTAAATGTGTGTACATATAAATATATATATATATATATCTATTTTTTAATTTGTGATATGGTTTGAAATTTAAAATTCTGGTTATACGAACACTGGTAACAACTGTTTTGACAGATGTTTGGTTCTAAGCTTTATCCACTTTGGTTGAATGGGAGCTTCTCATGCAACAAATTCATTCCGTTATTAAAATAGGATATTTTATTTGTCTCAGTGCAGCAGGTCCCCTCAGCAGGGCATGATTAAATAAAATGAATCCGGTTCCATTTCTATTCACACATTGTGTAGGTCAATTTTTAGAAATGCATCTTCCTCCTACTAGCCCCACTTCCCACTTTGGGGCTTTGATGTATGTTAAAATGCCATCAAAAAAGCATCAGCGTGCCGTTTCATTAAGAGGATGGCCTTGGTGGCTAGACACCAATTTAAGCTTGATTTTTGGGGGCCTCACTATGCAGACTCTCTTGATGATAGTGCTAGCGGGAGGGTGTTGTGTTGCTTGTGTATGTAGCATACTAAATGATGACCATTTTATGATGGGTGTCTATTGTGATGTAAAAAAAAAACAAACAAAAAAACTGACAAATTCTACTAACTTATTTATGTTAAAAGCAAAAAAAAAAAAGTTTAATCTAGATTTTTTTTTTTTTCTTACTTACTTTTCCAAAAAGCCAAAGTGGCAGTTTTTTTTGCATCTGAAAATGCCATATAAATTTTTTTTGTTTATTGTATTTTTTTTTTATTGTACTGATGTAGCAGTGTTCCAATATTTCTTATTTTGTTACTTTGTATTTTTTTTCTTATATGTAATTTGGCGGTTAAAAGATTGCAGACTGAGCCAGATGCCTAATAATTACAGTTACATTTTGTATTTTTTTTAATATACATTTTTTTTTCTTGTAAAGGTTTTTCAAAGATAATTTGATTTTCTGTTTCAAAGTCATGCAATCATTTTCAGAAAATAAATCTATACAGAAAGCAGTGACTGTGTGTTCTATGTGGAATATAAATATATTTAATGAATCTTGCATAAATGGAATATGCCATTGAGAGGCTCCGGAGTCCTTTTTAAAACTCAAGACCAAAGCTTAAGTAATTTATGGATGTCTCCAGAACGCCAAGATTGCCTTTTTTCCATAAGGAATGTTTCTGTGTGTGTGGTGCTGGTGAGAGAGGCACGAGGTCCCTTTTTTCACCCTAGTCCAGAGACAGGAAACCTTTGTCATTCCAGATGTTGTGAACTTTGTCTCCCCAATGTTTTGCCAGCATTATGGCTGTAAGAGCATTATGAGAGATGTAGTCCACAACATCTGGAGTGCCAAAGGTTGCCTACACCTTCCTTGTCCATTATCTCAGTGGTTCCCAAACTTTTTAGGTTCAAGGCACCCTTAATATTTCAATATTTTTCTAAGGCGCCCCAAGTCACAACAATTTTCTATGTTGTATATATGTACAGTGCTGCGGCATATACTGGGCCCCTGTTCGGCAGAAATGCTTGGCGCAGATCTTGAACCTAATCGTTGGAGGTGCACTGGAAGATTATTTAAAGAAACAGTCTAGGCACAATAACCACTACAGCACTCTGTAGTGGTTCTGGTGCCAGGAGTGCCGTGGTTGCCTCCCAGAGTAAGTAACCAAACTGTTTAAGAACAGTTTGAGAACATACCTGGGGTCTTCCGGGATAGAGGCTGTAGAAGGGGA